TTCAGCGCAGGGGTCGATGACGCAGGCATTGTACTTTGCCAAACTCTCTGTGCGATTGAACTGTCGCATCTGGGCCAAGGTCGAGAAGCTGGCGCAGAGAAAACAAGACAAAGCCTTGCCCGCAGCAGCTAGCTCTGAGGTTGAAGCCGTTGCTGATGGAATTGCCAAGCTTGAGTTATCCCAGAATGGAACTTCTCCAGACTTGTCTTCTGCCAGTTATATTCAAGGAGCGCCTTTCTGGCCGCACCTCGGCTCACATCATACCTCCTTGTTGAACCTCGCGACCTTGTCTGCCCATCATGGTTTGTTCCAGGATGCCATCTACTATGGAGAGCAGGCCTTGAAGATCGACAAGACTTTGGACGCCAATATTCGACTCATGGCAGCGCAGACTCAGCTTGGGAGCCACTGGATTCTCGGAGGCAATGCTACGGAGGGCCAAAAGCTCCTCGCAGCCGCAGCGGAGTCGACCAAGCAAACACAGACAAGTATTGAGTCGGTTTCTCTGCAGATGGCCCTCGCTTCGCTTTACAAGGAGCAAGGCCAACATGAGAAGGCACTCCGCGTGCTTCTGGAGGCCGATAAAATCATCGCATCGGTCATGTCCTCTGATGTCCCCGGCGAATCAGACGATGTCACAGTTCTTGAGGAAAAGATGGACAACCTACGGGTACGTGGAAGCAGTCGCCGAGCACAACCTGTTGCCCCAGCTGCATCTACTGCCCGACGCACGCGTGCAACAACAGCGACTACCAAGCGGGCGGCACCAGCAAAGAAAGATCTCTCCGCAGCCCAGTCTAAATCTCTTCTTCAGCTCAAAGGCAATGTCCTTCGACAACAGGCCGACTGCTTGCGAGCACTGCGCGATTTTGAACGATCTGCACGCACGCTCGATGAAGCACGACAGTTTGCCGTCGCCCGAGAAAGCAAAGTGTCACTAGAGATTGGCGAGAGTGAGCACCTGCTAGCAGACGCGATCCGACATTTCGCCAGCCATGCAGTCTACTGCGTTCTTCCTGAGTCTACCATTTCACTTCCCTCACTCAAATCGCCGTCCAAGGCTGCAGCCGAGACCACCCTCAAAGCTTCAACCGCCAAAAGAACAAAGGCTCCTGCCAGGGGAACGCGCAGGACCCAAAAGGCTACCGAGGATTTCTCGACAATGTTATCGAAAGCCGGAGATTGTCTCAGCAGTGTCTTTGCTGATGCAAGCATTCTTGGCTCAACACTTGATGTCCACGCTGCTTCTCGTCTGATGAGCCGGATCTCAATGCTATCGCACGCTACTACTCCTGGAGGCCCAGCTGCCTGGGCCCAGTCGCCTGCAAACATGAACGAGGTCGGACGCGTGGGCGCCTTCGCCCGTGAACGCATAGCAATTCACATCGATCGACAACTAGCCGACTCTGCCGACCCTCTACTCTGGCCGACTTCGTCTGATTCGAGCGCTGAGCTGGACGATGAAATATGCTCGAACTTCTCCCGAAACTACGTGGACATTCTGCCCGAGAACTGGAATGTGCTTTCATTGTCACTGAGTGCAGACCAGACCGAATTTGTCATCTCGCGTCTGCAGAAGAACAGTGCTCCTTTTCTTCTGCGACTTCCTCTCCGACGCGGCAACTCAGACGAGGATGAAGAGCAGTTCACCTTTGAGGACGGCAAGGAAGAGATGCAGGAAATCATTAAGCTGGCGAACGAAAGCGCGCACGCGGCCAAGGCTCAGACTGACAGACTGTCCAAGAAAGAGTGGTGGAAGAATCGCGAATCGCTCGACCGTCGTCTGGAAAGCCTTCTTCAAAATATCGAGAGCCTCTGGTTCGGCGGCTTCCGGGGCGTGTTCTCGCCGCTGTCCCGCGAGACGACTGCGCTGGCCCGCTTCTCGGCCTCCTTCCAGGACATCCTCGACAAGCATCTTCCTTCCCGGCAGAAGGGTGGCAAGAACTCTGAGCCTCAGCTGACGCTTCACCAGAACGTGGTAGAGTTGTTTATCGGTCTGCGAGATCTGGAAGCGCAGGAGGAGCCTGAGGATACGCTGATGGACCTGCTCTACTTTGTGGTGGATATTCTCCAGTTTCAAGGGGAGCGCAACGCCTACGACGAGATCGACTTCGACATGATGGTTGTTGATACTCTGGACGCGCTGCGCAGCTACCACGAAGCCGCGCGAGATGAACTGGCCGCACGGTCTGCGAATCACACCGTTTTGGTGCTGGACAAGGCCCTGCATTTGTTTCCCTGGGAATCTCTTCCCTGCCTGCAAGGCTTCCCCGTGTGCCGTGTGCCATCACTCGAGTGTCTACGAGAACGGGTCCTCCAGTTCGGGAGCTCCCGATCTACCGCCGTGGCCGATCGCACCTCGGGCAGTTTCATCCTCAACCCAACCGGTGACCTGCGCACAACGCAGAATACCTTTGAGAAAGACCTCTTGCGCCTCGAGTCCTGGGCAGGGATCATCCAACGCGAGCCGACAGAAGACGAATTCCGCGCCTCGATCGAATCCAAGAGCCTATTTCTGTATTTTGGGCACGGGAGCGGCGCGCAGTACATCCGCGGGCGCACCATCAAGCGCTTGAGCCAGTGTGCCGTCGCTTTCCTCATGGGCTGCAGCAGCGGCACGTTGACCGAAGCCGGCGAGTATGAGCCCTACGGCACGCCGATGCATTACCTGCACGCGGGCAGTCCGGCGCTGGTAGCTACGCTGTGGGACGTCACGGATAAGGACATTGATCGGTTTGCGGCGTCGGCGTTTGAGCAATGGGGGTTAATGGGAGGAGCGGAGCGCTCGGGGGTCGCGCTGGACGAGGCGGTTGCGCGGTCTCGAGGGAAGTGTGTGTTGAAGTATTTGAATGGGGCGGCACCGGTCGTGTATGGCGTGCCGGTGATGTTACAATAGTTATCTCTCTCTCCACTGCGGGCAACCCAGGGATTCGTTTACTTGTTTGGTTTATTCTTCTCCTCATGCGGGGCACACGTAGGAGAACCCCACGTCGGAAAACGTCAACCTTCAATTCTTACCATTTCTACCCGATCCATCCCTTTTCTTCCTCTTCTACTCCCCACCCCTAACTCACTCACTCACGGAAACATCAATATGGCCGTCACCACCAAAGCAACCATCGCCTCCTTCGGCGGCAAGCTGCTCAAGCTCAGCCACGCCGCCTCCACTACCCGCTGCGAAATGAACTTCAACCTCTACCTGCCGCCGCAGGCCCAAACCCAGAAGGTGCCCGTGCTGATCTATCTCTCCGGTCTGACCTGCACGGCCGACAATTGCTCCGAGAAGGGCTTTTTCCAACACGCGGCGAGTAAGAAGGGTATCGCGGTGTTGTATCCAGATACCAGTCCGCGTAAGTTCTCCCTCCTCCTGGATATTTCATATTATTTAATTAGAGGATGAATGATATTAATTATGTATCTATAAGGCGGCCTCAACATCGAAGGCGAAAACGACGCCTATGACTTCGGCTCTGGTGCAGGCTTCTACGTCGACGCCACCAAAGCTCCCTACGACGCCGGGTACAACATGTACAGCTACGTCACTGAGGAACTACCCAAGACTGTCTTCGCGGCGTTCCCGCAGCAGCTGGATGGTAGTCGTGTGAGTATTACGGGGCATAGTATGGGCGGACACGGCGCCCTGACTTTGGTGAGCAGACCCTTACCTTTTTTCTTTTTGGCCATTTCGAAGCAATGGTTGGAAGAAAGACTAATGGATTGGAATAGTTCCTCCGCAACCCCGGCAAATACAAGTCCGTCTCCGCCTTTGCACCCATCACCAACCCCATCAACTGTCCCTGGGGCCAGAAGGCGTTCAAGGGCTACTTCGGGGATGAAGCGCAAGAGAAGTGGAAAGAGCACGATGCTACGGAGTTGATTAAGAAGTGGTCTGGTGGGCCATTAGATATTCTGATTGATGTGGTATGTTTTATGTCTTTCCCCTTCAATCTTGTCTTTCTTTCTTTTCTTGTCTGAGGATGGTTTATGTCTAATTGGTATCGATACCAGGGCACCGGCGACAACTTCTACAAACAAGGCCAACTCCTCCCCGAAAACTTTGAAGCTGCTGCCCGCGATGCTGGTCTTTCCGGCGTGCATGTGCGCTACCAGCCGGACTATGATCATTCCTATTACACGATGGCTACCTTTGCAGATGATCATGTCGAGCATGCGGCGAAGTACCTCTTTGCATAGTGTGTTTTCCCCTCTGTCTTTTAAATGTGTCTGTCTGCCCTTCCCAAACAAGTGTAGATGGATGTTTAGGCTTTTTTTGACGGTCTTTCTGATGGATGATTTCTTGTTTGAAAGTGATCGCCACACCAAGTCTGTTATTTGAATTCAGATCAATCAATCAAAATCTATTATCATATCGACATAATGTGGCTATGAGCGGGGGCAGCAATGGAATGAGAAGGGCCAGGATGATTATCTGTGTTAAGGTCATGCTATAATTGAGGATAGGTATAGCCAGATTCAAGTCAATAATGGTTCATTCATTTCAAGATTACACTATGATTAATTAAACGTCAATTTTTTTATTCATTGATCAGTGTGGATGAACAAACATCTAGGTAAAAAGCTGACAATGCCACACTCAAACGAAGGGTATGTACGTTCTCTTATTTCGTTTATGTTTTAGACCAACATTTTTTCTTTTCTTTTCCTCTAGTGCTAAGCCTAATAGTTCAGTTCATTTCATTCCGTCGTCTTTTTGAAATGAGAGGAAATATGATAACATGGTATCTGTGCTTCGCAGATGGTGTGGATGGTGTGTGGGTAGATCGTTCGAGGACAGGGCATCATCACCTCGTCTCGTCTCATGAGAACAAATAGAAAGAAATAAAAGCTATGACATCGGGGGAATCTAGGTGAAAGAGGAGGGGAAAAGGGAAAGAAAATGTCATGGAGATGGATAGGGGTGAGATGGATGAGAAGGTGTGTGTGAGAGGTGTTTGTGGTTGTTCATGCGCTTAGTCGTTGGATGAAGGACTGTGTGGCAATTAGTTAGAAGATTGGTGAATTAGCACGCACTGGGGCACACTTACTGGGAAGAACTGCCGGAATCCCCTGATGTCCAGCTGGCTCAATGCATTCAAAAATTCCTCGATCAGATCCGCGCCCATGCCCATGCCTGGCAGCTCCTGGTTCCTCAGGTACTCACCATACTCCATACCGGTCTTGAGGTAGATGGTGCGCTGTAGGCCGCCCGCTTCTGCGAGGACCTGCTTAGCGTGAGCATCTTTGGAGTTGAATGACGGGTTTGCAGGCAGGGCCCAGCACAGAGGCGAGAAGCGCGAGATCATGAACCCGCCAAACCCAGGAAGAGCAGTCTGCGTCGCTGCACCGCCGTTGGCTGCTGCTGGCGCGACATCTGGCCCGCCCCAGCAGATACCCATGCGGGCCAGCACGGAGAACGCCATCTTGGCCGTCGTGAAGTCGTCGATGTCTTTGGCAAAGTGTTCGATGGTGGTGATGACGGTCTCGAACAGGGGCTGGTTTTGCTCGCTGATGATCACGGCTCCGAGGTCGTTGTTCAACACGGCTAGCAAGAAATTCAGATACTCGCGCTTCAGCTCTGCAAGCTGGATCTCATCATCCGTGCCGGTTGTAGGGTCCGCAAGGCCCGAAAAGACCCGCTGTAGGAAGGGGGTCAAGAGGGTGTCGAGGATGCTGTAGATCTCACCCTTGAATCCAAAGATGACTTGGTCCAAAAGACGCAAAAACAGGGCCATTTCGTCGCGCGACGAGGTTTGAGTCAAAAGCCCATCGATCCAGCGGGGCAGTTGGGGAAGAATGCGTGCTCCAAGGACGCCGATGAGCCGGGAGAAGGCAAAACGGGCTGCAGTCCGGATGTTAAAGGACGTCTTGAGGGACTCCAGCGCAACCAGAGTCGCCTCTGCGACTTGGCAGAAGGCCTCCGAGACTTCCACTGCTGGCAGGGCCCCTTGGGTGGGTGTACCAGGCGTCCAGTCCGAGAAGCCGCGGGCGAGAGTGCCCAAAGCCATTACATCGTGATGGATCTGCAGCAGTGCTCGCTCATCGTTGGATTTGGCTGCTGCGAGGTTTCGTTCCATATCTCCGAAGATGGGGTTCAGCACCGACTGCGCGTAGAGAACCTGCTTGTCGGCGGGGACTCCAGGAGTCGAGCAGATAATCCCAACGGCCTCAAACAGGTACAGCTGGCTCGTGAATACGGCATCAGCGGAGCCTTCATGGTCTTCTGACGACATCTCGTCACCCTCATCGCCCTCCGAAGGCACCTCGGCCTGAATCACCAACAGATCGCCCAAGGCTTCAACCACCGTTTGGGCCACATTGCCAATATGGAAACGCAGCTGCTTCACAAGCCGCTGGAAGAGGTACCAAGAACGCGTCTTGACTCTTCGGACAGGATGATGCACAAGTTGAAGGAAACTCTCCAAAACGCCGGGGATGAGGTGCGCATGGTGCTGGAAGAACGAGCTGTAGCGAACGCAGATCTCCATAAACTGGAGCTGCGTGGCGGGATGTGTGTAAGAACGGATATCTGCATCAGATTAGAAACAAGACCTGATGTGAAACATCTGGTAGGACCTACCCGACTCGACCATGTGTAGCATCATCTCAATTAACCGAGTCGCAGCCGGCCCATTGGGCGCGCCTTTCATGTAGAGACCACCACTCTTGACCGCCAAGTCTCCAAACAGATACATTTCATGCAGCGCAAGATCCAGGTCGCGCCAGTCGAGCTGGCCCCCAGACGCCCGCAAGTTTTCAAAAGTTGTACCCACAACCTCCGAGATGGCATTGATGTAAAGATCCTCGTCTGAAAAGGCAATGACTTGCTGCAGCACACCCAATCGCTTCCGCAATTCCTGAAACTCCGCCTCGTCTGTCTGCTCATCCTCATCTCCCCAGTTCGAGGTCTCGTCATAGCGCATCTTGGCCACAATTGCCTTCAGAACTGGGAGTAGGATCGATTTGTTCCGCTCTTGGAAGGACGGGTTGGCCTTGTTGAGTTTGCGGAGGTAGGTGACCATGTCGTTGACACAGGGGATGACGGTCGAGCAGACTTCGTCATACTCGTCCGAGAAGTAGCGCAGGACGTGTGGCAGGAAGACCTGGAGCAGGTTGTCGGCCTTCTCCTTCACCTCGCCCGAGTCTGTTTCCAGCACCCGCACAATATCCATGACCGTGCTATTGACCAGCTTGGCCACCGTCTCTGCTAGATCCGTGTCGTACCTCGAGGTGAATCGGTTCTCGTGCAATGGTGGGCTGTTGGACAGCTGCGTGACAATGGAGTCGAGGTTCAGGAAGACAATCATCTCGATCTTGTCTGCCGGCTTCATCTTCTTGCCAATGATTTCGGTGAAGACGTCCACCGCAGCATCCCGGACCCGCTGCTCGCCTGCCCGCAACTCCTGCTTCTCCGCCCGTCCCAGCTGCTGGAACAGCAGATCCAGCATGGTCTGGTTCACCACCAGCCCGATATCGATCCAGCTGACCCAGCTGCCAACCGCCTTGAGGCACATCTCCACAATCATATCATCCCCATCCCGCCAGTCCGACAGAATCTCCTGCCAGGAGCTAGCAATCTTCTGCATGTCCCGTTGACGGATCAAGTCTTTGAGGGTGTTTGCTTTGTCCTGGTCCACCCGTGATCGTGACACTAGTACATCACCAATTTCGTCATGAATGGAATTCACCACCCGCAGGTAGAACACAATCCCTAGTGGGTTGTCCCGGGTGGAGCTAGAGGCTGACTTGTAGGTCAGGCCTAGCAGATCATCGATGCAGGTCTCCCAGCCATTGGCGTAGAGTGAGGAGAAAAGGAAGGTGATGGTCTGTGCAAGTTTGTTCTGAATGTAGGGGGCATCCGGGGTGGCTGTCCCATCAGGCCCGTAGAATTGCCGTAGGTAGGTCAACAGGCTATCTCGCACCACGGTTATGGAAGCCAGATCGATCAGCCCTGCCTGAGCGGCACTGTTGACAATCTCCAGGCTCACGTGTCGCACGACCTCTGGCTGTGGGGGGGACTTGGTGAAGAGGGTGAGGCAGACCTGCCATCCGGAGGGGTCAGAGCGAAGCTGGTTGAGGTAGTCGAAGGCCTGGGCCTTGAGGGTCTGGTCGGAGGATGGATTCCAGGCGATCTCAATGGCATTTGCTACCTGTGGGGAGAAACATGGTGAGCACCGGATTGCCCCTCGGAGGTGTGGTGGGGAGAGAGAGTGAGTGAGTGAGGATGTGATTATGAGCACAGTAGGGAGTAGTTGGGCAATGTGCAGAGACAAGGGAGAGACTTACCTGTTCTTCCATCTTCGCCCAGCCGATCTGTGACGAGAGAGAGCAGAGAAGGTAGGTGGTGAATGAATCGTGTGGTCCAAAATGTTTTTTCGGTGGATCCTTGCCGTCCTGTCTATCGTAAGCGCCCGACCATCGAGTTTAGTTAGGACTATAGAGTGAACTAAACAATATCATAATCATAACTTTTCTAATATTGATCAAGATATCTAATTATAGGATTTACAGCTCACTCGCATATCCATTACTGCGCGGCCTCCTGGCGCAAGATCTGCTGCTCCATCTTCTCAAAGCCCTCGACGGCCTTGCCATACTGCTCAAATACGCCCTTTTGGTAGCCATTGGCAATCTTCTGAATAAAATCTTCCTCATTCCACCGCTGGCCCACCAGTTGCTCAAAGGTCTGTCCAGGCTGGCGCTCGATGCCCCACACAGCCTTATAGGCAGCCCCGAGGGCACACGCATTGTCACCCACATCGAGCTTGTACACCCCGTCACTGCCGCCGAGGATCTGCCCGGCAATCTCCGCAATGGCTTTGTTCTTAGATCCGCCCCCGACCAGGTAGACCCGGCGTGGCTGAGCAGGAATGCCCTCGCCGGGGCTCTGGGTCAGGCCGTGCGACCGGAGACGAAGCGAGAGCATCTGGCTCTCCACGATGGCACGGGCTTCGTCGTGGGGCGTAGCCCAACCGTCCGTCGTCTCTTGCAGCTTGCCAGTGGTCGGGTCATAGTTGAAGCGCCACTGTCCCGGGCGCAGATTTGGCACGATCTCATGTCGGGGGAAGAAGAGGCCCATCTTCATGGGGTCGGATGGGTTCCGCTGGCCGAGTGCCGGCGTCTGTAGCGCGATCTGGTCGAAATTGGCCCAGGGCTGCGCAGGGGTGTCCTGGAGAACATCATTGATGGCATCCCGGACATTTTCGCGCGCGAGTCCGCCATTCTTGTAGCAGAGCATGAACATGTACAAGCCGGGGCTGGTCGGGTGGTTGAAGAAGTGGGTGGAGGGATCCGGCTTGTAGGCCGGCGTAGACATGAGGAAGGTCGTCGACGTGCCGAGAGACACCATCGCGTCCGATGGCAGCAGGGGCAGCGCCAGGATAGTGGCCGGGTTGTCGCCGGTCGCGGGGATGACCGTGCAGTCCGGGCTGAAGCCGAAGCGCTCCACAAAGTACGAATGGACTGGGCCCAGGTGTAGGCCGCCGTCCTCGGGCACCTCGCCGAGTTTCTGTTTGAGGTCCTCGACGCCAAATTTGCCGGAGCAGAGCTGGAGAAGGGTCTCGTCGTAGGCGCCTTGCTTGATGTTCCACAAGTTCATACCGCAGACATCGGAGATATCAAAGGGAGCCACACGGCCCAGGAAGAGCGAGGCCAGGAACGAAGAGACGAGCGAAATTCGGGATGTCTTCTGATATACTTCGGGGTGCTTTCGCGTGAAGCGAAGGATTTGGGGGCCGGTGAATCTCTAAACGACGAAGTTAGCGGTAATCGTGCAATTGGTAGTTAGGGCACTTACATGGTGCGCTTTGCTGCCGGTGGCCATGGCCAGATGCTCCGGATCACCTAGCATGGCATCGAACTCGTCGCATTCGTGCTGGGTGCTTGCGTCCTGCCAATTCGGACTATACGGGTGCGAAAAAGCTTCCGGCAGCTGCTCCTCGAGTTTCTTGGCCGGATTCATGGTCTTGAGGAGTCGCTCGGCATCCTGGCCCCAGTATACGCTGCCGTGCTGCTGTCCGGCGCCACTGATACCCTTGACCCGACGGAAATCGAGGCCCTGGCGTTTCAAGTCGTCGAGGACACTATCCAGGGCCTGGAGCCACAGTGCGACCGGCGCGTAGACCTCATGTTCGGCTTCGTTGGTGATAACGCCCTTTTTGATGGGGAAGCCGGTGGAGTCGGCGTCGAAGTCGAACTTGGCGATGTAGACGACCTTGAGCTCGGAGTTGACGACCAACCCCTTGAGCTGTTGGGTCGAGAGGTCGAATCCGATGTAGAGGGGGGAGTCCATTGCCAGAGTGTGCGATGGAGGATTGCAAACGCGACCGATGGGGGGGTGATATGTAGTGAAAACTATTTATCCAGGTCGGTAAAAAGGACGAGACTTCACCGCAATCAGTTGAGGACTGAATCCTCCGGGCCGGATTCTGGGGGGAATCCACAGTGATGTAATGCTTTCTTCCATGGATTCCTTTGAATCTGATCGTCCTCCTCGTGTTTATTCTCTTCTCTGCGATATCTTCTTATTCTCTACAATAACGGAAATCAACACACAGTCTATGTACATGGGATTATCGGTGCATTAGTCTCAGGTTAGGGTTAGGCGGATCACCTATTTAGCCGAACACGGTAAATATGCTCGGGAGAATCGAGTTCAGATCAGGATAATCATGAAATAAAGTCAATCAAAGAAGGATGTAAAAATTCAGTCGACAAATCACAACGCACTGTCCATGATCTACGTGAGTCCTACTTGTAGTTAGTCGGTCGAGCAAGGGCCCTGTCAGCTCTCCTCCTAAGAATAGAACCACCGTGCAACATCCACCCCTGCCACCATGAAATGGCCAACCTGCCTAGGGAGATCCTCCTTTGTATCGCAGACCACCTTCAGCGCCCGGAAAATCAATACCAGGCTTTGCACAATAAGTGATCCGGACAATTTAAGAACCTTTTTCAATTTTTGATGGGAGTCTGCGAGATTGAGTATACGTCTTTTCTATATATCCACGCGGTCTATACAGTATAGATCCACATCCCTCTTCATCCCAAAGGGGGTATCACATGCGACTATGCCCATTCAACACCAAAAAGAAAACAAGCCCGAAAACCAGCTGCCATGCCATTAATTCCTCTTCCGAGTGCCATTCTCCTCGACATGGTGATGGAGATGGGTCCCGGACGCCTCCGCCGAGCCATTTTCACTGGGTTCAGGGCTGGCCCGGGCGCTAGGGGCAATGAACTCTTCAGAAAAGGTGAGGTTCTGAAGTTCCACAGGAATGAAACGCATCTTGACCCGCTTCACGCCGCGCACCTTGGCACCCACGGCCGTCCGGACGGCTTCCTCTACCAACCGTGCGCGCATGAGAACCCAGTCTCCCGGTACGGCCAGCTCGATGTCCATCAAATAGTTCTGCCCGGACTTCATCCCCTGAACGTCGCGGACCACCACCCCGTCGCCGTCTGCAATTTCTTGCAATGCCTTCGCGGCAGCCTTGTGTACGGAGGATTTGATGTCGTCGTCGACCGTCGTGTCGGCCAGCTCCAGGAGAGAGGTCCTCGTATTGCCCCAGCCGGCTCTGATGACCATCAGTGAGATCAACAGCCCGCCCACTGGATCCAGCCAGGTAGCGTCTTGGAAGACATAGCTTCCCCCGATGGTGAATAGGGCCACAATACTCGTCAGGGAGTCGATGCGGTGGTGGACGGCGTTGGATGCAAGGACCGAGGACTTGCGCTCATTGGCGACCTTCATAGCTGTGCGTGGGGTTAGCGTAAAGTAGCGCAGAGAGAAAGGAATACATACTCGCATGGTAGAGCCACTCCTTCACCACAATAGATCCTGCAGCCAACCACGCCGCGTGGATACTCGGCCCCAGGATATCCGCACCGTGACTGTGTGAATGCGAATGGCCATGTCCCAGAAGCCCCCAATGAGCCATTGCCTCCGCCGCCTCGGGGTAGACCTGACCCAGCAAGATCTGCCCAGCATTGAGACCCATAAACACGCCGCCGCAAAGCAGTAGCCCGCTCACACCCAGTGCCCCAATGCTCTCGACCTTCCCATATCCGTTGGGGAAACGCTCGCTGGGCGGCTTGAGTGACAACGCAACCGTGCCCAGGGTCAGGAAGTCGGACACGAGATCAGTCAGGGCGTGGTACGCGTCGGCAATTAGGGCTTGTGAATGGAAGACGTAGCCGCCAATGAATTTTCCAATGGCCATGGTAAGGTTGGCGAATAGACCGATGCGTGTGATCCGCACGCCGGCGTCGTGTTTGTTGGTGGAGGTCAGGTACACATTATCGTGGTGGTGGTGATGGTGACCGTGGCCGTGGCTGTGGCCGCCATGGGCCCGTGATTGTGTAGCCATGAGAGGGAGAGAGGAGACTGCAGGTCGGAGGGATCGAGGGCGAGCATGCGAAAGGGAGAGGAGGGAGGAATGATGAGGTTTGGTCGAGGATGTGAGGACGCGAGCGCCAAAGCCACGTAGGATCCCGGGCGGACTGGAGAGACTAGGACGCAGCCTGCGCAGGGGCTGCATCTTCGTTTGGTTTGTGTTCCTGAAATCAAGAAGAAATGATAGTGGGTGGTCCAGAGTATTATTATTATAATTCCTTGTTGTTGTCCTTCGATCATGTAATCCCGCCAGTGTTCCTTCTTCCATGATCCTGTTCTTCCCTTCTACACCCACGCTGGCGTCATGCAGCACCATGACGCTACACTCCCTCTCCGACTTTGCTTTTTCTAGCCCACATCTATAGATATCAAGAGCACCTCCTACTTAGACGATGCGTCTTCAATGACGACACCCGCCATCCGCATCCCCTTCACAGGCCCGCTGCCGCCCGCCATTATCGTCCCTCCGTCCGCGAGCACCCTTGCCGGAGCCATCGATGCCATCTCTGCCTTCCTAACGGCCTCGCCCTCCCCCCATCTCCGGGGTGTCGATGTTGGCCGGTATTCGCAGACCGTCCTGCTGACTGGCGCCGGCATCTCCGTCGCATCCGGCCTATCAGACTATCGAGGCGAGAACGGCACCTACCGCAGGAACCAGTCCTACCGACCGATCTATTACCATGAATTTCTCTCCCGCCATGAGTCACGCAAACGCTACTGGGCGCGCAGCTTCGTCGGCTGGCCGGGACTCGTAAAAGCGCGCCCGAACTCGACGCACTGGGCCATCCGCGACCTCGGGGCCAAGGGATATCTCAGCTCAGTTGTGACACAGAACGTTGACTCGTTCCATTCCCTGGCGCACCCGGATCTGTCGACTATTGAGCTACATGGCTACCTCCGGTCGGTCGTTTGTACGAGCTGCCGCAATCAGTTCCCGCGTGCAGACTTCCAGGCCTCTCTGGAGAAGCTCAACCCGGCATGGGCGGAATTCCTCGCGCGCATGGTTGAATCGGGTGCGCTTGACACAGAAAACCCGGAGGAGCAGCGGCGGAAGGGTCTGAAGCTCAACCCCGATGGCGATGTCGATCTCGCCGAGGCACCGTATTCGACCTTCCGCTATCCTTCCTGCCCGACCTGCTTGACAGACCCTCCTAGACTAAAAGATGGGACTCGAGCTCACGTCGAGGTGGAAAGCGATGGGGCCTGGATGCCGACGTCCAACGCCGGGATCCTGAAACCCGCGGTGATCATGTTTGGCGAGAACATCGACCCGGCGGTTAAAACGGCGGCCGAGGAGGCGATTGACGATGCTGGGCGCCTACTGGTGATAGGGAGCAGTCTGGCCACCTACTCGGCGTGGCGCCTGGTGGAGCGAGCGCGAGCCCGGGGCATGCCTATTTCCATCATCAATGTCGGCGGCGTCAGGAACGAAGCGGTGCTCTTTGCGCAAGAGGATCATGCCAATGTGCGGTGCAGCCACCCATCGCAGAGTATCTTGCCGCATGTAGTCGATCGACTCGTGAATATCGCACAGAATAGATAAACATTTCAATCAAATAAGTAGCTAATCCCATCCTGTGTAGTGTCAAATAAACCTAGTTGAGTCCGAGTCTATTAATACTTGGTGGGGCACTTCTTCCCTCCCTCTTCCTCGCTCCCCTTCTTCTTCCCAACCATCATCCATTCATTATTCACCATGGACAATAAGTCGCAGCAACCCAGCTCGTTCCAGCAGCTGGAGAAGGTATGCTCCCTCTTCGTCTCCCATCATCCTCATCACTGACTCTCTTTCGGACAGCTCGGTGAAGGCACCTATGCCACAGTATGTTCCGGATTCCACGCCTCTCCCTTCCCCCTCCCCCAACCACCCGGACTGACCTGACCCTCCAGGTCTTCAAAGGGCGCAATCGCCAGACGGGTGAAATGGTCGCCCTGAAGGAAATTCACCTCGACTCCGAAGAAGGCACCCCGTCGACCGCCATCCGCGAGATCTCCTTAATGAAGGAACTGAAGCATGAGAGTATCGTGTCGCTCTACGATGTCATCCACACAGAGAACAAGCTCATGCTGGTCTTTGAGTTTATGGACAAGGACCTGAAGCGATACATGGACACCCGCGGCGACCGCGGCCAGCTGGACCCAGCCACCATCAAGTCCTTCATGCACCAGCTGCTCAAGGGCATTGCTTTCTGTCATGAGAACCGAGTGCTGCACCGCGACCTCAAGCCCCAGAACCTGCTGATCAACAAGAAGGGGCAGTTGAAGCTGGGCGACTTTGGCCTGGCACGCGCCTTCGGTATCCCCGTCAACACTTTCTCCAACGAGGTTGTCACCCTGTGGTATCGGGCCCCGGATGTCCTGCTGGGCAGCCGCACCTATAACACCAGCATCGACATCTGGTCCGCTGGGTGCATCATGGCGGAAATGTATACGGGCCGGCCGCTCTTCCCCGGCACGACCAACGAGGACCAGCTGCTGAAGATCTTCCGTCTGATGGGCACGCCGTCGGAGCGCTCGTGGCCCGGCATTTCCCAGCTGCCGGAATACAAGCCCACGTTCCACGTCTACGCAACGCACGATCTCGGCCTGATCCTGCCGCAGATCGATCCCTTGGGACTGGATCTCTTGAATCGCATGCTGCAGCTGCGCCCGGAGATGCGCATCAGCGCCAGCGATGCCCTGCAGCACCCGTGGTTCCATGATCTGCCCCAGGTCCATGCTCAATTGCAGCAACAGCAGCAGCAGCAGCAGCAGCAGATGGCCGGCCAGTATGGGGGCATGGTCCCACCGCAACCGGCCTATTGATCGCGGTGTCTGCGCATGATGAGATGACGAGTTTGAGATTAGACGATTGGAAATGGGTGGACAAGGCGTTATACCCGATAATTCTTACTTTATGTTTTTTTTTCTCTTTGATATTCGCATGTTAGGTCTGGGAAAGACAAGGAGTGTCTATATTTCCTTCGTTTCGAAATGGATCGTGCTCTAGATTCAATTTAACGGTCTACTTCGTTCCATCTTCAATAAAAACAGGCCCCTGTGCCTAGGTGTCTATGCCTATTTGAGAATCCTCCTTTTCGTCATCGCTTTCTGTTTGCCTCTCGACTCTGGCCCTTTTGGCAACATTGGGATTGGGCCGCCTCCCGCATGGACTATTGACGGTTGCCATGTCCGACTCGTTCCGGCTGGTGTCACGCGATTGATCTGTTTCCTCCCGATCAGAAAGCGTCACTGGCCCGGGTTTGTCTGGGCATCGCCAAGCTGCTTTGCTCCAGGCTATCCCACGTCCTTGGGGTGAGAACAGGCAGGAGCAAGGTCGTACATAAACCATATCTCCGAGGCTTACACTAAATCCTGACGAGACTCACGTGCTGGAATCTGGCCGCCATTACTGTTCGGTGGCAGACATCATCCCGGCAAGACCTGTGGAGTTTTATATCCTTTTTCGTCAGTAGGAGGGAGGAACTATTGGCAATATGTCTTTCTCTTCTCTTCTCTTCCCTTCCGAGTCCTTCTGCCCCAGGATGCCCCATCTCGGCCAGTGAACTACAAGCCGTACGACAAGATCAGACCCGGGCCGGGTTTCCCTCTCACCTGTGTTTATGTTCACTGCAGGTCGTGCAGGGAGTAAGCAGGCTGAGACCAGATAATCACCCTCCGCGCTGTCGGGTCGTCGAGCCCACATTCTGGTTTATCTCTACGCCTCGTCGGGGGTGAAATCGGGCAGTAAATGCTTCGTCTGTTTAATTTCGCGTGCTCTAGCAAGGTCGACATATAGACAACAGAATATGAAACTATGTCGTCGGCCACGCAAAGGCAGTTAGACGCCATCTCGGCCACAGAGCGCGTCTGCTCGGCCATCTCGCTGATCGGGACTTTTGTCATTTTCACCACATTCATCGGCTCCAGGGGCTTTCGGAAGCCTATTAATCGTCTGGTCTTTTACGCTTGCTGGGGTAATATCATGACCAATATCGCGACTCTCATCTCGCAGGATGGCATTCATGCTGGGGTTGGGGGTCCGCTGTGCCAGCTGCAGGCATTTCTCATTCAATGGTACATATACGCTATTCTTCTTTGGTCTCTCGTGCCTTATCTCTGATGATGCTCAGGTTCATGCCGGCCGACGCCCTCTGGACCTTCGCCATGGCGTGCAATGTCTACTTGACCTTCTTCCACAAATACAATTCGGAGCAATTGCGTCGACTGGAGTGGAAATACGCTGTGTGCTGCTATGGCCTGCCATTTATTCCCGCCTTTGCGTACTTTTTCATCAAATCTCAAGCTCGGGGGCGAGTCTATGGCTCTGCTATTGTGAGTCTGACTTGAGGATAAGGTCTTCCGAGATACTAACATCTGCAGCTATGGTGCTGGATCTCCATAAAATGGGATTTCCTCCGTATAGCCGTCTTCTACGGCCCGGTCTGGTTTGTCATCTCCTTGACATTTACCATCTACCTGCGTGCAGGGACAATCATCTTTCAGAAGCGAAGCCAGCTACGGAGTCTCGGAGCCATGGACTCCCTCGACACGGATGTCCAACCGGAAGCCCCCTTCAACAAGCTGGCAGGCATCCAAGTCACCAGCGAGATCGCCTGTTCGTCCCCGGAGCGCCGCTCCATGACTGCCACCCGCACGGTGCCTTGCCGCAGCTTTACCTCGTCGAACTTCAGCCCATACTCCGTCACCATCGAGGGAGGTAGTAGTGGCAACGTCGGTGGTGGCTATATTGTTCCCTACAGCCACGGGATAAGTCCAATCCCAGATCCACCATCTACATCAAAACTCCCTCCGAGTCCTCTCCGTACCGATATCTCCACCCCCAAGCCCGTGCGCTCCGAAACAACAGACTCGCACTCGCAGCGCCGTGCAGTGGCAGTGGCAGCGGCCGACACAGCGACCTGTGCGTATTTCAAGTACGCAATCCTGTATTTCATCGCATTGCTCGTGACATGGGTACGTTAGCCCCCCTTCATTCAAAAGATAGAAGCACTAATAACCGATTGTCTCAGGTCCCCTCAACCATCAATCGAGTATACGCCCTCGCCTACCCGGAAGCCTTTGTGTTTGGTCTCAATTACGCCTCCAGCTTCGTACTTCCGCTCCAGGGATTCTGGAACTGCCTTATCTATGTCTCTATCTCGTGGCCGGCCTGCAAATCTCTCTGGGCTGATATGCGTGCTCGTGTGCCGTTGTTGTCGAAGATTGCACCCATCAGTGTAGGTGGGCCGGCGCAGTGCTCGCAGAGAGAGGTGCGAGATTCCCGAGTCTCGCATAGTACGGTGGGGCATCATTCGGATGATAGTCTACAGGAATTGGCTGGAGTTAGGTGAGGGGATTGTGGGTTTCGGGCGATGTACAAGTATATAATATCATGCCTAATGGGCTGAGACATCTATAATTTCTAATACTGACTTGAATGGGAAACAAATGCTAAAAGATGGTAATTACAGTATCACAACAGTGGAGATATATCAGATCCTCGATCAGTTGTTCAACGACACGAACTTGTTCAAGTACTGCGGACCCTCGCACAAGATAAGGTTGTCCGCGACCCATTTCCCCGTATCCTCTTTGGAAATCGTATATCCAACGGCCGTAGACTCCCTTCCGGTCTTGATATCCTCCACTCCGACGTGGATCTTCTTTTTCTTCTCGCCTTCCAGCAAAAGGGCGGGACGAATGATGGTGTAGTTCTCGCCACTTCCAGATAAGATATCTTCCATGGCCTTTTTATCAACATGCGGCACCTTGAGGATGCAATGGTAAAGCGGATCCAGAATCATCGGGCTGTCGCGGCCAAAGTTTGATATGCCCCGGGAGCTGCAGGCAATAATCTGCGGGTGACCCGTGGCGCCGTCGCGGCGCACCTGGGCAAGTGCTTCGAGGAGAACTGTCGCACCCTTTTGGCAGACTTTTGGGTCGTCGATGGTCATCTTAGAGATAATGGGCTTGCCTCCGATGGTGCTCACGATCAGGTCGACCAGCTTGCCGTCTTCCGTGAGCAGACACTTGGACACGGCGGCGACATCATGGGCGTTGCCCTGAACAACTTTGAGATTGGGTGTTGTCTCTGGCGTGAAGATGTCTGTGAGCTTGGAGGGATAGCGGCATAGCGCGATGCACTGGTGGCCGGCCGCGAGAGTGTGCTTTAGGGCTGCGAGGCCCACGCCGCCACTAGCGCCGAGGAACGCAACGGTTTTGATGGTGGAGGTCATCGTGATTGCTTATCAAAATTTGGATGGATGAAAGTGTGGGTGCTTTGCGTTGTTTGTTAATCTGATTTCCTGACAGCGGGCCCGACGCTGCTTTTTATCTACATTGTAGTCCCCGAAGGCTGCGCGAGGCTGACCGAGTTAGAGTTATTCGGCGTTTCTTCGCGCTGACGGCATTGATTACATACCCACCATCGCCCAACGCATTAAACAAACCGGAGAGCGAGACTAACGCGAGAGTCAGCCGAAAAGAATTCAGGCGTTAATAATGCTATGCTAGCATGGCACAAGCACCGCCCACAGCTTCAGCGCCACTGACAATGAGCGCGGTCGCCTCGGTCTTGGATGCCGAGAAACGCGCGAGCTCCCCGCCCAAGGCGACCCCCAAGCTGCGCAGCTGCGTCGTCTGTCGCAGTCGCAAGGTCCGCTGCGACAAAAAATCTCCGTGCTCGAATTGCCGTCGTGCAAACATCACCTGTGTCTTTCCATCCGCTGATCGTCCGCCGAGATGGGCCCGACGTCTGATATCTAATCAGCAGGCAGCACAGGGTGCCCCCGTGGCAGACCATATCATGGAGAGAATTCACAGCCTCGAGACCCTCGTCACAGAGCTGCGCGGTCAGCTCGAACAGGCTAACTTGACCGGGGGTTCTTCGGCGGTCCACTCGCCGGACAGCTCCTCGCAAGGTCCAGATCCGGTCCACCAGGAGAATGCTTCGTCGACGCATGAAGGCAATGTTCAGAAGCAGTTTGGGAGATTAGTTCTCCAGGATGCCAGCCAAAGCCGCTACTTTAGTAGTGGTTTCTGGTCCCGGGTCACCGATGAGGTATGTCAGTCTGCTCCTGTCGTATTGCCTGAATTGACGTTATGATCCAGCTCGATGGACTGAAGATGGACACTCGAGGTCTTCTACTAGGGGATTCTGACAGCTCGGACGATGACACCTCAACGAGAAAGACCCAGTCTACTCAGGAACTCGGCCGCACGCCTTCCGAGCGCCATGCATTCTTATTTCGACACAACTTGAGCCCTTTTATCCCCGATTTACGCGAGTTCCATCCGTTACCATCTCAGATACCTTTTCTCTTGGATGTTTTCTGTGAGAACGTCAATGTCTTCGCACAGATCGTCCATCGCCCTTCCGTTGAGAAGATGGTCCGGGAGCTTCGCGGGAGTGACTTGACGAGCCTCAAACCTGGAAATGAGGCCTTGATCTTCTCGATCTACTACGCGGCCATCACTTCAATGGAGGACGATGATGTATGTTGATATTATGGATGGACAAGAATTAAGACTGACGGTCGTTCAGGTCATCATCAATTTTGGATCTACCAAAGCCGAGCTCAATCTCAAATTCCGTCTTGGCCTGGAACATGCGCTTGCAAGGGCTGATTTTTTCAATGTGCCTGATTTGGTTCTGGTGCAGGCATTTGCTATCTTTCTGGCTCTGGTTCGCCGGCATGACAGCCCACGGTTTGTGTGGATGATGACGGGGATGGCCATCAGAATGGGCCAGGCTCTCGGGTTACATCGTGACGGCACCAATTTCAAGCACCTCACTCCATTTGAGATTGAGATGCGACGAAGAGTCTGGTGGGTCTTGTGCTTCCTGGATGTGCGAGCATCGGAAGACCAAGGTATGGACGTGACCATTGCAGCCGGCACCTACGACACCAAGCGACCTCTGAATATCAACGAAGGAGATCTTCATCCTGATCTGAAAGAAATGCCTCCAGAGCGCGAGGGTTTGACCGACACGTCCATTATGCGTATTTCGATTAACATGTGCGAGATCACCAGACAGATGATGGCGCCCAGTTTCAAGAACCAGGCCCCGAGCATGGAAGAACAGAGCCGCCTGCTGAATGGGTATTACGAGATTCTCGAACGGGAATTTCTGCAATATTCGACCAAATCTGGGAACATTTCGTATTGGGTGCAAGTTACAGTCGCACAAATTTGGATGGCCAAGATGACACTTCTGACCTATCTGCCTGTGCTCTTCTCTTCGCCCAGTGAACACTTCTCCGACGAACTTCGAAGCAAGCTTTTGGTGGCGGCCATCGAGGTCGCCGAGTATAATCATGCCCTGAACTCCGAGCAAGCCTGCCGCCACTGGCGCTGGCTTTTCCAAACCTACACCCATTGGCACGCGGTGGTGTACCTTTTGATTGAAATTACGCGGCGTCCGTGGTCGCCCCTTGTCGAGAGGGCCTGGGTGGCCCTCCACAGTGTGTGGCTCATTCCGACCCAATCGCACATGGACAAAAATCTGCGAATCTGGTTCCCCTTGCGGAAGCTGATGGGTCAGGCCCGCCAGCACCGCGAGATGGAGCTGGAGAGGCTGCGAGGGGATGCCCCGGCTGCCGAACACCTGGAGAGGGAGGACCGAAAGATGCCGGTGCCCTCTTCGAGTCCGGGGCTCTCTTCAGCCAAGGATGCCAATGCCGCAGAGTTCTTTATTAAGCGGTGGCATCATTTACTAGTTCCAGTGCCGGCTGGAGCCGGGTGTACAAGCAGTGCCACCGCCCGTGTACCTGGGGACAACGCCACGAGGGCTGCCAGTCTCTCGGATCCCTTTTTTGGGACTAATATCGATCCTCAGAGCGACATGGAAAGCCGCTCCCAATCGGCCGTTGAACCAACGTATCATGCTGGTTCGCACTCAGGCCAGAACCTGTCAAGTGCTGCTTCCAACGACTTCGGACCGGCTCTGTCGACCACTACTCCGATGGATCCTTTCAATGTGAATAACCCGTCTCCGGCCCATCAGGCGGGCGTGGTCCCCTGGCTGTGGGCGGATAATAGCGCACCCGCCGAATTTTCCAGCTTAGATATCCCAATGGATCTGGACGGCGAGGTCGACTGGTACAATTGGGTCGAGTCGGCTAAAGAAGTGGAATGGGATACAGGACGTGCATAGGATCGTATGTATATAGTACCTAGTAGAGTGGCAGGCCTACGGAGGGTGCTATCTGAGACAGGCAGGTATCAAGCGATTTCAGATTCGTCCAGCCCTCCTCCGACTAGGCTTGGTGGCTTCCAGGTCTGCTGTGATATGTCTACGGATTTGAAGAATAAAGGGGCGTTTATTTCTCTAAACAAGTACAAGAAAGGGGCTCAGGGTGGAATAACGATTCTCTATTCGGATCCAAGATCATATAAACATCTAGCTTGATAGCCACCTGACGTAACGATGTTTGGACTTTCCAACAGATGTACCATTTCTTCCTTTCCTATTTCCTTCTCAGACAACCTATCTATGCTCTCTGTCTCACCTTTTCACCCCCAACAATCACAAATACCCATCTTACCATTTGCCTCTTTTTCTCCAACTGCGCTTCACCAGCTTTGAACCGTATTGACAGATCATCAATCTGCCTGCTGCATTATGGATATCGAGATGTGGTACGAAGCCAGAGCAGATGTGTGTCGAAACTGCGGAGGCAAAGATCATTTCATACACCACTGTCCGAACCCTTGCCGATTCTGTCGAGAGCCCGGCCATCTCAATGTGGAGTGCCCGTTGATAGTTCCCTGCCACACATGTCGCCGCAAACTCCACAGCAGCGACTGTCCAGAGCGCCCTCTTTCCTCACACCGGCTGATGGAACCTGCAAAAGAGGAGACGGCTAGAGCACCTGCTACTATCGCTTCTAGCCAATCCCGGTACACGCCCATACCCGCTACTGCGCAACAAAAAGCAGCACTAAGCAATGAGGTGAGACCCTTGGAGGTAGACGAATTCTCAATTCTTTTAAGCCTAACATCAGAAACGAAAACTACTAGGCACCCATTCAACCTGCGGTTGTGTTTCCTGTTCTCTTTGAGATATATCTCGCTCTAATTCGGAAGCTCGAGAGTGGGTTCTGCCAAGACACACCACTGCCGTATCGCGAGGTTATCGGCCTTTTTGACAGCCCCGAAGAGCTTGCCTCACGACTTGTTGATGCTGTCGATCCAACAATCCGACACTTACAAGGACAGACAATCACAAGAGCCTTGTAAGTTTCAAAGTTTCTGTCTGAATATTTAAGGCTAACATTAGTAAAGGTTAGACGAGGTTCGCGAAGCGCAGATCAGGAACAACCTTTCTTGGACAGCAGACGAAGGATATCTTGACTATGTCATAGACGTACGCTTTGATAATTACTGGCGAAGTTACGTTGGACAGTCCAACGATACACACCAGCGAGTTTCATATCATATCCGGCAGATCAAAAATGGTGCATATAATACACTTCACTACTTTGTGATCAAGAGAGGTGAGGGATCGCGTGTCCCCAACTTCATCAAACTGTGGAGGCTGGTCTTGCCTCGCAGTGTTGATCCCGCTGTCAGAGAGGTATGCAGCAATGTGCTAGAGATGGGAATGACTCGAGCGTTTCAGTCACTCCCACCGAAAGAACTCGAAAACGCGTTTGGCGCTCCACTTGAGGGCGAGGATGGCTTCTCATTTGTCGGCCTCAACCTAATTTCACCACTTCTCCAGGGATCATTCATCTCGTCTTGGGAAAGGCATCAATATTCTCTACAACTGAAAGGATCATTGGATCCAGATATCCGAGAATTCCCAAATGTTCGCACAGAATATCACAAGAAACTCAAAACAGCCGATAATGGTGGCATTCTTCGGAGATACACCAAGGAAATGTGTCAGAACGCGCTTTGGGCGGCGGCTGATACTCAGCCAGGTCTGCGGGTACATATCGAGATTTTCCAACGTCAGGTTTTTGAAGATAATGGCACTTCTCAAGGTCCTGAACAAGCAAAGGACGGCGAATTCAAGTGGTTACAGGACGCCCTAGATGAGCTGTCAGCGGCGGACAGTAAGCATGTGGAATGTTTGCTTCCTGTTGGAAACCGCATTTCTCGCCTCGGAATAGTCCTCAACGAAGGTGTCTGGGGAAATCCTGGTAGAGATGCTTCACCGGATGCTTCAATACCTTCAGCACTCGCTCAATGTGGCTTCAATGCCTCAAACATTCTGCTCTGGACGGCTACGTTTCGTCGCCCTCTATCTGTGGGCCCAGGGATGCAGATATTTCCCGATAGCCGACCTATCAGTACACTTCAGCAGCTTAACATGAGCCTCATATCGCGAAGCTTTGTAGATGTTGTTCTAGTATGTGATGCCGAAGCTGAGAAAATCTTGTTTGAAAACAACCCATGGGTCATACCATTTATGATTCAGCTTGATTCCTCCCACAAGTGGAGGTCTTGGATTGAGCACCGACGCCAGCGCCGCTTGTATATCTCATGCCCCTCACCACTGGTAGCTCTGTGGAGTGACCATTGGCACAAGGCGGCGAGAGTTTCAGCAATTTTCCGATTTGCAGCCGTCTTTGCGGGGATTCGAGGAATTAAATCTAGCGCCTGCGCTACAAGTCTGATTGTACTTGAAGTCATTCGTCTGTACGCGAGAGAGAAACAAGGAGGGGAGAAAGTTACGATGCAAAACCTTGACCCACGTCTTAGGGCGTGGCTTGAAGTTTCTGGTTTTTCACAACAAGACGTCGAACTTCTTGAAACATCGGCAGAGTCTCTATCGACTGCGCTGCTTATGATACTCCTCTTACGGGCAGGCACTAAGAGAACTACACCAGATGGAGCGATAAATCAAGCGTGTGCTCGCCCAAGGCTTCTTTCTTCTAATCAGAAAAGAAGACGTGTCATGGATAGGACTCAGCTGGAGAAAGTCCGAGAAGTGTTGCAACATGTCACTCAACGACAACAGACGGCTGCTGGACAGGCAGTAGAGCCTACCGGTACATGTTCTGCAGATTATCAGTCTGTGAACATTGATATTCAGCATGAAGGTGATCAGTTTGAAGGCTTGGAGATCACAACTGATGAAGACGGCGTGGTGTTAAACGCTTCCATCCCTTTCGAGACTGGTTCTAATCAGAAGTCAGCTACATCAATATCATCTCATGAGTTGTCTTTACGGATGAAGCTACTGCAAGGCACACATGGACCCAAAATCCACAAACACACATCGAACATGCATCGAGCTTATGTGACCCCTTGGTTTCCGTTACTGCTTTCTTTTGCAGACCACGATACGTCTTGCAAAGAAGTGAGAATAAAGGCTGAGATTGTCAATAAGAAACATTCTTGTATGTGGGCTTCGGATGCTCGTGATGACGATCCAGCGAAGAGACTCGCATTTCGTGTGACTTGCACGGGAGAAAACGGATCTATGTGGACTGTTTATCCTTCTTGCACCGGGGATTTGGCAGCCAAGAGAGCCAACAGCTTCGTGGATTGGATGGATGGGCTTCCGATAGAGGAAATCAGCACGAGAGCCCGGCGATTGATCTCATTTTCCAACACAATGCACCTTCCGACGCTCTATACTGATGAAGCTGGAAATTTGATGAAGAGCGGAATAAAGCGCAAACAGGATGAAGTGATTTGCTGATACTAGTTGCCTCCTTGAACGGGCGGGGTTCCCGGGCTTTCTTTTCTCAGAACATGCATTCTACATGACAGACTCAGACGCCCGCAATCCGATGATAGTGACGATGGCAATGATTATCAAGACGGCAGTGAAGAGGAGGACAGTGAAGGGGATTTGGTGACCAGGATGATAGTGACGAAGTTCATGATTATGATGAGAGCAGTGATGGATAGAAAATCCCCAGAGATAATGAATGTGTATTTGCTAGAGTCCCATCTATTGCCGATTCCAGGCAGGTTTCTCTTCTAACAAGCTATTGTAGTTCACATTGGTTTTTGTCTAGTAAATCAGGTTGGATCTACTGTGATTTATTCATCAATCTAATTAATAATGCGATCATGGGTGTTGGTTACAGTTGCTTCGTGCTATTGGATTTGATATGGGAAATGATATACTAATCCATAAATGGCTCCGTATCTGAAGGTATTCCTGGCTCTTGTCTATGATGAAGCAAGTGATAGTGCATTCAATAAACAACAAGCTTTTGACATTTGTCCGATATTAGCTCGTTGCTCTTCATGGCACTTTTATATATTTCTGTGTCTCAATTATTCCGACACTTACACGTTTTACGGTCATAACAAAACCCCTTCTACGGGAATCGCGGTAATTCACAAAGCAGGTATACGCTTAACTCTGCTAGCAGAATATCTGTCCTTCTAATTTTAAAGCTTCAACACGTCACCGCCAGTATTACACACCGATCACTCAGGCCATATGTCCCAAGCAACGGGCTTAGTAGGCTCAAAATTTGGATATGGTGAATTTACCACATTCCTAAGACAGTCATCCAGCCGCTTAAAATGCCATTTCTCTATAGTCTTATTCGTAGTGTAGTCTATCTCTGCCTTACGGTGCTTTAACATATATACTGAAGATCCTTACGCTAGCCTATATAGCTAGTTTTTGAATGTCCCTTCTATATGTAAAAGCTCAATATGCTCTAAGGTTTCTAGATATAGGCATTGGTATTACGAGCAGTGATAATAATATTCTTAGAATTAAAACAAACTATTTGAAAATTCTTTAGAAGTAAACGTATTCGAGATACAATAGTTAAGCGAATATGCGGACTTGTCTACATTTCGCTGTGTTATTTTTAACCCACTCTTATATTTTTAGAATAGTAATCACTTAGCTTAGTATATTGTCTAGGCTTATTTGAAGAATGCACGTTCTAAGCAAAGGAAGGTGAGAGCTATGCCTCTATGAATTTCTTTTATAGGTTCGTAGTAATCTAGTCTATATTCGGTCTGAGGTTTCGTAACCCGACTGGGTGCAATATCAATTGAATCGACTGGCTAAGCGCTATATAGGGCGCTCATTGGGTAAAGGTAAAAATTTCATTAAACCCAATTGCACGGGGTTATTTCTCTTATATACCAAGAGACGCCCCTTAATGAAACTGAGTTCAGTATTCCAAGCCGAAGGTCAACCGAGGTCAATCCCCCAGAGCCGAATGATAAATTACATTCAGCAGTAAATAACACGCCTAAGCTCATTCAGGTATGGAAAAGTATCGAATGAGATTAATTATACCGGCACGACTAACTCTTATCGACGACCATCGCCGAAGGTACCGAAAACTGAAAGGGCCGATTTGCGCCCCCCGAAATCGGATTTTTGGGCCAGAGGGCGGTGACAACAGAGACAGGCAGCGGAGAACTTGGGATAATCGGCTATGTCCTGTACAGGAATCGGCTATGCAGGTACTGTAGGAGGAAGGATATTCTAATTTCTATGTTCCGGTTCGCTGGGGTCATTCTCGTTTAAGGGCTCAAATGTTGATCATTGTTTCTGACAAGAAGCTAGATAGCTATCCAATTCCATAATAATGATGGCTGAACTAGTGGAGAATACAATTGTGTGGAGAATAGAGCGTTTTCGGAGAAAGGCCTTTTAGTTCACGATTCTATGAGCATCTAAATGGATACAGTAGGAAATAAATAAAGCTGCTCGAAAGCGCAGACACAAAGGGGAATAAAAGCACGATGATATCACAATAGTCACCACGGCAGTAATCAACGGGTACCTAGTATCGAGTCGGCCCTCCCGTACTCGGAGGCAAATAAGTAATGGGCTTGTTCATGATCAATCTTGACAGGTCATATCCCGGTGCATACAATGACCAGAAAACGACTGCACAGCAGAAGGGTATCTCAAACCTTCTCTTTAGTGCTTCGCAGTGACAGCCTCGCCAGTCAGTTTCTCGACTGCCTCTTTAGCCCTATTTCAGTGTAGCAGTGGTTAGTCCGAGGTATCACATGCAAGCGAAGGATAAATCAATGAGGACAGGAAGAAAAAGGAAAGATTGAAACGTACATGTCACCCAGAGCAACCATGCAGACGGTCTGCCAGATGCCCAGGCCGATACGGGGGGTCACACCCCGGTAGAGACCCTTGATGCCGTTGGAGTCGTAGATGTACTTGAAGGTCTTACCGACAGTCAAGTTCTTGGGCCGGTTGGGGTCCTCGGTCTTGCTCTGCATCTCGACGCGGATAACCTCGATAGGTTGGTTCCAAGCGGACAGACCACCACCAAGGCCAGAGGCCAGGATCTTCTCGAAGGCGGACAGCTTCTGGCTATCTTCCTTGTTGGTCACCTTGCGGATGGCGGTCTCAGCCAGACGCGACAGACCAAAGCGTGAGCCCCAGTTGGTCGTCTGACGGATAGCCACGGCATTGACACCACGGTTGATACCACGGATGCCCTCCTTGCGGTAAATATCCATGAAGGTCGCGAAGGTGCCGGGAGGCTTGACGCCCGACGCAGCCATCTTGTGCTTGGTGATCTCGACCGTCTTCATACAGGTACAGAAGCCCATAGTCGCATAGGCCTGGGCAACACCACCGGCCATACCAGCACTGATACCAGCCAGAAAGTCGGGCGCACCGAGCACCTTGGCGCCGTACTCCGCCTCGGAGGCGACGAACAGCAGCACGGCGCCCTTAGTAGAAGCCTCAATCCAGGCCCACGGAATGAGTCCTTGATAGTCTATTTCAATTTCCGTCGGTATTAGCCTCTGCAAAAATTTTTTTTTTTGTCGGGGACTTGTCCGGGGTGTGGGCACATCCCCACACCACCGTAACTTGCGCTCATCGGAGGAATCAGGATCAGCGTCACTTACAACCGAGGATCCCGCCACGACCCCAAATCCGACCCATAGCACCGGCGAAGCTGTCGCCCCGGTTTGCGGCCATGGTTGTCTTGGTCACTTCCAGCGGCTATAATGGTCCATCGGTCAGTATCCCTGGTTTCGGCGGGGGATCAATTGTGTCGGTATTCGGAGGGGGATTTTGGCGGCCGTACCTGTCCAAGCGTTGTGACCCTAGAGATCAATTAGCATCTATTATCGTATGGGACATGTTCCTCGGTAGGAGGTGACATACTCGAACATGTTCAATCCAGCGCCCACTGCAAAAGACCGAAAGTTAGACCACTGGGCCCTGTCGAGACAAAGAAAGGATCCTTACGCAACAGGTTGCTGAACTTGACGGGCTTTCTCTCCAACGCGGGGGCCGAAGCCTTCTCCGGGGTGGTGGTAGACATCTGGGGCACTTGGGGATGCACTGAAAGGGGCCCTGACCAAGGGATGTAGGGGGGCTGCGGCGCCGAATGGATCACAAAAGGTGGGAAGAGAAGAAGAGGGGAGTGAGTCGGGAAGTCGAGGTGAGAGAAGTGGGTGTGGAGGAGGAGAAAAGGGAGAGACCGAGAGAAGAGTTACATATAGGGGAATCAGCAAGAGCTTGGGACGGTCGGATGGGCTGGACTGGATCCTCCCGGCAGTACCTGGTACCTCCGCCTTGCAGGGAATCCACTCAGCCTATCAGGTACCAAGTACCTTCCATACTGCTAGTGCCTAGGCAACGTGACTGGCCTGTGATTGTCGATCATAGGTTTACAGAAAATTAGGATCCATCGTACTGGTGATTTTGCTACTACCTCGCGGTGAACTATTCTTCTGATCGAAAGTACTGGGTGTCCATCACATCTCGAGTGGGCCCGGCGGTGAAAAAAGTTGAGCGGGCCAAAGCGTCCCAACAGTTTGCAGTCTCGATTCTACATGGCAGTTATCAGACCTAAAATACAATCTACGCCGTATGTTCCAGACTCTGTCGCACAGAAATGATGTTTGAGGAAGTGCTGTTACAAGGCCCGCTCGAACCGGTCAAGTCCTAGTTTATCATACAAAACAAATAAAACTCTTCCTCCAGAAAAAATCCAAGTAAAACAAAGAACCCCAAAGAAAATGAAAATTATACAAATGGCAGGATGCGCTTAGAGCTTAGCACCAACCAGCTTGGCATAGGCCTCAGTGCTGAACGACTTGGGGCGCTCAATGGGCATGCCCAGGGCACGGTCGATGATCAGCTGGGGCAGGACACCCAGGGCGCGCGACACACCGAACAGGACGGTGTAGTAGTTGGCCTCGGTCAGACCGTAGTACTGCAAGAGGACACCAGAGTGCGCGTCAACGTTGGGGAAGGGGTTCTTGGTCTTTCCGTGCTCGGTCAGAACACCAGGGGCGATCTTGTAGACCTGGCTGACCAGCTTGAACATGGGGTCATCGGGCAGCTTGCGCAGGGCAAACTCGCGCTGCGAGACGTAGCGCGGGTCAGTCTTACGCAGCACAGCGTGGCCGTAGCCGGGCACGACCTGGCCGGCGTTCAGGGTGGACCACAGGTAGTCCTTGATCGACTGGTCGCTCAGGTCGTTGCCGATGGCGGACTTCATCTTGGTGAGCCAGTTCAGCACCTCCTGGTTGGCCAGGCCGTGCAGGGGACCGGCCAGACCCTGGAGGCCGGCGGACAGCGAGAGCATAGGCGAGCTCAGGGCGCTGCCGACCAGGTGGGTGGTGTGGGCGCTGACGTTGCCACCCTCGTGGTCGGAGTGGATGGTCAGGTACAGGCGCATCAGCTCCACGAAGTCGCTGTTGCCGCCGAAGCCCAGCTGGTTGGCCAGGTTGAACGAGTAGTCCTTGTCCTTCTGGACGGCGGCGACCTTGCCGTCCTTGAAGACGTTGCGGTAGATCTTGGCGGCAATGGTGGGCAGCTTGGCGATCAGGTCCATCGAGTCCTCAAAGGTGTAGCTCCAATAGTCCTTCTTGTTGATGCCCTTGGCGTAGGCCTTGGCGAAGGCCGACTCGTGCTCCAGGGCGGTCACGGCCAGCGAGAACTGGGCCATGGGGTGTAGGTCGGTGGGGCAGCGGTCGATGAGCTCCTCCAGGAACTTGGGGATGTCGGAGCGCGCAGCCCACTCGGCAGACAGGTCACGGACCTGCTGCTCGGAGGGGATCTCACCGGTCAGCAGCAGCCAGAAGAGACCCTCGGGCAGGGGCTCCTCGCCACCGGGGGCCTTGGGCAGGAGCTTCTGGATCTCGGGGATGGTGCGGCCACGGAAACGGATACCCTCCTCGGAGTCGAGGATGGAGCCCTCCCAGACGAGGGACTTGATGCCACGGGCACCGCCATAGGCCTGGTCCAGGGTGACCTCGCCTATGACCTTGTTACCGTAGTCTCTGTCCTTGCGATTAGCCGGAATTGCGCGGATGGACAGCCAGAAAGAACATACTTGCGGAGCTTCTTGACCTTCTCGATCTCGGCCGGCAGGTTATCGGCAAAGGTGTCCTTGAGGGACTAGACCAGACATGTTAGCATGCCCAATTGAGCTCGGTCAAGCTGTACGCACCTTGGCCTTCGCGGAGGAGTAGCAGCGCACGCCGTTCAAGGCGGCGGTCTGCACGGGCTTCGCGACCGAAGACCGCAGGGCGGCAGTACCGATTCGAAGAGAGGTAGCCATATCGAGTTGTGATAGAAAAGGAGGGAGGGGGGTTATGAGAAGGTGGAAGGATGGGAGAGGATCAAGTGGACACAAGAAGAAGAATGAAGGAGGGAAAGAGATGACAAAATTTTCGGGGAGAATAGCTCTCTTTTTTCTCCCTTCGACCCGTAATACAGCCGGTACCGCGAGCGTCACGGTCACAAAATCGGGAGCCCGTGTCCGGCAGCTTAGGGCGTGTCATTAAAATGGGTCTGTCACGGGCGGTAATTGCTGGCCCCAACGGTACTTCTTCTCGGCCTGCCGGGAGATCCTGGCTGGCACTTCCACTGGAGCTTTCAGGTCCACTGCGGTCGAATCCTTCTGGGAGATCCGGGTTGATTCGATGCACATTCTGGGGCAGAGTCGTGCGATGATTGGGTCAGAACATTGGAGTTACTGGACTACATATCACTATCCTATCGTCCAAGCCCAACGGTATACCTCATGATGATGCCGATGTGAGACAGGGGCCCGTACGGTACCGTCATTGCGCTAGGCCCGATGGAGATGCTGGGAGATGACGTCGGCAACTCGCCCTTTATCAACCGTGCCGCTTCCGAGGGCGATGCGCCCCGAGCCCTGAATCAGGTCAGATCCTCGGTATCCATGACGGTCGTCCTCGGGAGGGTTCTGCGAAGGCAGAGACTCCGACAGACAGAAAGACCCCCAACGATATCCGGGGGGCAGTGGCACACGCCCTTCTCAAATGGTTCACCGGGGTCATTGTGTACATTATTGTGGCCGGACAGCGGGTGTAGGTATCCACCGGCGAATCTCGGGTTTCTCTCGGGCTCTCACTGGCGGAAGAGGAAAGAAGGAGTACGGGGGCCGGAGAGACTAGGAATGCACAAAAATCATGTGATCTATCCGGATCATCACATAACCCCATTCCGGTGGCAGACTTTTGCGGTCACCTGACCGGTCCCTGCCATCCCTGCTCTTGCAAGTTTCTCCCTTCTTTCGTTTGTTTCATCATCTCCCTCCCAACCTCCCCTTCTTCTTCATCTCTTTCCATCGTTTTTTTCATCGCCTGGGACCTGCGGATTACTCGTACACTGTAACTGCGTCACTCTGCTTCCCTCCTGGGATCTCACTTGCAGTGCGCCTTAGGTTGTACCTCCTGTACTCGTACTCATCCCACCTCTTCCACACACATCCTCGCTAGGCTGTATCTCAGCTGTAGGCGGCAGTTCTCTGGTCAGCAGTGTATGCGCTCGTGGGTTCAGTAGTGAAGAGCCACGGTTTCTTTTTTAAGACCTCGTTAGGAGTCCGTTTCTGCTTGAGCGTCTCTGCTGCATTCGAAGTAACCCGCAACATTGCTGAGATATCTCTCTCTCTCTCTGCGACAACCAAGCATCAGACTGATAGAGTCTTCTTCCTACACATTCTCACTTTCGGCGGCCACAGCCAGTGATCGCCATGTCGTCAGCCTCTGCGGAGCTGGAGAATTATCTCCAGTCCATGCTGGCGCTCAAACCGCCCGGTGTGTCCGGCTCCAAGATCAACAGCATCACCTCGCTGTGCACCGCCAACGTCCAGGTACGGCCATCTGCCCCATCGCTGTTCCAGAACCCTCGCTGATCACCCTCTCTTCCTTCTAGAACGAATCCGTCCTCATCCAGAAGATCTATACACACTTCAAAAAGGCCCCTGGCACCCACAAGTTGGGCGTACTCTATGTCGTAGACTCTGTAACGCGACAATGGGTAGATGCTGCGCGCAAGGCCGGCCAGCCTGCTGGAAGTGCTGCGCCCGATGGGACATTCGCCGCGGGCGTCAACCGAGTGACGGAGCTACTGCCCGTCTTGATGACCGATATCATTAACAACGCCCCCGAAGATCAAAAGGTACGCATTAGAACACACAAGATATCAAATCACACCATAAAAAGAGGATGTTCGTTTTCTTGCCTGCAGACAAGCTGGTCCGATGCGATGTATCTGCATCCGGCCCTCGCTGTGTCTGCGGTTAATTTTAACTTGCAACCTAGTCCACTTATGATTGTGCTGGGAACCGTATAACTCACGTATTATGTTCTACTTTTAGGAGAAAATCAAGAAGCTGGTGGACATCTGGGAGCGCGGGCAGACTTTTCCCGCCCCCATGTTGGCCTCGTTCAAGGAGAAACTGAACGCCCCCCGGCCCAGTAAGCTTACTCGATCCACCGCGAGAACAATTCCATCTAATTATGTATCTCTAGACATTGAATCCACCACTCCCGATGGATCCCCGGCTCCGGGTTTCAACCCCCTGGCTGGTCTTCAGCAGCCGGCACAGCAATCAGCCAATGGCGCGACCAATACGTCAAGCATCCTCAAAGCCTTGGCTGACATGGCGAAGCAGAACACCGCCGCCCCGGCAGCCCCTGCTGCGCCAGTGCCCACTAACCCTCTGGCCGCCCTGACCGGAGCTGCCCCGCAACCGGTGTCCTCTGCCGATTCTGCGGCCGGGGTCAATCACTATGCCGGTGGTGCCATGGCGAATCCACTTGCCGCTCTGAGTGGCCTCGCGCAGAATCCTGCCATGGCCCAACCGCAAAGCCAAAGCCAAACTCCGAACCCGCTGGCGGGGTTGCTGCCGCAAGCTGCTGCTGCTCCCACGCAGCCTGCGCCTGGTGCGACAGACCCTAACGCGCTGGGTCAACAGCTTCAGCTCATTCAAATGCTTGCCGCGCAAGGTATCCCGCAAGACCAATGGGGGACCGCATTGCAGCTTCTCAGCTTTTCCAACCCCGCCGCCATGGGTGGTATGAATGCCGGTCAAATGCCGCCGGCATTCAATGCGATGGCCGGCCAAGGTGTCGGCGGCTGGGGGCGTCCAGACTCCCAGAACCGCGATCGTGAGAGAGATCGTGACTATCCTCGCTCGCCTCCCGGTGGGTACCGCCGTCGTTCCCGTTCTCCCGGCTGGGACAGACGCCGCACTGTCTCCCCTCCTCGCCGCCGCGAGAGTCCTGTCTATGGAGATTACCATGACGATTCACCCGGACGCCGTGGAGGAGACCCGCGTGACGCCCGTGGCCGCCGCGGTGGCAATGAATATCGACAGCGCAGCCCACCTGGACGCAGGCGCCGCTCCCCCTCTCCCAACCGCCGAGACCCTAACCTGCCGCCTCCGGGACCCAAGTTCCTCGAATGGGACTACTCGATTGGCCAGGGCAGCATCAAGGTTCTGAGCCGGACTCTGTTCGTGGGAGGTGTTACCGCGCCCGAGGCCCACTTGCGCGCGCTGTTTGGCAAATTCGGAATTGTCCAGACCTGCATCGTCAACATCGACAAGCGCCACGCTTTTATCAAGATGATCAGCCGCAAGGACGCAATCAGTGCTCGCGACGGAATGGAGTCGTACCGGGCTGGCGATATGCAACTCAGGGTAAGTTTGATCTCTTTCGGTTTTCTTTTCTTTTCGGTTCTAACTTATAGATGTACAGACTCGATGGGGTGTCGGATTCGGTCCCCGCGACTGCAGCGACTACCAGACCGGCGTCAGCATTATTCCAATCGAGCGCCTGACCGAAGCAGACCGCAAGTGGATGCTGACTGCCGAGTACGGTGGCACAGGCGGACGGCCAATCGAGTCCGGGATGGTCGTCGAGGAGCCGGACATTGAAATCGGCGCCGGCGTGTCCTCCAAGGCTATCAGCCGCCGCATTGCGACAGACACCGGCGGCAAACGCGGCCCGATCTCTACGCGCACGCAACCTGACCGCTTCGGCGGTGGTCCCCCTGCGGGGGGTCCTCCTGGCCGCCGCGGCGATCGTGATGGCTACGCTAGCGGACCCGGTGATCGTGACGCACCGAACATGAACAACCCGGCTGTCCCCCGGCAGTGCCGGCTTACGGTTTCAACTTCGCCAACATGCCCATGCTTCCGCCTGGCTTTATGATGGGCGGTGCTCAGGCCGGCTCGATGCCGACCTCGCAGCCTCCGCCTCCTGGCCAAGGCCAGTAAACAAGAAAAAGTCTTCTTCCAACGCGCACACACATACGATCTTCTAATTTGGCTCTACTATCACTCTGCATGACATGCATCGTTGTCTTTATCCACGACTTGCCCGCATGGGTAACCCAGGCGTTTAATGGTTGAGAACGGAAGGGAGGGATTCTGTATAAGCCGACCTCGGCTTTTCTTGGCCGGCTCACTGGTTTTACGTGGGCGGGTAAGGTGTTTCGTTTTGCCCTTTTTTTTTCCTTTCTCTTTTTCTTGTCTTTTCACTTCTTCGCTTGTATCACTTTTTCTTCCTCTTGCATGTTCTGCCATGGCATATGCCTATGAGCGATATTCTCATAATGGTGACCGCCACCTTGATTCCTGGATGAGACGGAATCATGAAATGTACAATTCTACCCTGCACGTCCAAGCTTTTCTCCGTATCTCGGTCTTGTGGAAGGAAACCTTGGGGTCTTCGTGTCTAGAATTGTAGCTACGGCATTTCCAGTGGAGGTGCTGCCGTTTTCGCATATCGCTCCTGTTCCTGTTTGGTAGTAATCAATGACAATAAGCACTTTTCATACTATAGCACCCCCGATTTAAGAACCGTCCGTAGCTGGCCATGGTCAGATTTTACCTTTTAGACTCCAGGTCTTTGAGACCGTTGGGCATGGACTATCCTTCCAATAGCGAGATGGGTTCCAAGTGGTGAATCTGAAGCTCTTTTCCTCGGGGAGATTACCTTTTGCTACTGTAGTTCTTATTTTGGTTCCAACCTCGATGGAGTCAACCTGGGCGTGGCATACATGTATCGCTTTATAAATAGCAGCCACAGGCGCAGATAGCCGCGAAATATGCAAGCAATTACAAACTTGTCACACCACATGACGGCGCTTACGGTTAAAAACAAACAGATTTTCTTCGAGGAACTAGCTCTTGCTCACTATCTCTACCCACGGACCAAGTCCCCTACCCGTTCTGAACCTCAAGGTCAACCTACTCCGGAAATGCTACTTAACAAAGATCGTCTATATGTCACTCTCCACGTCCGAGCCGGGGCCTCAGTCATGTCCGGCAAGGAAGATACGTAAGTCTAGTCAACCCAGCGCTTCCTGGTTATATATATATATATATATATATATATACATATGCAAGTCTAACCCACGGCCTCCCTCTCGGTTTAGATATCATTGGGCCTTAATGGTAGGACCTAAAAGCTCCGGCACCGGCAAAAGAAGCATTCGCTACCACGCGAAAGAACAAATCAACCCGGACAGGAAAAGATCTGAGTGGATTTTCGAAGAGAGCGAAAACGCACTCGACTCATCCAACATGATGCTCGTTCGAATCTTGGTGGGCAAGGTGGTAGATGGGCACCGGGTTGTCGAGATCTTGCGCAGCACGCCTAGCAGGCAGGGGACGCCCGGGTGGAATTGTGTAGGCTGGGTGCAAGAGGCATTACAGAGACTCAGAGCGGACGAGACGGCGCTGGGGAGGAGTAGTGTTGTTGAGTGGGTGGTGGTGAGAGACGAGGCCATGAAGTATTGCGAACGGAAAAAGGAGGAGCATCGGTTTGATGGAAAAGGAGGCTTTGATATGAGGGTTATTCCTACTTATGATTTGATTCGAGGGAAGGAGGTTGTTCGTTGAAGTGTTTCATGACTCGTGCTAATGATCTCCAGGGTGTCGGTCTGGTCTTATATTTATGTACAAGGAGCTGATAGAGAGAAACATTGAAATGTAAAATGCGTTTTCTATCATTGAGTGAAAAAGGACCTCCCGTTTATCAACACCGCCTGTGCAAGCCAAGGAGGGACATCTACAACGCGTGGCCTTTAAGCAAAAGCGAAACGAGGTTCGCAAAGAAAGAAGACCCCCATCTAAGCTGGCGAAGCACAACCGAAGGAAGTAGCGACAGTTCCACCAGGTCCGAAGATGCTGATGAGACCCTCAACCGCGGCCCAAGTACCCATGCCCGAGGTGGCGAGGGAGGCAAGGGCGTAGATCAAAACGAGTGTGTTGATGTGCCACTTAGCCATGTATCCACGCATCCAGCGCTTGGGACCATGGTCGTGCTGGGTGGAGACCCCAGTGGCAGGGTCGAAGCCCTCGCCTGGCAGAGAGGCACCATCATTAATCATCCAGCCGAGGAAGAGGATGGCGGGAAGGGAGTAGGTGAAGTTCACGCCGAGCAGACCACCGACGAAGTTGACGATACCGTTCAGGTTCGGCACGGCCGCGGCGACGCAGAAGGCAATGATCCAGTAGCAGGGGCCAAGGGCATACCACATCCAGCGGCCCTTGCTCGAGGAAATGGGAGGGAAGTTCAGGACCTCCTGGAACACCTCGATGTAGACGGTCTTCATGCCAACATTGAAGTACAGAACTGCGCAGGGGGGATTAGTGTTAAAATCCAAGACGAGGAATGCTGAATTGTACTTACTGCATGCAATAAACCCGGTTAATAGACTGAACACATTGGCCACTACCTGCAAATGCAAGGGCTCAATGACCTGCGAGATGTTCGATCCGGAGTACTGGCCGTAGTTGCTGTAGACCTGTATGGCATTAGTCTTCGCCTCGGTCCGGGAAGAGAATGGAAACTCACATAAGCACCGAACAGGATGTAGACAGAGCAGATGAAGGCCTGGGCACAGATCATGCCCTTCCAGAAGTCCATGGGGTGGCGCATCTCGGCCATGAAAGCGACGAAGAGAATTGCACCACTGTACGCATAAACCATGGAATCAACTGCATTGAACTGTGCCGAGAAGCCAGTAGACTGCTGCTGGTACATGTCCGGAGGTGGACCAGCAAAAGTCATCACGGGCAGCTTATCCTTGAGGCGGGTCGAATTGAAGATGTAGGTGTAGTCAACGCCGAATTTGGAAGAGGCGACCATGCTGTTTTCGTTCATTAGCTACAATGTTTGGGGGAGCAGAGCCAAGCTTTCCGTCATAAATAACTCACATGATGATGAAGCTGACAATGTTCAACCACACGGAGAGATTGCACAGCCAACCCAGGCGCTGGAGAGATCGAATACTACCGCAGAGGATACCCACAACCATGGCAATGATCATGGCAACAATGAAGCACAGCTTGGGTCCCGCCAGCTGGGAAATGATCTGGCCGTTACCCAAGATCAACACCATGACGGAACAGAACTGCTGGAAGGACTGGGTGACGTTGATGGCATGCCGGGTCTTGGGACCAAACACGCGGAGGAAGAGATCACCATAACTGCACATGGGATAGCGAGACGAATCGAGGGTCATGAACACCTTCCACAGGAAGAAACCACTGAGACCAGCGGCCAGACCGAAGATGATGTACAGGGCGATACCGGGACCATAGCCGACACTGGAGAAGACGTAAGGACAGCTGGACCAGCCGAGGATGTCGGTGGTGATCAGGAAGAAGATCGAGCCCCAGCTGGCGGTCCGCAAGGCACGCGACGCCGTCTTCCACTCCTCCTCGGTCGAGCTCATGGAGCTGGTATCGTAGGTGGATTCGATCACGCCAGTTGGTCCTTTCTCCGAGACCTCGGCCAGCTGCTGCTGGCGCTGCTGCTCCTCCATCTTCTTCTTCTCATGGTGGACACCCTTGGAGAAGCGGCCTTTGATCATTTTCTTCAGGGACCAGGGACCCTGCATCTGGCGATACTTGCGCTCTTCCTCGATCTCCTCGGCGCGCTCGATCTTGGCCCAGTAGCGGAACTCCTCGAAGGAGACCGTTGGGTCTGTCCGAGCCGCGAGACCCCAGACCCGCTGGTGGATCTGGGGCTTCTCCTCGGTCGCATGATCATGAACCTGAGGCGGCGCAATTGGCTCAATGGGGAATGGAGCAGACATGTCTGTTACTATCCCAAGGGGAGGGTGGAGGGAATGAAACAGAGGGGATTGAGGGAGGGCACAGAGGAAGAAGAAGAAGAAGAGGAGAGAGAGAGACGAGGGCCAGCACTAAATAATATCCTACACAGGACTACTACTACATACAACATACTGTTGATATGCTCGGGCCTTTTTGCCTCCCCAGCCAGGGCCCGAGCCAACCACGGTCACAGCCGCCCCCAGAGATAAGGGGTGAACCAATCAAGACACGGTGACACCCAGTCGTTACCAAAATTCGACGAATGTACAAGCGCTGTAAAGAAATCAATCGCCTGATCAAGCTTCTCCACAATGCTTGGTTAGCGACGCTCTAGCCCTTTTCCGGCCGAGACCCCGAAAACCCCCTGTCTTGCAGAAACCCGGGTGGAATGAAAAAAGGAAGCGTCAATTCTGGCCGATCGCACATTATTCTAGCGATCATTCATATAAAAATATATGTACGTTAAAAAAAGAGACACAGTAGTTACGAGTTTAAAAAAAAAAGTACAGACGGTCCTGTAAGGCCTCCATCCCCCGCACTGGATGGTTTCGGTGTCGCCGTGGAGAAGAATCCATCACGCTAGCCGTTGCAACGTAGGTTTCCGCGAGTTTTGTGGGTGGTGGCCGAAAGCACGCCAACAAGACGCCACCCGGAGGCGCTTTCGGGTTCTCGCAGGCGGAGAATAATTAACTAATAGTTGACTAGGCGGACGGAGTATTGTACAGCGCCGGATCAGTCCGGCTAGCTCGGCCTGAACGAACTATACCAAGACTGCTTTGCCCCCTTCGAGGCCAAACCATCAGGTGATAGCGAAGGCAGTGCAATCCTGGCCGTCTCGGTGGCGAACGTACTAGCCCCGGGTGCCACATGGAAACAGGAGCAGGAGGCTATCTCGATTCTAGTGATCTCGCCCGAGTCGGATCCACGGGTATCTCCCACGCGGACCTGCAAGCCACTCAGATAAGCCGCGAATGTCAATCAGCCTGTCTCAGACAGCACCCTCCGGAGGCCCGCTTCTTTTAGGGGCCGCGCAATGAAGTAAATATGTGGCTGTAAAGCTAACCTTTTCAGGATAACCCATAGTAGTATTGTATTTACTATACCAGTCTTAACAGGCAATTTATACACAAAAGATAAGGTATTTGTATGTAAGTATTATTCGATTACATTTTTCTTTACACTAGCGTTTGCGCCACAATATTTATCTCTCTATCTTCCCACGGTACACCCTATCTTGAAAGATTTTGCAATTTCTAGAGTATGAATGAATGTATGAAATCCGCACGTCCCAAGTAGAGATCCCTAGCGTCGGGAAGTTCAAGTCATTGAGTAAGCGAGGGCCATAACTTGTACGAGTACTGGCAGCTTTTTTGCGAATTATCATTTTGTAAAGGCAGCTAAGATATCAATATATTTGCGGTAACAATAACTAAGCAATGACAGTGTGGGTGAGTGGTTATACCGCAGCACTGCTAATGCTGTCCCTTCGGGGGCCGTACGTCTACCCTTCTGGAAAATTGGAAGTAATAAATGCTAACCTCAACACAGAGAGTTCGAATCTCTGCGCTGTCGCATCTTTTTTTTTTTTTTTTTTTTTTTCCTTTCAATTTTCAACGGTCTCTAATTACCCAGTCACTAAAAAAACATCTCTTCAAGTGCTATGGAGGTCAATTTGTACTAAGCAACCAGTGATCGGTATATTACGAGAGGATTATTGGGGCTAGCACCGCACTGGATCGGGCTTAGTCGCCGACCGAGTTTATAAGACACTCGCTCATCCAAAAGTTTTCTTAGTCTTCATATCTCAAACTGCTCAAATCCGCCAATATAATCTCTGTCCTCCAAAACATCTGCATCAAGATCGAAAATGCCATGGAAAGAGACGGCGTGCCCCTCCAGACAATTCAAAGATTTCGGAAAACGCAGATTCTTTGGTTTGATGAGGAAGAGGATTATATAACATTTATGAACGGTATTGTTACTATCGAGTTAGCACTTCGAGAAACAGTTCAGCGGGAGATGTCCTTGAAAGAGAAGATTGAAAGAGTCGATGAGAAAGGAATCCCACTTGCGCGAGTGACGGAGACAGAAATGGAGCTCTTGCAGGACGAACCCGAGGCCCTCAACAAGAAATACTGGCTGCTCTCACGGGAGTGTTACATGCACATGTCTGCATGTAAACCAGGGGCCCTGCTCAGAGGCTTTCTGGCTTGCCGGGCGACTCCACTATGGTTTATGAATGCTAGCCTCGTCACCGATTGTACTGGTAAAGGAGGCTGCTGTGGCCGTGAATGTGGGTGTTGTGAGCGGCGTTTGCCTAGTTCAGTTCGGCAAGAGACGGCAATGGGTCACTGTACCATAGAATGTGCTTGTTGCAATCAGGCTCGGGGCTTTGAACTTACATCCGAAGAGAAGAAAAGATGGAAAAGGCAGTTCGATATTACGCCCGCCAATCCTCGGAACTGGTACCAAGTTCGAAGAGGGTGGAATTATTTCCTTGGTGCTTGCTGATAGATTGTTGGAGTCAACAATCAATTTGCTAAATAAAAGTCTTCGCTATACTCGACAAGGCTCATCTACCGTTTGGTAGAACTAGCTAAAGAAGTTATTCGTCTCCGGGGAAATTCAAAAACAACTTAGAATTGTGCTGGTGTTCATGCGGACCAATGATGCGTCTGGTATCTGTACCCAGCCCTTCAGGTCTTCAGTCCAGGGAATACCTGGTGCTGAGGGGCTGACATTTGGAGGCAGGTATTAGAATAGTAAAGCAGCGCCTTGCGGGCGGGAAAATGGCTATGCCGAGCTCGTCACGCAATTGAAATGGAAAAATGAGAAAGGAAAAAAAAAGACGCGACAGCGCAGAGATTCGAACTCTCTGTGTTGAGGTTAGCATTTGTTACTTCCAATTTACCAGAAGGGTAGACGTACGGCTCCCGAAGGAACAGCATTAGCAGTGCTGCGGTATAACCACTCACCCACACTGTCTGCGGTGGAGTACGGAACCAGCTTTTAAATTTACAATGCCCACAACAGCTAATAATTACAAACCTCGCGAAGCCGTCGCCAAACTCCTTTTGTTGTGTTTGGGCCACCGCATCCCGAAGTCCAACCAACCATCCTTCTACGCATGATGATCAATTGCGACAATTGTTACCAACGGCGGCGAGTGCTGTCTGTCCTACAAGGCCCTGAAGCCTTCAACCTATTCAGTGGTCCAGATTTCAGCCACCACCGAAATAGACTCAAGCAGGCAGCATAGCCTTAACCAAAGGGCCGGAATGACTCAAAACAACGTATATCCATCAATATACTTACCACGAATGTATTAGATATAAAAGAAGAGTTTTTTATCATTACGCTCTTATAGCATAGATAAATATCTAGTAACCTTTATCACATACGAAGAGGGGAACAGTGCCTGCTATTTTCGACATTTTCTATGGAGATCCGCTACGAAAAACCTGTTAGAATCTCAATTAATCTAGTAGACAACCACCCATTACCTGCAATTGTATCCGTGGATCACGGATACCTAGCGGAATTGTTGTCATCGTTGATCGAGACAACAGGCGTGCATCTTAAATCTTTTCATCCTTTTTTAGATCCTTTGAGTCAGTATAAACATGTATATGGAGATATGGGGGTAAATTCGATGGTGTATCATGCATTCTTGAGAGAAATAAATGCACCATGAACATCTCATTAAGTACAATGGTCATTGCAACACGACCGGCGAGTTCGAAGTCTGCGCCCAGTCAAGCACCTAATGAGATCTCATAAAAATGGACATCTACGTCATCTAGGTAGCCAAGCTAACCTTAAGGCGTTCAATTCCTCAATTCGGGTAGTGCTGCATCGAATAAGGTACAATTGTATTACAGTCAACTACACCTTCGGACAAAGGAGATATTGGCAAATGAATCTAGGCGCAGGTGTTCACATCGAATCCAAGCAACGGGGGACACTGGCTTTTCCCCCTTAAATCTAGGGGTTGTGTATTGTATACAGGGTTTAGACGGTCAGACCCAGGTCTTCGGCGTAGGGGAGCTGGAAGACATCGCCGACGCTGACGAGGGTGGCCTTGCCGGAGAGGAAGGACTTGGCGGCCTGCACATAAACAATTAGTATGATAATACAAAAACAGAATTGTGGGTTCAAACATACTTCCTTGACTTGCTGCTCTGTGACTTTCTCAAGAGCCTTGGCAACCTCATCGATCTGGTAGGGCTTGCTGCCGTGGACCAGGCTGGATCCGGTGGCCTCGAGGCCGGTCTCGAGGGTCTGGACGGACTCCAGAGCACGGAACTTGGCCAGGGCAGCGGCCTTCTTGATCTCCTCGCTGGCGACCTGGCCGGCGGCGGCCTTCTTGAGGACGTCGACGACGTTCTTGCTGGCGGCACCAACCTGGTCGGCCTTGCCGGAGAGCATGACGGTGAAGAGCCCGGCATCGGAGTACGCGTGGTTCTTGGTGGAAACACGGAGCGACGAGAAGCCCTGGGTGGCCTGCGACAGGAGCGAGAAGCCGGGAGACCACTTGATGGTGGACTCGCCGCCCAGGAGCGCGGCCAGGACGGAGGCCTCAGGCTTGTAGCCAGAGGTACCAAAGGCGCTGGATCCGGGGAAGGCAATCACGACGGCATTGCCGGCCTTGGAAGGCAGACGCTGCTGGCCACCATAGTACTTGGTTGCCTCACTTGGCAGGACCTTGTACTGACTGGAGGTGCCGCCGCTGGGCAGGTCCTTGAAGAACTGGCCGACCCACTTATTCACGTCGGCGGTGTTGGGGCCGCTGGCGACCAGAGCGACGTTGGACTTGGCGTAGGCGTTCTGGGCATACTCAGCTAGGGCCTCGGCCGACAGGTACTTCTCGAACGGCGCGGTCTCGGTCGGGGTGATCTGCGAGCCCAGGCCGCGATGGAAGGCGATACCATGGGCGGCATCGATGGCGATGTTCTCGGGGTTGGAGAAGATGGCCTGCTGCTTGTACTTGAGGAGCTTGCTGACGAGCTCGTTCAATTCGTGATCTGATAGAAGTTAGTACATTTTCCTCCCACACCAATAATGGTCCAACTCACCAGGGAACTTGGTCTGGCTCGCAACCTCCGCGAGCAGCTCTGTGAAGTATGGGAGGTCGTTCGCGAGGAATTTGGCCCGCAGGACGACGTTTTCGCGGGAGTTGCTCGACGAGATCTCACCACCCATCAACTCGACCTCCCGGGTGATCCGAAGTGCCGATCGCTTGAGTGTGGACTAACCATTGGCAGTTGAATTAGCATTGTCGGTTATTCATTGATGAATTGGTTCAATTGATGGCCGGGGACCAACCTTGAAGGCGAATTGCTCCAGAGCATCGGAGAAACCAGGGAAGGGCTGGTAGCGGGAACCGGCCTTTGCGACTACGGCAATAGTGCCAGTCGGGCCAGCCACCTCACGGTTGGCGACTTTCACGCCAGCAGCCTCGGAGACATCGTACTGGAAGGCCGGGTTGGCGGCGGAGGCCATGGCCCGACGGCCAACGTTGAGCGCTCGCGGCGCATTGCGGCTGAGGGAAGACCGCGACAGCATGGTCGCCTGGGTGAATGGAGGAAAGAGGAAAGAGTAGACACCCAGACAGAGCCAGGGAACAGAACAATTGGCAGGGAGGGAGGGGAGGGGGAGAATGCGGGAAAACAGGAGATGAACCAGACGAGAGTAGTGTCGAAGTGCTGAAAAGCTGCGTGGATTCACCGGCCCCTGATTGGCCGGCGGGCGAAATCGGAAATTCACGTGATTGGGTCAGGTGACTCGGCTCGGCGATAACCAGAAAAAGATGCAGAAAGTCGGAGTCGCCTTGACCCCAATGCTCCTGCTTCGGTGACCTCGATCGTCGCTCATCTGCTGCACTGCAGGCTGGCGGCTTTCTGCTACCCTCAGCCATGACGTCCAAGGTAACATGCCCGTAGTGACTCACGAGTCTCAAAAAATAAGTGCGCGCTTGAGGTGCTAACTACCAGCTCAGTTCGCTGCGGAGCTCTGTACGCTCCTGGTCGAGGATCATTTCGGCGAGTTGTTTGCAGTATGTCTCTCCAGTATCACGGGGTATCCGTGGTCGTGGAGCTTGAAGCTAACGGTTTCGCGCGCTGAAGTGCATCTTTTCCACTCTACAAAGATACGAACGATTGACTCTCCCGCGATTGAAATTCTATTCCCGCCTGACCGAGCGTCAGGTGCATCATGGTCTCGCGGCTATGATCCAACAACACCTTGTCTACCACTACACCTCCCTCGAGGACGGCATTACGTACTATGAAGCGAACCCACAGTCCGCCTACTATCTCGTACGATCGGGCAAAATCATCCACCTGGTCCAAGACCGACTGGGGAAGTATGCAGCCAAAGTTATGTCCGCTATTTTGTTCCTTGGACATGCCCCGATCAGCTATTTGGAGACACTGCCGGAACTTCGATCCTCCAAGCCCATGACGAACGGGGTCAACCATGACGCGGCATCCGACGAACGTAATGGTGATCACCACGAAAGGCCGCCACTCCTGCACCCTACTCTTACAGCTCTTGCGTCTCACGGCTACATCATGCGGGTTCGGGAAGCACATCTCCAGAGCCCCGCGGATAACTGGCTTGACGCCGAACGAACTGTCTCCGCTAGACCGGATATCAAATCATTGAAAGGCAAAAAGCAGCAGGAGGCGATAGCTCACGAGACCGCTGAGTTGGTCGCGGAACGAACAGATGGAGACCTCACCCGCGGATTGATATTTAATGGGCTCCCTCGAGGGATCAAGCGCAAGTCAGGTCACGGTTCTGGCACACCAAAAAAGCACGCTCGGATGGACCATGGGATGGTTAATGGCGATGGTTCTCGAGAAGAAGGTGTGGAGGAAGAGCATGAAAAGAAAGAAGAAGAGAACGACTGGTTAGAGGATGAAGATGGATATGATACTGCTCCCATGGATGTAGGTTTTTTTTCATGTTTTATGATCCACTGGGTACTAACACTTCCTTTAGTCTGGAATAGTTGTTCGGGTCAACTATCCCAAGTTGGATGTGGCACTTCGAAATGCTCGGTTTATCGAGCTCGCCGCGAACGATTCATCTGCCGTAACGGCTGAGGTATATGGTTGTCTTCTCCGACGTATCGAATATCAGACATCCCGTTGCCGAGAATCGGCTGAGATTCCTCGCGAGGGAGAGGAAGGAGAGCAATACTCGGCTCCGATCAAGTTGAGTGCAATAGTGGAGGATGTTGATCCGCAACTGGACCTAGCAGGATCTATCGGGCCAATGGATCCCTCACAAACGACGAACCGACGCGGGAAACGGCCATTGACAAATGGCGTCAATGGTGACGACCATGACCATGATAATCAAGATCCTATTGACCGCACCGACGACATTGACCAACACCTTCGTCTCCTGGCTCAACCACCCTACAACCTGACTTCACTGGCCCAAATTGGCGGTCTCTCCACCTGGAGGATTGAGTTCCGGCATCTTGCACGTAAATTGCGGCATCTAGAACTTGAAACTCTGATCGAATCACGCTTTGGTGATGTCGCGCTGCGGGTGGTGCGCGTGCTGCACGCTAAGGGGAAGCTAGACGAGAAACGGCTACAGGAGATTACAATGCTCCCGTTCAAGGATCTGCGACAGACCCTCGCCGGCATGCAGTCAGGCGGGTTCGTTGATCTCCAGGAAGTGCCACGCGATGCACAGAGGCAGCCTTCCAAGACCATCTACCTTTGGTACTACGACCCGGATCGGATCTGCGGTAGCGTCTTGGAGGATACGTACAAGGCCATGTCTCGTACTCTGCAGCGGTTGAATTTCGAACGCGAGCGCGAGAAGGATTTTCTGGAGAAAACTGAGCGTTCTGATGTCAAGGGGAATGAGGAGCGGTATCTGTCAGCGGCTGAGTTGGAGTATCTGGAGCGCTGGCGGGCCCGTGAAGCCAAATACCTGAGCGAGTTGGCCCGGTTGGACGATATGGTCGCCGTGTTCCGCGATTACTGATCGGCCTCTCTATTCTGTCTGTTCATGAGCGACGAATCTCATAGCAAGAGTTGCATTTACAAGCGGCGCATCCATTACTGGCGCTGCTTCGAGGATATCCAAAAATCACCAGAGTTTCATCCTGGAGGTGAGAGCCAACGGTCAATCTTGCGTATTTCAGGACGTAAACACTAGTAGATGTAACCATGGACTGATCGACTTCGGCCTAGAAACCCTACTCATCCGTTTTAAGTATGGTTGATATGAGATTCGTCCAATCTAGATCCATCGTTTGCCACCGTAAGCCCTAGAGCTCGTCTACGGGCTATCAAGTACGGGGATAGGTACAGAAACGGCAAGGGAAGTTCGCGTGCGCGGGTAAAACCCCGGTTAAAGTATGTAGTCAAGTCAGGTCTATCTGGATACACGAAGGAGGATAATTACACAAGCAAGAAAAAGCCGCCCTCCCATTCGAAGTACAACACCATCGCTGCCCGATACCCAGACCCCCAAAAAAAGAGCAAAGAAATTAGATCATAACACATAGCCAAACAAGTCTGGTTTCACTCCAACTCAATCCTGTCATCCCATTTCGAAAGTAAAGCTGCAGATTAATGCGTGTTCGAATGAAAAGAAAGAAAAACAATCAGGGCGCCTCCCACCGTAAATCACTTCGAATTCGGCGACATAGAGTCTGCTGTAGTCCCGTTGACTGCTGTCTTGTTTGTCGCGGATGAGGATGTGTCGCTAGTCGAGCCGTCCTGAGCCCGATCGCCGGCAGCAAGCTTCGCTTCAGCCAGCGCTAGTTTGGTGGAAGCTTCATCCAGAGACGTCTTCAGCAGCTTGATGTAGTCGATAGCCATCTCGACCGCAGTGGCCTTGCTGATCGGCTGATTGTTCGATTTGTCCTTTTCCTTCTCGCCAGCCTTCGAGGCATTGTTTGCAGCTGTTTCGGTGGCTTGTCGTGCCTGAATGAATGCTGGTGGGATGAGCGCTTCAATTTCCTTGAGCGCATTGTTGATCCGATTCCGACGGCCCTGCTCAGCCAGCTTGTGGTTCGTGCGTTTCGAGCTCAGATTCTCTGCGAGACTTTCGGGGTACGAAACGCCAGACGGCAAGGTACCATCAAGGATGTGTTGGTAATTGGACTTAGATGCCAGATAGATAGACGACGTGTCATGGCTCATGCCTGGGAAAGGATTAGGATCAATATAAAGAACCAGGCTAGGTCTTCGTCTGACTTACCATCACCTCGCATAAGCGGTTGGATATTGGGGCTAATCTTCGGCCGCAATTGTGGGCTGGCATGTGTGGTACTTAAGCTCTGCCGTTTGCGATTGGATACAGGGGTCGCCGAAGAATCAGACTTCTTGGGAACTGGTCCGCTCGGGGAAGGAATGACTGTACGGGGGCTGGGAGCCATAGCCCAGCTGGGAGGTTGATCAGTCGAAGTCGACCGCAGCTCCAACGTCGGTGTAGCATTTGCAGAGTTCGCAGGACTGATAGTGTTGCTGCGTATGGCGGTATCGACGCGAGATACCTTGGGGCGAGGCCGCTGCGATGGAGTAGCTGCCTCCGGGAGGGAAATATCCTCCATCACCTCGTCTTGGTATTCGGGCGGTGCAAGCTGTGCTTGGCCGGTGAACTGATCCGAGGGGTCCGGTGAATGCTGCGACCGGAGGCGCATCAACGTGGCAGGGGTGGCCGCCCCAGCGGGCTGCGACCGAGAGTGTTGGGGAGCGATCGCGGGAGATCTGCGAGGCGGAGGAAGAGCCGGGGGTGGCATCAGAGGTTCTGATAGTGGTTCGGGGGAGACCGAGTCTTGGCCAGAGCCCTCGTTGCTGCTGGCCTGGAGAGAGCACACATCGTGGTTGAGCGGCTTGTGGGTGTTCAGCTCCTTATCGAGGTTATTGAACAGCTCTTCCGAATTCATGCTAAGGGTCGACTTCTTGCGCTGCTGCGCCCGGATGGAAGGCGACTGCTTGACCTTGCTTCGCCCGGTGACACGAGAGGTGGACGGTCGCCGACGACCGGACTTCCTGATAATGTGAGGAGATGACGGAGAAGAGGTCCCCGGGAGCGGGTTGCTCTCTGCGCTTGTCGGGACAAAACCCACATCAGACACCTGCCTGTGGTGGAATGGGTAGCCACTGTTGTTGGACTGGTTCGCATTCTGCGCTTCCAAGGCAGGAGAAGTAAGAGGGGTAAAGTACTCCCCGGGGATGGTGTATTCGGGAAGCCGGAACTGATTCTCCAACGGAGTCATGGCAGGAGAAACCAGGGGAGTGTACAGTGCCTGCTCCTCGTTGATGCGCGCATATCGGTCGTACATCTCTTGGTTCTCATCCACCCGCTGGGGATACCGAGCGGCATTACCATGCATTTCCATACTGTTCGGCGTCGGTGGGATCATCGGCTGGCCCTGCATATAGTGCGAGGCCGGCGATGGCTGCAGGGAGCGCTGTCGCGAGTGGTCTGGCGCGCAAAAGCCTGGGGTCATGCCGGACGCCGAGTAGGCCAATTGATGGGACTGCGACTGGCCGTTGAAGTCAGACATATCCAGCTGGCCGTACTGCATGGGGTGCGAGGTTGGCTCGGTATCCATGTGTACCATCTCCGAGTCGGGAGCCCTGGTGGTGGATGGATTGGCGAGCGAGTGTTGCTGGGAATGCTGCGAAGCGCCGGGTCCGTGCCCCTCGAGATCGGGAAACTGCATGCCGAACTCGAGGAAGTTGGAGAACTCATCGTCGGCCGGCGCGGTGATGAGCGAGCCATCATCGAGCTGCTCGGGCCACGACATGGGTGGTTGTTCCATTTTCAGGAGGGGTTTTCCCTTCTAGTGCAGTTTTTTTTTCTTCGAGTATCAGACTAATTAGGCTGGGGGAAGCGGGGAGGAGCCCGCCGCGAGAAGAGAGAGAAAGTTTGGGCAAGTTGGCCGAGAGCAGGGCTCGACTCAGTGAAGACGATAATGAGACATGGTGCGAAAAGAGAGAGATCAGTAGTAGCGGGGGAAAGAGGAGAAAGTGGGAGGGACAAGAACAAGACAAGACCAGGGGAGATGGAAAATCAGCCTTCGGGTGGAGACGGAGAATTCCCACGGTTGGCTCGTCTGTGGTTCTCTTTTAACCGCTCCAGGCGCTACCCTTCAGGATGCAATTCTTCGGTTGCAACTCACACATCGTACTGTGAATAAATCCGTAAACCCGCTCTTCAGCCATAAAAATTAAAACAGGTGTCCCTACGGACTACTACTATGGACTCGTCTCTTCACGGCCAGTGGATCTCGCTTGGTCGGCTTCCTTCTCGGCCCGATCGTACATCGAAGTACCGTGACCCCGGCTTACGTACACCTCTCTGCATGACATGATCATACATCACCCATCTTCCTCATCCCCATCCTCACCACCACCAATGTCCCTCGGGTCCGCTTAAATGCTGCGCTTCCACCATGCGCCCGCCTGTCTCTGACCTGTCGGCCTTTGACCGCAAGCCTTCCTTCGACCGCCCTCCTCCATCGCCATCCCAAGATCCCCGCGCTGCCGTCCCCGCGACCTTCTTCTTGTCCCGCAGTCCACATGCCTCAGACCCCGAATCTCCTCCGTTTCCCCCTGACGACACCGAGTCTCTCAGGGAGAGTATGTATGGCGTCCATAGCCTAGATGAGACCCTGTCGCACGCCGGGCTGGTCGGATCTCCCCGCTTATCACCCCGCGACCCATCTGCGGAGTACAAGGGCGACCACCAGCAACAGGACGCGGATGCAGATGACCTGGACGGATCTCTAGTATCGCGGCGACGGTCAACAATCAAGCCGGTTGACTCTGGTCTTCGAGAATCACCTGTCCGGCCACTGGGCTCTGACACGGCCTCCCGCCCTCTGACCCCGCTCAACCTGACCAACCCCGATGAGCCCTCGTCGCTACCCAGCAGCCCCAAATCGATTTCCAACCAGTCGCTGCGACCACTTGACGACATGTCTATCACAGATGAAACAAACAGCCAGGTTATCATGTCGGGGGATGAGGACGAGGGGCCGCGGCTCCGCGCATCCCCGCGCCCCACTCCTGGTATTTCCCAGTTGATCATGCCGAGTATCAGAATGCCCAGCCGACGACCCTTCACAGAGCGAGGGAAAGACATCGGCCGATTTAAGGTGCTGTTGGCTGGCGCTCCTGGTGTGCATTCCCGAGCCTATTCCTCTTGGTTCGGCTGTTCTAATGTTTTTCTAAGGTTCGGGGAAAACTTCCTTAATCAAATCGATTGTTCAGGCCTGCGAGGACATTGTACATGTCGATTCGCTTTCCGCGGTTACTTCGCCGCAGCATCGCCGGTCGTCGCGAATTCATTCCGGGGGCGTACTCGGTCAGGGAATGCCAAACACAACCTCCGAAATCTATGCGAGCACTAAGCCATACCCCTGCTGGTGGTCTGATTTGGAGGACTCGCGGGTGCTGCGACGACGGAAAAGCATTGACGAAATTGTGCTTGAGCGGAATCTCTGCTTCGTCGACACCCCCACAACCTCGCTGAGCCGTGCTGGACAGACCGATGCCATTGTGCAATATATGCGACAACAGTTGCTTCGTGCGACTACCGCTTTAGAAGGCGCAGGCATTGATTTCCAAAATCTACTTGCTGGTAACGGTGGCTCCCAGGTGGATGCCGTCGTATATTTGATTTCAAACGGTAGGTTTAGTCGCGATTCTGGTTTGGGCTGTATTCTTATAACTGATCTTGTGCAGACACTCTACCGACAGACATGCAGTGCATCCGAAAGCTCACCGAGTTGAGTAATGTTATCCCAGTGATATCAAAAGCGGACACCATGTCTCCCGCGCAAATTACCGCGCTCAAGGAGCGGTTCCATCAGCATGCACGAGATGCTGGAATCAAACCTTTCCTGTTTGATAGTCCAGATGGGCTGGAAGCACAGCCGCCCTATGCAGTATCCTCTGAAAAGACAGCCGATATGGAAGTCATGGATGCCAGCACGCTGATGAGCCCGGACTACGTGCAGCCTCTAGTTCCCTCTGAGCTGGAATCTTTGGTGCAGAAGATATTTGACCGAGATAACCTAGCCTGGATGCGCCACTTGGCTGCCAAGAAGCTTGCACAGCGACGGGCTGACTTCCCATCGGTGCCACCATCGACGGCTCCACTTCCCAATGCCCTATCTGGCCCTATAAGCGGCGCATCGCCGTGGCGAGCTACCTCACAAACATCACTGAACTCACTCCTCTCGGGTACCGGCGGTTCGCCGCCCAGCTACGCTATGGCACGTTTGGCAGATTACACCCGGAACGAAGAGCAACTAGCCCAAGTGCGTCTGGCGCAATGGGCAACCGATCTTCAGCGCAGCCTCCAGAACGAGCGTGATCGCTACGCAGCGCTAGCCCGCGGCGAGCGTGCGGTCTGGTTAACCGAGCGACTGAGCGAGTGCGTTGTCGACGGTTCGCTAGTCCCTCTCACCCAGACCCCAGGCTTCCGCAGCCTGAATATAGCGAGCAGTGAGAAAACCGGTGCGGTAGGCTTGCATGTCGGACGAGCCCGCTCTTCGGCGGAGTACCGTGTTGCGAAAATGAGTCCACATGACCCGCTGGGCATTGTCGGCTGGATCGATGATCTCGGTCACCGGGGTTGGGTACTGGTCCAGATCGTCGGCAGCGTCGGCGTTGTCGGTGGTCTGGCGCTCTGGCTCGCTCGCACCTGGGGCCTTCCGACCCGCGCCCTCGCCGAGTTGAATTTGGACTATTTTTCCGGGAGCATGGAACGGTGATAAATTTTTACTTTGCCTTGCTTGGGGGAGTTGCGTATGATCTTGATGAGGTATGACTGAATATGCGGGACGGCTTTTTTTTCCCTTTCCTTCACTGACTGGCGGGATGGGCGTTGATATCTCACCCTCTTCTCCAGGAGTTTCTCATTTTCCCTTATCCTATTTTATCATTGGCGTTTTCTCGGACAGGAGTTTATCTTTTACTCTTTCTTTTACGGTGGCCACATCTCATACTCGGGCGAATTTCTTTTCCTCAAAGGGTTAGTAGGAATCTACGTAGTCTTTAAAGTGGACCATGCTCCGAGAGATAGTTTATGAAGCAATTCCATGGCCTTAAAACGCCGTCCTCCACGCACGCTCTTTAAATACTGTCATGAGGCCATCCATGTGCACAGCATTTTCTCAAGAGGGGCTTGAAGGCAAAGACTTGCCTGCAGAGGAATGTCATTGAGATCATTGCTGTAGTTGTATTTTAAAATTTTGTATTTTTGTTCATATTACATACTTTCCTCATCATTGTGATCGAGATGAACCCTACGACGTTTCCCGTGGGACTGGATGTGGTCGGAGGAATTGATACGAGTACACCACCTATGATGGGACCAAGAACTAGCTGGTCTAGATGAATGCAGCAGAATAGACGAGATTGATAGCATCAATATTTGCAAGCCAGGCCCACTTCTAAACGCAAAGGGCTTTTCCATTCGGGACAATCTCCAGACAAGCAACCGTTTCAGCCAAGATACAGGAAAGGAAATAAGCTACGTAGTAGAAGGGGGGAAGAAAAGTGAAGTAAAAACCAAAAGCTCTGATTGTTGGACACATTTAAGAAAAAGAAAAAGAAAAAAAGACATCAAAGGAGGAAAGTCGTATCCCGTTTCCCATTTCCCGTTAGAAAGAAGAGAGGTAAACCGTCTAGTCGACCTCCTCCATGGCGCTCTCGCCGGTGGCCTCGGCAGCGGGGGCATCCTCAGCGGCCTTCTCCTCGGCAGTCTCGGTGTCCTCGTCGATGTTCAGACCCAGAGACACGAGCTTGTGGATGCGCTCGGAGAAGCTGGCGGGCTCCTCAATGGTGAAACCGGAGACCAGCAGGGAGGTCTCGAAGAGAAGCTGGGTGATGGACTTGACCGTGCGGTCGTTCTCGCCGTCAGACTCGACCTTCTTCTTCAGCTCCTTGATGATGGAGGACTTGGGGGAGATCTCGAAGGTCTTCTTGGAGGACATGTACGAGCTCATCGAGGTATCGCGGAGGGCCTGGGCCTTCATGATACGCTCCATGTTGGCGGACCAGCCGAACTGGCCGGTACGGATGGCGCAGGGGGCACCCATGAGCTTGTGCGACACAACGACCTTCTCAACCTTGTCGCCGAGGATGTTCTTCAGAGCCTTGGCCAGGTCCTCGTACTCCTTCTCCTCCTGCTCGCGCTCTTTCTTCTCCTCCTCGGTCTCCTCGAGTTCGAAGTCCTTGGTGATGTCGACCAGCTTCTTGCCGTCGAACTCCTTCAGCTGGGTGAAGGCATACTCATCAATGGGGTCGACCAGGAACAGAACCTCAAAGTTCTTCTGCTTGAGGGTGTCCAGGAAGGGCGACTTGGCAACAGCCTTGATCGACTCGCCGGTGATGTAGTAGATGTTCTTCTGGTGCTCCGGCATGCGGGTGATGTAGTCAGTAAGAGAGGTGTTCTCATCACCAGACTTGGTCGACTGGTAGCGCAGCAGCTTGGCCAGGGTCTGGCGGTTCTGGGCATCCTCGTGGATACCAAGCTTGATGTTCTTGCTGAAGGCGGAGTAGAACTTGTCGAACTGCTCACGGTCTTCGGCGATCTCGTTGAAGAGCTCGAGAGTCTTCTTGACAATGTTCTTCTTGATGACCTTCATGATCTTGTTCTGCTGGAGAGTCTCACGCGACAGGTTGAGGGGCAGATCCTCGGAGTCGACGACACCCTTGATGAAGCTCAGCCACTCGGGGATGAGGTCGGTGGCATCGTCGGTGATGAAGACGCGGCGCACGTACAGCTTGATGTTGTTCTTGGTCTTCTTCGTCTCGAAGAGGTCGAAGGGAGCGCGCTTGGGGACGAAGAGGATGGCGCGGAACTCGAGCTGACCCTCAACCGAGAAGTGCTTGACGCCCAGGTGGTCCTCCCAGTCGTTGGACAGCGACTTGTAGAAGGAGGCGTACTCCTCCTGGGTGATGTCGGCCGGGTTACGGGTCCAGATGGGCTTGGTCTTGTTCAGCTCCTCCTCCTCGATCTTGGACTCCTTGACGGTCTTGGTCTTCTTCTCCTTCTTCTCCTCATCCTCGTCGACCTCCTCGACCTTGGGCTTCTTCTCCTCGTCCTCCTCCTTGGTCTCCTCCTCGGCCTCCTCGTCGGGGACCTCCTTCTCGGTCTCCTTCAGGACGTGCAGGTAGATGGGGTAGGAGATGAACTCGGAGTGCTTGCGGACAACCTCCTTGATGCGGCTCTCGTTGAGGTAGTCCATCTGCTCATCCTTGAGGTGCAGGATGATCTTGGAACCACGGCCGAGCTGCTCGCCCTCGGTATCCTGGGTCAGGGTGAAGGTGCCACCGGCAGCCGACTCCCAGACGTACTGCTCATCATCGTTGTGCTTGGACACGAAAGTGACCTTGTCGGCAACCAGGTAGGCGGAGTAGAAACCGACACCGAACTGGCCGATCATGGAGATGTCAGCACCAGCGGACAGAGCCTCCATGAACTGCTTGGTGCCGGAGCGGGCAATGGTACCCAGGTTGTTGATCAGGTCCTGGACAAAAGGGTTAGCAACTCATACAGCAAATCGTTCAGAGTCTGATCCAGTACTTACAGCCTTGGTCATACCAATACCGGTGTCCCGGATGGTCAGGGTCTTGTTCTCCTTGTCCGGGATGATATCGATCCGCAGATCCTTGTTGGAGTCGAGCTTGGAGGGGTCGGAGAGAGCCTCATAGCGGATCTTATCGAGGGCATCCGAGGCGTTGGAGATCAACTCACGCAGGAAGATCTCCTTGTTGGAGTAGACGGTGTTAATGATGAGGGAGAGCAGCTGAGAGATCTCAGCCTGGAACTCGAAGGTCTCGGGCATGATGGCGGTGTTGACGGGAATTGGATTCTGGGAGAGGTGTTAGAAGAGATGTTTTGACAATTGTGGTGGCGAGGCTGAGTTTTCTTCAGTCTGAGGGGGGGTTGGTAGGTTGGTTGGGTGGTCGGTGTGGAGAATGGCTGGAGCTGAGAAAGAGGGAGGGGGGAGGATCTTACAAGAAAAGTTGAGGTGAGGCTGGAGAGGAATTAGGGAGGAATTAAAACAGAGAGATTCAGTGCACGGGAATTGGGGAGAGTAGCTGCAGGGAGCAACACGGGGTGAAGAAGAGAGAGAGGGAGGATGGAGAGAAGAGAAGAAGAAGAGACAGAGAGAGGGCGGGCCACCTTTTTTTTGTGTTTCCAAAAAATTCGGGTGGGTTTCTACGGCAATCCAGCAACTTCCACGGTCGGTCAGGCAACTCATCCCTCTAGATTATTCTTCGGATCCCCATCATCCATTACTCTTCTAGAGTCTTCCCTGCACTCCTCTGCAGAGAACTAGGATATTCCCCCTGGCTGTGCTACAAACGCCTAGGTGAGATGGAGAAGCTCTGTGGCTGCCTTAGGCATCCACCGAAGCTTCTACATCTAGAATCTTCCCCGCGGAACGATTGACTACCAATGAACATGATGCGCCCAAAACAGGGAACCCCGGAGCTTGCTATGCTAGTTACAAAATATGCGGTATAGAAAGATCTTGGGGGGATGGCTCGGATCATGGCAAAAAAAAGACAAGAAAAAAAAAAAAAGACACAAAAAGAATGGAAGTAAAAGTATAGGGCAGAGAATGAGGGCACGGGAATTAATCAAATGTGAAAGAGAAAAAAAAGATAAAACACAAGAGTCCCATTGACGGGATGGAAAGGAACGTAACTTTTCCAGCCAGACCGGGACCAACCGCTAATATGCATTGTGACAAGAGAAAGGGGAGTGGGAGTCACATAACACATGTCATTAGGGACAAAAAAAAGAGGGGATAGGAGAACAAAGGAGACCAAAAATAAAGGCAACAAGTAATACAGACCCTGGGGGTTCATCCATAGACGGCCACAGCAGGCGAAACGGCCCAGCCGGCCCGACCCCAGGTGAAAAAAGATCATCGAAGGCGGGACGTGCCGAGGAATTAGGCGGCTTGGGCCTGGCCACGGCCCTTGGAGGACACATTGCCGCCACGACCCCGGGGAGCAAACCCTCCACGGCCATCGCGCTGGAAACCACCACGGCCCTGGCTACCCGCACGGTCACCGCGGCCGCGGCCAGCACCACCGCGACCAGCACTGTAGCCGTTGCTACCGTAGGCATTACCACGAGGGCGGCGCTCCTCAACGAGAACCTGCTCGCTGCCGATCTGGTGCGGGTTGTTCGCGACAGCGGCAGTGTAGGCCGAGGGATCGGCGAACTCAACAAAAGCGCAGTTCTAGAAGGACATGAGTATTATTGGCAGGGCTGGGGAGCGGGGGAAGAACTGACCTTAGGACGGCTTACATCGAAATACCTCAGCTTGCCGAAACGGGACAGGGTCTGTTTGAGCAGACTGGCATCCACCTTATCAGTGACGTTCTTAACGTAGGCTAGGACCGTCTGCTCTTCACCCGCACGAGACTGGGCCTTCTTGTGGTCAGAACCGGCAGTCTGCCAGCCCGCACCGTCGTTCGAGGCAGTGTCCTGGGCAGCAGCAGGCTCAGCGGCCGGGGTAGCGACGGGAGCAGCAGGCTGGGAAGCCGCGGCAGCTGGAGCCGCAGCTGGCGCAGCCTTGGGCGCAGCGGCGGGGATGGCAGGGACCACTGGCGGCTTCGCACCCGGCTTGGAGGCAATGGTGGCCCAGGTCTTGGGGGCAAAGCTGGAGGGAGCCTCAGGCTCCTTCTCAGGCTCCTGCGGCTCCGGAGCAGGCGAGGGCTCGGGGGTATGAGGCTTCTCGCTCTTGACGAGTTCGGCTTCGACAGCAGGGAGGGGAGCTGGGGTCTCCTCCTCAGCGGGAGTGCCGTTGGTCTGCGGGGGGACTTCCTTGGGTTGCCCGACATCGCCGTTGGTCTTAGCCTCCTCCAGCTTTTCATCGACCTTGCTGACAGCCGCCAGTTCAGTCACCTGGGCTTCCACAGCGGGAGCCGCGGGAGCGGGCTTGGGGGCTTCCGCAACAGGCTGGGGAGTAGCCTCCTCCTGCGCAAGCTCCTCATCCTCAACCAGGTATCGGAAGATATCGTTCAGCACGTAGTAGCCATTGGGCTGCTCGGCCAGAACAAAGGTCTGGGCGAACTTGCGCGAGGGCTCAGATTTGTTGGAGATCTCGCCGATGACGGAGACCAGGATGTTGTCGAAGGAGGCCTGGGAGTCGACATTGAGGACACGGACCTTGCAGTCCTGGAACTCCAGCTGCTTGATCTTCTCATTGATTTCCTAGCAGATAAAAGTGTTAGAAGATGCATGCAATGTCATGTGCATGGGAAACTCACCTTGGTGCCGATAGCAACAGGCACCGACTCCGCCTCAGTACCAAAGACCAGCTGGGAGCGCCGAGAGTAGAACAGGTGCAGCTTATCCGGATTGCGGCTCATGGTGGTATAGAACTGCTCCACAAAGAACCAGCCAACCTCATCCTTGGAGATCTCGCTCTTCTGCTGGTCGGTGGTGGGCGTGACAGTCGTCGGGGTCGAGGACTGGGCGGGCTGGAAGCTGGCCGCGGTGTTCATGGCCACATGAGCATGGTTGAACGAGTCTGGGTAGCCATGCTGACCAGGGAAGTTGCCATTCATCGGAGGCTGGGTCATGTCGGCCATCATGAGGGATTGAGGGGTCTGATGTATGTGTGTGTGTGTTGTGGTTCGAGGCGGGTGCAAGACGGAATCAAGAAAAAATAACCGAGGGCTAGGCAAATAATCGATGGCACACAAGCAGAGCTGGATGGATCTCTACCAAGTGCAGAGAGATGGATGATCTAAAAGAAGTAGTTTTCCTCGCTTCACTAAGTCCCGGTCAGTTTGGGCATGCTCTCCATATACTATTACCAATCCGCACTCACAATGCCAAATGGACCAAACACCAATGCAAGGGATTGAATGTAGCAGAATGAGAGGAAGAAAAGAAAAGAAGATGAAGGAGGATCTAAAGACTCTTCTGCAGCTGGTGAAGCGTATGAGGACGTAGCAGAGGTGGAAGGTGACGGGGACAGGTCGTCTGTGCGGTTTCGGATCACAACGGGGTAGAATGGAGGTGAGGAGATGAGATGAGATAGGGTGAATTGATCACAGAGAAGAGAGGTGCCTGAACCAAGACAAGGAGAGAAGACGAGGGGGTTAGGTCGGTAGGTAGGTCGGTCGGTCGGTCGAGTGGTGGTGGTGAGTGAGCTGGAGCAAGATGGGCTGGAGGCGCAAATTGAAAAAGCGACGCTTGCTTCCTCCGTGCGGGTGGGTGGCTCACCGCCCGGCAGAACTCGGACCGAGTCTCGAGAGACCAGTATGATGATGGGGGTTTACGGAGGGGAGAGCCGGAGAGGGTGACGATTCAGAGATATGTATAGAACGAGGGACATACAGGAGAGGGAACCAGACAACACAGGCCAGCCAGATTTCGGACAAAATCAGAGAAGAGACACAAAAAGCCAAGACTCATGCGAGTCAAAACAACAACGCCGCTGATCCGACAGGAAGAAAGTGAATGGGGTATGAACAAATGAGACGTGAAATGGGAGTAGATCCGGTCATGATGATAGACAGAGCAAGATTACGAGGCCGTTGCGGTCTTCTCGCTCAGGACCGTCTTGGGCTGGCGCATGACGGCATCCTGGCTCGACATCCTCCGCCCGAGCGCGCGCTCGACCTTGGCTCCCAGGGCCAGCTTGTTCAGGTTGTCCGACTTCTCATCTGTGGGCACAAAGCGCTGCTTCGACAGGGGCTTGTTCTCCAGGCGATTCAGGCCATCCGAGAGGGTGCGGATGTCGGCCAGTCGGGGGTCGCCGCTGGGCAGGCTGGCGTTGGTGCGCTCGGAGGCAGCGAGCGAGGGGCTCCCGCTGATGGTGGAAAAGCGCTTGGAGTTGCGGTTCTGGGGGAGGCCACCAGGGTTAGTGATTTGTGGATTGAAAAGGGGGACCAGGTTACACAGGAACCCTTACCGAGTGGGCCATGATCGGTCGCTCCGAGTCCAGGGAGGGCTGACGAGTCATCGCTTTTTTGGGAGGGGAAAGGGGAATGGGATCGAGAGGTAGAAAGGGATGGGCAGGCAGAGAGCAGTAGTTGTCAGACGAAGAGGCTGATGGACCGCTTGCTGGATCCGCGCTGGGGAGCAGGCGGGAGGGAGTTCTAGGAAAGGATGGATCAGCGGGTTGAGCCGGGCGGAAGGAAAAGAAAGATATGGGCCACCTCGGCCGGTGGGAGCAAACCTACATCACGAAGAAAGAATAGTTACTCGTCCCGCAGGGAAGATGAAGAAAGAGCAGCAGAGGAGTTAAGTGCCGGAGGGAAGGTTCAGCATAAGCAGCGACGGCGGGCGGGTGTTCAGCCACCGCTACAACCACCAAGGGTTTATTTTCCGGCGAAACGGGCGAGGGGGGTGAAACAGGAGATGATGATGATTGATGATATTATTATGATTATGATTATTATTATTATTATTATTAAATATGCAATATTATTCACATGGACGCGATCTGAAGATCCTGACTGATGGTCCCCAATCCAGAGGGGATGCCTCCACTACGGGGTTTGCCACCAACCTGGGATGTGTAGCAGACCCGGTTGCCACGTGCTGGGCCACATGTACTACGGATCCCGACTAGGTACGGTTATTCACGAGGGACGGGCGGCTAGGAGGATCATCGAAGGGTGCGATTGTTGTTGTTGTTGTTTGGGCTCTCGCAGGACCGACACCGGCTGACTCACCGCCATCTGGGCACCCACCGCTTCCATTGATGGAGGATCACCTCACCAGCTGAAACCCGGGCGGATCGGCGGCGATCAGGAAGGTTCGAACCCAACAATCATCATGCCGAAACCCAAATCCTTCCTGAAGGAAGCCAAGGGCAAGAAGAAGGCCGCCAAGCAGGTAGGGGATCTAGCACCACACTCGAAATCCAGTGGCTGATCGTTTGGATCATAGACACCCGTCACGGCAGATGAATTTTTAGCAGGTATCATCCGCATGAAACAAACCCTGCGAAATCAGGAACCTACGACTAACCAATGCCACAGCCGGCGTCGAGCTTGAAGAGGCCGGCGAGAAATGGCGGGCGGGCGATGCCGCCAAGTCGATGCGCTTCTTCATGCGCGCCATCGCCAACTACGACGACGGCCTCCAGCGACACCCGGGAGCCTTTGATCTAGCCTACAATAAGTATGTCGGAGCAGGTTTCACATTTTTTTATTCAGACACGGCTAACCCGATTGGTCTCCAGGGCAAGAGTTCAGTATGAAATTACCCAGCACCCCAAGCTGGCCGCCCAGCTCCCCGCGCCACAGGGCGACCTCCTGCAGATCGCGCTGGAGTCGCATCGCGCAGCTCTGAAACTGGATCAGGACAACGCTGATGTCCTGTTTAACACGGCGCAGGTTCTCACCAGTCTAGCCGAGACCATGTCCGACGCCAAGCACCCGGGCGACGACGCACTCGCGCAGGCGGGTACCTTACTGCAAGAGGCCGTCGAGCTCTTCCAGCGATGCTTGACGCTGCAGGAGATGAAGTACTCGGAAATGGAGGAGCAGGTTCAAGCCATGGAATCCATGGGGAACCAGCCGGAGGAGCCAATGCCATCGGCGGAGCCGGCCGAGGCAGCGGAAGCAGGGTCGACCGATGAGTCGCAAGAGCAATGGGCCGCGATCGTCGAACCAGTCACGAAGAACACGCTTGTGGACACGGCTGTGGCACAGCTCGACACATTGACCGCTCTGTGCAATCTGCTGACATTTAATCCGGGGGAGGGAGGCATTGGTTGGGTGGAGGAGTATTCGTCGGGGCTCGTGCAGACCCGACTCCCCATGTATGTGGATGGATCGGACCGCCAGTACGAGGCTGCCTTGGCTCGGACCAAACTCATATGCGCCATGAACGAGGTGCTTTACCGGGGCGGACACAGCAATGTCGACACCTATCAGCAAGAGGTCGGGAAGGCCTTTGGGCCGGATCTCGATCTATCGGCCGATCCAGGAGGATTGTGCGCCAAGGCAGACGCGCTTATATCTTTCAATAGTGCGCTGAGCGATGTTCCTCCATCGGACCCCGAGTCATTCAACACGGCTCTATCGGCCCGCTGGCAGTCCCTGTCAGTCGCGCTGGACACGTTGACGGCCGCCTCCAAGATTCCAGACGCGGACAATCTGCCGAAGATCCATCTCGCGCGGGGAGATGTTGAGATGCACCGCTGGCAACTGGGGATGTCCCCCTGGAACTATGAAATGGCACAGCAGAATGGCGCCACCCTCTTGCGCAACGCTCAAACATACTACCGAGGAGCGGCAGCTCTGGCTCGACGAGACGGGGCCGGCGAGGAAGAGCGTGATGGGTCATGCAAGGAGGCAATTGCGGCAGCAGTGGCGGGGGAAACAGCCAAGCTGGACCAGCTCAAGGCAACCATACTCAACGAGGTGGTGGCAGTAGCCCAGGACATGGTGGAGGACGGAATGGTAAACGGCACAGACATGGCATCCTTGATCTCGTGATTGATCGGACAGTCTTCAAAGGTCTGGCCGAGCGCTGGCCTCTTCATCCATCTGGACGGCGTCTTGCCGAAGGTGATGCTCCTTGCTGAACTGCGTGGCTGCAGTGGCTGCGCCATCCAGGTCGCCCATCACTGATTCAAGCTGGGACAACAGCTGCTCAATTTCTACACGCTGTGTCTGCACTGTCTGCGCCAGCTCTGCGTTCTGCGCGTGAGTCGCCTCGAGCTTGTCGTTGAGCGTGGCCTGAGCTTCCTGGAGATAGGGCATCAGGTGAGCCTTGTACAGATCTTCTGCACCGAGAGTGTGCGGGCTGTAGTCAACAGATATGTCAGATATGAAACCAAAAAGAAAAGAAAGAAATGGGCATAGAGTAAAAGCAAAATAACGTACGCAACTCGGGTCGCTTCTCCCTCTCTATTTTCTCCCTCGCTCTCCTTCCTGGCCCTGGCCTCCGCGACCAACCGATCCAGCTCATTCAGATGCTGAACCGCCTCTCGTTCCGTCAGGATCTCGGTGAATTCTGCCTTGGCGCTCTCCTCTAGCTTCGCGTTCAGTTGGCGCCATACACTCTCCAGGCTGGCAGGGACATGTCGTGCGGGCGTGGGGAAACAGCTGGCAAAATTTTGGTAAGAGTTTGCTCGCAGTGTGCGCGCCAATGCTTGGTCGAAGACCTGGTGGAGGCGTGATGCGCGTGGGCCGGGGGTCTGGGAGATGGGCGCAGGCGGGGGAGGGGAAGGGGATGGTTGGTGTGTGTTGGATGATTCTGCCATAGTCGATGGATGGCTGGATGTTGACGTGGTTGACTGTGTTGGGGGAGGGAGTGTGTGTTGTCAGATGGTTCCCCATTGTCCATTCCTGTCTGTCGCCAACACCGCGACGCGGTAGGCACGTGACTGGATGTATACATGAGACTTGCAAGGATCACTCAACGTCCATTATTATTCGCTGCGAACTACAATTTTCATTCCTTGGTGCAAGAATAAATCATTTTCATCCAATAACTACATCCTATTCATTCGCTCTTTATTTAGTGCGGTCCGGCACCGCAGCCTGCGATGCCTTAAACGACTGCTCGAAATCGGCGATGATATCGTCGATGTGCTCCGTGCCTACCGAAATGCGGATCGCATCGTCCGTCACGCCCGAGTCGGCGCGCTCCTGCTCAGTGAGCTGCTCGTGAGTAGTGGACCACGGGTGGATGGCGAGGGTCTTGGAGTCGCCAACACTAAAAGGAGAGGAATCAGTACATGGAATCAATCAAACCACACCCACAAATACATACTTGGCAAGGTTGGAGATCAGCTTGAAGCCATCAACCACCTGGCTGCCGGCCGCAGCACCGCCCTTGATACCCACAGACAACACACCACCGAAGCCACGCTTCAGGTACTTCTTCGCCGTCTCGTGCGACGGGTGGTCCTCCAGACCGGGGTACGAGACCCAGTTCACATAGTCGCTCTTCTGCAGCCACTTCGCCAAGGCGATGGCATTGCTCGCGTGGCGCTCGGCACGCAGACTCAGCGTCTCCATGCCCAGAATCAGCTGCTGGGCCGCGAACGGGTTCAGAGCCGAGCCCAAATCACGCAGGATCTCCACGCGCACGCGGATGGCAAATGCAATTGCGCCGAAGGTCTCCCAGAACTTCAGGCCGTGATAGCCCTCGGATGGCTCCACGAACTGCGGGAACCGAGCAGCATTCTTGCCCCAGTCAAACTTGCCGCTGTCGATCACCACGCCACCGATCGTGGTGCCGTGGCCGCCAATCCACTTGGTTGCACTGTGGACCACGATGTCGGCGCCGTGCTCGATAGGGCGGCAGAAGTAACCCCCAGCACCAAAGGTGTTGTCCACCACCAGAGGCACCCCCTTCTCGTGGGCCACCTTGGCAATGGCCTCGAAATCCGGCACGTTGTACCGGGGGTTGCCAATGGTCTCGACATAGACGGCCTTGGTGCGGTCGTCAATGGCCGCAGCGATGTCGGCGGGGTTTTCCCCGTTGATGAACTTGGTCTTGATGCCCAGTCGTGGGAGCATGACCTTGAACTGGTTGTAGGTGCCACCGTACAGGTTGGAGGTGGACACAATGTTGTCCCCGGCGTGAGCCAGAGCCGCGATGGCCATGAACTGGGCCGCCTGGCCGGACGAGGCGGCGACGGCGGCAACGCCCCCCTCGAGAGCGGCAATGCGCTTCTCGAAAACGTCGACGGTGGGGTTCATGATGCGGCTGTAGATGTTGCCGAACTCCTTGAGGCCAAAGAGCCTCGCACCGTGGGCGGAGTCATTGAAAGTGTACGACTAGATAGACCATCACTGTCAGTCCCTTTTCTCTAATCAGGCAGGGGGAAGGACGAACGGTGGTGGCGTAGATGGGCACCGCGCGGGAGTTGGTGGTTGGGTCCGGCTCCTGGCTGAAGAATTGTTCAACACGCTTTCTAAAAAGCAAATAACACAGAGCCAACGACTTACCCGGCGTGCAGCTGGAGAGTCTCGAAGTGGGTGTGGTCGGCCATGACGTTTGCTTAATCCGGAAAATGCGGGGAGCCGATGTCGGGGAGCTTGGGGGACGAATCTGGGGAACACGGGCGGAGTGAAGAATCAAGGGCAGAGGAAACTACGAGCAAGTATTGGAATTGATGGTATTCCGGATGGTGATGATTCTACAAATAACCAAGAAATGAGGGGCATGACAAGAACGGCGGGGAACAGAACGATGGCGTGATCGAAGGCTAACAAACGATGGATGAATGATTCTCGTATCGGCCGACTCGACGAGCTAATCATGTTCCGTGAGGAACAGGCCGTAGCTGGGATCAGAGTCTTCTGGAGTACATCCTGGTAGTGGTTCTTCTTTTGGTGGTGATATATATTCCCCCCGCCTCGCTTGGATGATATTGATGTTAGTAGGTACGTGGTGGTGTTATTGGCTGTAAACTCTATTCACTCGTATACATCTAGTCCGGCCACCTATTGATTGATATGTCCCTGGTGTACCCCGTATCCGGTGCTAGTATCCTGTACATTCGTCATCGGGGTCATCGCAATAAACAATATTAGATTGCCCGGACTCCGCCATGGAATAGTGTAGCGGCGATCAGGGTTTAGCGAGCAGTCCAAGCTCAGCCACCTGCATCGCTCACTCGCCCAGGTGACTCGGATGACGCCGGTGCGACAGAAGTGGCTGTTGCCTGTTTCTTTTTATTCTTTCAGTATTTGGTGGCCCATACATATATCCTCAACCTCCCCCGCAATAATCAACGCCGACTTTCACCACCCTCAGCATGGCTTACTCCGATATCCACTGGGTCTACCCAGTGCGCCTCGTACAGGCCCTGTTCGCTCTGATCGAGATCGGCTTGACTGGATATGGTCTGTACTACCCTCCCAAATCTCCATGGACATACTAACACGCCCCAGTGGTCGGCTCACTGCAGAACTGGTGGACCTACTCCAGTGCCGTGGATTTTATGCTCTTCCTCGGCTGTTGGACGGCGTTTCTGGCCGTCCCCTACCTTGCCTGCGCGCCTTTGTGGTTCCCGCGCCTCGCACACCGGTTCGTCATCCCCGCGGTCGAGGTGATCACGATGATCTTCTGGTTTGCGGGTTTCATCGCCATCGCTGCGATGCTCCCGCCAGCACCAGGGTGCTACAGGAGTGCCTGTCACACTCTTCAGGCGGCTACTGTGTTTGGGGCGTTTGAATGGTAAGGATCCAATATTTTCTGGAGTTGCCGTTGTAGCTGACAGTCATGAAAACAGGGCGCTGTTTGTCGCGACCACCGTATTCGCGATCCGGGAGCTCATGCAGTCCCGGAGTGGGAGCAGTGTCAAGCCGGCCCCCAACGCCCACGTCGGGGTTTAAGCCGTGGTTGGTTTTTGAGGGCAGAGGCAGGACAGAGGAATCGTTCATAATAATGTTTAGTTCAGATTGGTTTAGCCAGATACATACCCCTTGGTTACCTAAGTTAATAATTTATGTATTATCATTATTCCCGATCTCTTATCGATCATTCCATGAAACGGTGTGCCGCATTCGGCCAATACTGACTATTCCGGCTGTAACAGCCCAGTGGCGGTGATTGACTCGCACAGGCCGATCGACCACGCCGGATCGGATGCAACCGATGGCAGGATCGAGCAGGGATTATAGCGGACCATAGCACGATGAACAGGAGGATCGAAGCATATCATTCAAGGAATTCTTATTAGTAGTTATCTAATAGTATTAGTATTAATATTAATATTATTATTATCAGTATCTGGTCGGAACCAGACCCAAGTAATCGGTCGCCACCGACAAGGGAAAAAGTTTTCGTCTTGTCGGCCCACACCCGGGCCGGCCGAGATGGCACAGTAGCCAAGTAGATGACAATAGCTATACATACCCCGGAGCAGGAATTGGATTTTCATAGTATTCTCCTCAATTGCACTCCTTCCCCTCATCCCCGGGGATTTCTTTTACCTAAGACTTTCGCTCCACCGGGCCGGGGCATTCGGACAAGTAGGGCTTGACGGTCTTGTTCGCGTCTCCACAGTCAACGACAAAAAGCCATCGGAGCCTGGCGAAAAGGTGGAGAAGGCCAGCGGCGACCTTTCGCTCCTCTTTTGACTCAATTTCTCTTTCACCTCCCTCAGAAGGCATGGACGACGTGAGCAGTGCGCCCAAGGTCGAGAAGGCCAAGATGGAGGAGCAGCCCGTCATGCCCATGCAGGTGCACACTCCCGTCAATGACTATGAGGTCGACTACGAGAAGCATGGCGCGGATCGCGACTCGAATCCCTACCCGGATCTGAAGCGGAAGCTGAAGAGCAGGCATCTGCAGATGATTGCCATTGGTGAGTGGTGTCTTCCTTGGGTCGGAGAAGAATTTTCCATACTGATAGAATTTTTGCGCAGGTGGCACAATCGGAACGGGTCTGTTCATCGGGAGCGGCACGGCCATTGCCTATGGAGGGCCCATTGGAGCCCTCATCGCCTATATCTTTGTCGGAACCATCGTGTTTTCGGTCATGACGGCGCTGGGTGAGATCGCGACTTATATCCCAATCCCCGGCGCGTTCACCGCGTACGCCACCCGTTTGATCGATCCTAGCCTGGGTTTCTCCATGGGTTGGATCTATTGGTTCTCATGGGCATCGACATTTGCGTTAGAGTTGACGGCCACCGGTCTGATCATTCAGTACTGGGACGAGACCATCAATATTGCCATCTTCATTGCCGTCTTCTGGGTCATAATCATCATCTTCAACCTGATGCCTGTCGGCTTCTACGGCGAAATGGAGTTTTGGTTTTCGAGCGTCAAGGTCTTGACGGTGATCGGCTTCATGATCTTTGCCATCTGTATGAATGCCGGTGTTGGCCAGGAGGGTTATCTCGGCTTCCGATACTGGGTGGATCCAGGCCCATTCACGGCCAAACAAAACTATCTGATCTCCGGGGATGTCCCGCTGGCCAAGTTTGTCGGATTTTGGAATGTTCTGATTCAAGCCGGCTTCTCCTACCAGGGTACCGAGTTGGTCGGTATTGCCGCCGGTGAGACGGAGAACCCCCGGAAGACGGTGCCGTCGGCCATCCGCAAGACTTTCTTCCGGATCGTCTTCTTCTTCATCCTGACCATTTTCTTCATTGGCATCCTGGTGCCCTCGACCGACAAGGGCCTCGTGGCTAGTGAAGGCAGCGGTGCCAGCGCCAACAACGCCAAGGCCTCGCCTTTTGTCATTGCGGTGGAGCGTGCCGGCGTCCACGTCCTCCCGAGTATCATCAACGCGGTCCTGTTGACGGTGGTGCTCTCGGCAGCCAACTCGAATGTCTACAGCGGCAGTCGTATCCTAGTCGGCTTGGCCCAAGAGGGATTCGCCCCGCGCTGGTTCAAGAAGACGACCAAGGGGGGTGTGCCCTACTTCAGTGTGCTCTTCACGGCGCTCTTCGGCTTGCTCGGGTTCCTGAATGTGTCGAGCGAGGGTAGCACCGTGTTCACCTGGCTGATGCAGATCTCGGGCGTGGCTGGTTTCATCACCTGGTGTTCGCTGAATGCCTGCCACCTCGCCTTCCAGCGAGCCCTGAAGGCGCGTGACATCTCCCGCGACCTGCTGCCATACAAGGCCGTCGGCCAACCGTACCTGTCGTGGTACGGGCTATTCTTCAATATCTTGATCATCCTCACGCAGGGATTTACTGCGTTTCTCGGACACTTCCAGGTGCAGGAGTTCTTCATCAACTACCTCAGCCTGATCTTGTTTGTGGTGCTGTACGTGGGCCACAAGGTGATCGTCCGGCCGGCGTTTGTCAAGCCCATCGAGGCCGACCTGGACACGGGCCGCACGGCATTTGAGAACGAGACATGGGAGACGACGGAGTCGACGACGTGGAAGGGCAAGGTGTGGGAGTGGCTGAACTAGGTTGAAGTTGGTTGATTTTTTCTGCATGGCGTTGAAAGGCGTGTATATATACAGACTCATCTCTTTGCATCTCTATACATACCTTACTGTTATTCTGCTATACACGGCAACATGATTATTGACATGGGAAACTAGTAAACCCTATAGTGGCTTACCACGTGCGACAGAACATGTGAACCCCTATGACAACATGTGGCGCCGAGCCTGAGTAATGTCATGTACCGGTACCTGTTCCAGTATGGGCCACACTATGGTGGGCCAGGTACACTACCTGACCCCCGGAGCCGAGGTACTTTTTTTTCCAAAAGGCGCTTTAACCCAACTCGTCCTGCTCTCCGACCCTCCCTGTTGTTCGCTCGTCCGACCATTCTTTTTCTCTCGTTCTTCCCCTCGTCACTCTCTTTCAGTCCTCGAGCTCCCTGTTCTGTTCGGCCATATCGTCGTTGGGAGGTCGTGCTCGACATTTATTATTGTTATTTTTTGGCCGGTACTGTGTAAGCATCAATCTCTCGCGACACTGCTGCTCCGTCTCTAACCATCGGTCCGCCCCAGATAGATCATCATTCCTCTCCGGATAGACCATGTTCTTCTCGCAACCCCCTCACCTCGCCAAGGCGGAGGAGCTCAAGCAGGAGCCTCCCAAAGGCACTCCCTACTCCGTTCCCCTGCCCGGCTCCGAGAAGCCCGGCCGCAGCCGGGTATACCGGGCATGGAACTCGCAGAAGGAGCTGCTGCAGACCTTGGATCCCCAGGTATGCCACCTATGACAAGCGCGCGTGGATATTTCTGACAACGGCAGGTCTTGACGGCCCACGATATGTTCGAGTCGACTGCGAATCGCCAACCCAAGAACCACTGTCTGGGATGGCGCCCATTCAACCCGACCACCAAGACGTTTGATCAGTACCAGTGGATCAACTACGAGACCGTGCAGAAGCGCCGTGCCGCTTTTGGCGCGGGTCTGGTTGAGCTGCACCACAAGCACAACTGTCATCGCTCGGGCCAGTATGGCATTGGTCTCTGGTGCCAGAACCGCCCGGAGTGGCAGATCACCGGTGAGTTTAAGAAGAAGCATCAAGACCGGTTGGAGGAGACTGATTCGATCTAGATCTGGCCTGCATGTCACAGGGCCTCTATTCCGTCTCCATCTACGATGTCCTGGCCCCGGATGCCACGGAATACATCATCAACCATGCGGAGCTGAACTGCGTGGTTACTTCTTTGCCGCATATCCCGACGTTGCTCAAGCTCAAGCCCGCTCTGCCGAATCTCAAGATGATTGTCTGCCTCGACCCACTGGATGCCGGCGAGCAAGATGGCCACTCGAAGCGGGCGCTGCTGGAGTCGATGGCGGCCGGCCAAGATCTGGTCATCTACACCATGGACCAGGTGGAGGAACTGGGCCTCGCGTCCAAGCGCGGTAACAACCCTCCGTCACCGTCGGACATTGTGACCATCAACTACACTTCGGGCACAACGGGCCCCCCTAAGGGTGTGGTCTTGACGCACGGAAGTGCCGTGGCCGCCACATCTGCTGGCCTGATGACCGTTGGCCAGGCCCGCGGTGACACCATGTGCTCGTACCTTCCGCTGGCCCACATCTACGCTCGTCTTGCTGAGCACACAGCTTTCTGGGGCGGTGCGCGCATCGGCTATTTCCATGGTAACATTGTGGAGCTGGTCGATGACCTGAAGCTCCTGAAGCCCACTGGGTTTATGTCCGTCCCGCGCCTCTATAGCCGTTTTGGCACTGCGGTGCGCGCTGCAACGGTCGAGGCGCCAGGCTTCAAGGGTGCCTTGTCCCGGCATATCGTCGCGGCCAAGACTGCCAACCTGAAGAACTCCGATCCCTCCAAGGCCACCGTGCATCACGCTCTGTACGATCGTATCTGGGCCAAGAAGGTGGCCGCTGCGCTCGGACTGGAGCGCGCGAAATACATGGTGTCGGGCTCCGCGCCTCTGGACCCGACTCTGCACAACTTCCTGCGTGTGGCTACCGGTACTGATGTCCTGCAGGGCTACGGCCTGACCGAGACCTATGCCTGCGCCACTGCCCAGTCGGACCGGGACTTGACGGCTGGCAACTGCGGCCGCCTCGCTCCCTGCGTGGAGGCTTGTCTGGTGTCTCTGCCAGACATGGAGTACTATGTGGATGACAAGCCGCACCCGCGTGGAGAGTTGCTTCTGCGCGGCAACAACTTGTTCCGGGAATACTTCAAGAACCCGGAGGAGACATCCAAAGCGATGACCGAGGACGGCTGGTTCCGCACTGGCGATGTTTGCACCATTGACGAGATGGGTCGCTTCACCATCATTGACCGCCGCAAGAACGTGCTCAAGCTGGCTCAGGGCGAGTACATTTCCCCCGAGCGGCTGGAGGGTGTCATTCTCTCGGAGCTGGGTTATCTCGCCCAGGCCTATGTGCATGGTGACAGTATGCAGACCTTCCTGGTTGGTGTCTTCGGTGTTCAGCCGGACATGTTTGCCCCTTTCGCCAGCAAGGTTCTGGGCCGCTCCATCGCTGCCACCGACCTGGAAGGCATTAAAACGTCTCTGAATGACGATAAGATCCGGCGTGCTGTGCTACGTGACCTTGAGAAGGTCGCCAAGAAGCACAAGCTGGCTGGCTACGAGCGTGTCCGAAACTGTGCGATTAAGGTGGAACCTTTCTCGGTTGAGAACAACCTGCTCACCCCGACGTAAGTCTTGACTATTGCCCCTTCATTCATCTTCATACTGACCAATGCTTCTAGTCTCAAGCTCAAGCGTCCTCCCACGGCCAAGGCATTCCGCCCGCTCCTGGACCAGCTCTATGCCCAGGCTTTGGAGGAGGAGTCAGCACCCAAGGCCAAGCTGTAGGGGCATTTTCATTTTGTTTTGAACGTACACATGCATGTTTTGTACCTTCGGTCACCTTGTCGCTTGACTTGCTCCAAGCACTGTACATAAGAATCCCTGGATTGGACCATAAGTCCATCCATCCACGCACTGTAGTATATTCGGAGTCAAGTATTGTGTTTATCTCGGCCTCTTCCCGGTTATATCATTGTTGCTGCGATAGACAGTCGGCCAAGAGCAAGGGCCAGTGTAGTTAGTACGCACTGCGATCGGTGAGGTCGGAGTCACCGTACAGTAAAAAGAGCTGAGAATATTCCCAAGGTTGGAGAGAAAGAGATTATGATAGTATAGTAAAAATATATGTTTATGTACTGCCAGTCCTTATATACTGGATATCCTCCCCTGACCGCTCTAATTGACACGAGGAAAAAAAAGGTGATAATTCACAAGGGCAATCCTGACCTTCCAAATAAAGAGACAAAACGATCTTCTAAGATCAACTGCAGGCATTTTCACTCAGATTCGCCTCAACAACTCCCCAGGAAACTCGGCAGATACGCAGGTGTTGGTTTACTTGCGAATGCTGCGAGCCTTGCGGGCCTTGACCATCATATCGTACAGGACATCCTTGAAAGCAAAGAGGAACGCAGCAGTGATGGCACTTTGAGTGACCTTGGGGCCAATGCCTGCAAAACGGACGTTAGTACAAAGAGCAATACCAATTAACTGGCAATCAACTTACCCTTGTAGAGGCCAGTATATCCCTCTTCCCGAATAATCCGCTTCAGGCTTCCATTCAGGCTCTCCTTGGGGCCATCCTTGCTGGCCACATGCATTCGGCTCTTGATAGTAATGTAGGGGTAGGTAATGCTGGTAGCCAAGATCTTGCCCAGAGCGCCCAGGTAGAACGCATCCTTGGGGGTCATCCGGCGGCGTCGTTCGACAATATTCTTCAATTGTTCGAATATGGTGTATTGCAGGATCGGGTTGATCACCAGGACCAGTGCCGGGAGGACACCAGCAAAGAGAGACTTGGGGCCCTCTTTCTGCAGTAGTTCCATGAGGGTGCTAAAAGTGGAGGGGCTTGGCTTCTTGGGCGCCCCGGGGAGGCCTTGCTCGTCCCCGGACTTGTTGCGAGCTGTCATGCGAGTGTTGATGACCCAGATCGGGTTGGTAATCAGCACCGTGGCACTGCCGGCGATTGCGCCCGCAATCATGGACTCGGAAGTTGACAGCTTCTTGGAAGCGCGCCCAGCCTTGATAGCAGCCTTCTCGAAGGTGGACCGGGTCCACTCATACCAGTAATAGTACACAAAGTTGGTGACACTGATTCCGAACAGCGCTGACTCCAGGCCAGCATAGAGGCCCGAGATTCCCTCCCGCTGAACGATGCGCCGCACGGCATCGAGGGTGGTCGAGTGCGCACGCTTGGACTCGACTTGGGCTCGGGTCGACAGGGTGATCAAGGGATATCTGCAGGAGGACTTTCAGTTAGCATTATGAGCAGATAAAGAAAGACTCCGGATGTGCACACGTCATGATCATGGACAGAATGCCACCTCCCGCGCCGGCCAGCGCGTGGGCGATATTGTCGCTCTGCTGGACGGCGGTGGAAACCGCCGCCTTCTTCTGTTGCTCGGTGGGTTGGGACATTGCGAGGCCGTGGGTGAGAAGGAGTGGCAAGTCAAGAGACACGAAAGACGGGATAGAAAGGAAAAGAAGAAAGCACCCCCTGGGGAAAAGCGCGATGAATAAGAGGGCGAGAATGATTCGGCTGGGGGATTTACATGACGTTTTGCCGAACGCTGGGCCTCGGCAGAGGGAGTGTAGAAGGTGGTATTGGTATTACCGCACCGTCATTTTGACCGCAGAGTATGTATACGAGGGACATGCCACTGTACAACATGCAGCGGATTCTCTGTAAAGCCCGAAAGAGAATCGAGAGAGAGAGAGATACCTGGTTATATTTCTGGTTATTCTGATGGCGGATACTCTCTCCTAACCATCTAGCTCCAAACATGGAACATCCATCCTCGACTCCAGCATGGCATGTGACGATCTACCACTAATGAATGTATCGGTATACTGGCTACACATGCTGGCAATCTTTTTTAAACCTCATCCATTCCGAGGAATCTCAAACCTACAAACAGAGGGAATGCGGCCACGCACAAATAAGAAGGAGGAAAAAAAAAGAAAAGGCAGTAATCACATAGGAAGACAAAACGCAGAACGAGGTCAGAAAAACGCAGGCCGTCTAAAGGAAGAAAGAAAAGGACCCCAACGGGCGCTCTCACGGCGGGCCATCATCCTCTTCCCGTCCCCCTCGGCTGAATCGAAGCCAACCGACGAGATCCTACGCCGCTTTCGAAACCCTCCATCAAGTGCGCCAAAATGAAAGCTCAGCTCCCATCGTCTCAATCAGCAGCAACCGCCGGCCGAGCCGGACTGGACGCCCTGGCCCTGACCCACCTGCACAGTCGGCTTGTTGTTCGCCGTGGCCGTGCCCATGCGCTCCTTGATCTGTCGTGCCATTGTCAAGAACGCCTGCTCCACGTTCGACGCGTTCTTGGCAGATGTCTCCAGGAAGGGAATTCCAAGGCTGTCGGCGAATTCCTGGAAACCGATGAGCAACCACTCCCTGCGGCGAGGGAGATTGGGGGAAATACCTTGGCCACTGTGTATTCCACAACCTTCTTGTCCTCCATATCGCTCTTGTTGCCAACGAGGAGCTTGTTGACACCCTCCGTAGCGTAGCGGTCAATCTCCTGGAGCCACTGCTTGACATTGTTGAAAGAGTCCATGTCGGTCACGTCGTACACCACGCAGATGCCGTGGGCGCCCCGGTAGTACGAGGATGTGATGGTCCGGAACCGTTCCTGACCAGCAGTGTCCCACTGTATTCGTTGTTAGCCTTGCTGGCCCCATCCGGCCGAATACGAAGGGCCAAATCATACAATCTGAAGCTTCACCGTCTTGCCGTCAAGTTCGATGGTCCGGATTTTCTGCGTTGACGGGCACTGTCAGCCAAGAGATTCCGTAAAGAGGATAGCCGGCGGGGTTTCAAAACACATACGAAGTCCACACCGATGGTGGAGATATAACTTTCGGTGTAGGTGTCATCGGCAAAACGCAGCAGCAGGCAAGACTTTCCGACACCGGAGTCACCGATGAGGAGAAGCTTGAACAGGTAGTCGTATCTATCGCGATGGTTAGATATTGCAGACGGGCGGAGTGGCACGGTGCGGGTTCGAGGGGGCCGCTGAGGAAACTAGGCAGCGACACAGAGGTACTCTGGACGTTCGGATAATTGTCAGCCAAATGGGTCACCAACAAAGGGATATCATATTAGAGGAGACAAGTCTGTAGAGGGAGAGCATGTCGCGGAGGGAAGAGGTCGTAGTGTTCAGGTGTGGGTGGAAGGCTTACCACTCGGGATTCATGATGATGAAGCGAGGAAGAGTGCGACCGGTGGGAACAAGAAGACCGAAAGACAGGAAGAACAAACCGGCCCGGACGAAGAAGATCAAACAGGTATAGTAGTGGTCTTGGGGCCAAGTCGATGATGATGAGGAGGATGATGATGGAATGAATGAAGAGGGCCTGAAATGATATGATAGGAGGAGGTCGAGGAAGCCACAGGCACCTGATGCGCAACTCCACCTGATCTTCATCGTCTGATCTAACCATACGGCGGTAATCGCACATCTGGGTAGATACGTATAGTATAGTCGCTAAATGGTAGAGACACTGTAATTATTAAAATGTATTCTATCCTATTTTGAAGCGTAGTAGTAGAGATAATAAGGGTAGACGTCAGTTCTGTCGGATCGTGTAGAATTGATGTAGTGAAATGAAAAGTCAATATGATCGGAGGGATGTCAATAGGTAAATATGCTGCGAAGACGGAGACTACACTACATGTCTCTAGGTGTGTGGCTAACACTAGGGGTGTGTGCGATTATCCCAATCGACATCTACTTTCAAACCTACTAAAGGAGGTAGGTAGCTGGCAACTACGAAGTAACCACGAGGTTCCCAACCAACACGTAAGAAAGAAATAAATCGAGTTATTCAAAGACGGATCCCTCACGCATACCGATGCGCCTGCAGCCACTCCACCACCTTCGCCGCATCCCGCTCCTGGTAGCACGCGTTGGTCCGGATGCTGTCCGAAACAATCACCAGCGCCCGCTGATATGCGCTCGTGTCCTTGTTCTGGAAGAACGAGGCAATGTCCTCGCCAGTCGCATGATCCGCGAACTTGGTGAGTCCCATTCGCACAAAGCGCTCAATCACCACGTTGCTGGCCGACAGTCGCGTCGACACGGTGTCCCAGTTGTCCTTCATATACTTCCACAACAGGTGGCGCATCTTGGAGTTCGCCGCCAGAGACACGGCACCGCTGTGGATGTCCTGGATAGCCACCTTGTCGGAAAAGACAAAGTCCAGGTAGTCCTGCACCAGGGCCGGCTCCTTCGTGCGACCGAGCGCGCTCAGGCAAATCTCCTTGCCATCTACCGAGTCCGTCCGGAGGTATTCTTCCTTGACGGCCTCGTATTCCTTCCGGCCGCCCTCTGATACATTGAGGCTGAAGATGACTGACCGCAAGTTGGTGTGCACCGCATCCTGGTCTTTGCCCGTGGCCCACAGGTCGAAGCGTCGCTTGGCTTCCGCAATGATCCTATAGATACTCGTCAGAAACGCGGTACTCACCATCTTCTACACCAGCATGGACTCACCCTTCATGGCCAGCATTACCAGCCATCCCAATCAGAAGTTTCCGCAGCTGCACAGTGAGGTAGTCTTCATTGGGTGAAAATTCCCAGCCAATCTTCTCCGCCGCAGGGGAGGCAAGGTTCAACGTAAACTTTTTCAGGCCCTCGGCGGCTTGTTCGTTCTGGGAGAAGACAGAGCGGAGGTTGGCCAGCGACGAGGAGATTTGCGACCAAACACTGCAGATCAAAAATTAGAGATTATCGCGAACGGCCACGGAGCGCAGGAAACATCTTACAGGTAGTCTTTCTCTCCCTTGAATCCTTCCAGAAGAGCCAGCAAGGCCGGCGTGGTACCTTCTCCGGAAACCGCAAGCGCGGCAGCATCGCCCAGCAAGCCAATCTTGTCTTCGGTGCTCAGAAGATCAAGAGACTGGCCGAGCTTCGCCAGACGTGCCGGGGGGTAGTTGGTCCGGTAGAACCCAGCCAGGTCCTTGTTGATCTTGTAGAAGGCATCTTCGCCGACGCCTCCAATGGTATCAGACTTGTTTGTGAGGGCGCGAGTGTCAATATTGGCCAGCTGGGGACCAGACTTGAGGCCGAGAGGGATCCACCAAGTAGTCTGATCCTCCTCGGCTTTCGCATCCCCGGTGGACAAGAATCGATTCTGGCGAACGCTGATTTGACCAGGCTCTTCGGCTACCGTGACAACGGGGAATCCAATTTTCCGAATCCAGGGATCCTGGAGAGGAGGAGTCAGATAGACTTGGAGTCGAATCAAATATGGGCTTAACTAACCATGAAGGTGTGCACATCCTGGCCAGAGGCTTCGCTCAAAGCGGACCACAGGTCATTCGTAGTCGCATTTCCTAGAAGAAAATCAGCAAGGTTGCATTTCAATATACAGAGGAACACCCTTACCATAGGCATGTGCCTTAAGGTAGGTCGCCACGCCGCGGAGGAACGTCTCGCGGCCGAGATGAACACTCAGCATGCGGATCACAGAGCTTCCCTTGAGGTAGCTGATATGGTCGAAGATTTGATCGACTTCAAGAGCATTTCGGACCGGAACCTCAATAGGGTGCGAAGCGCGCAGCGAGTCGAGATGGAATGCTTGTTGAACACCCTCAGCCTGGAACAATGTCAATCGCGGACTCAACAAAACCGTGGATACCTCGGGAATTGCGTACAACAAATTGAGACCAAACGTTCCATTCTGCGTATGTATGTCAGGATTTGCACGACTAGCTTCGCCATCGGAGAGGTCGACTCACCAGGATAAAAGTGATCGACAGCCAGCCAGCCGACCCAGGTTGCGAAACCCTCGTTGAGCCAGAGCTCATTCCACCAATCCATCGTCACGAGGTTGCCAAACCACTGGTGGGCCAGTTCTACGATGCGATATATCAGATCCAGTCCGGTCATCGTGGCGGGGAGGGTCTCACCGTGTGCAACAACATAAGCAATGCGATTTTTATACCGGTTATCAGATTTTCCTTCATCGAAGAGGACGGCAGTGGTCCGATAGGTAACAAGTCCCCAATTCTCCATGGCACCCATCGCAAATTCGTGGACCGCCAGGAGATCCGCCTTGGGAAGTGGGTACTCGATCTCGAAGACCTCGGAAAAGTAGTCGACCGTCCGATGAGCACACTCCAGCGCAAACCGAGCCTGCTCCTTGAGACCCCGCGTGGTGTAGACGCGAACTGGAATGCTCTTGCCCTGATACTTACGCTCGGTCATCGCCTCAACATATTCAAAATCGCCAACTGCCCATGCCAGGAGCTGCAGGAGCGAACACTGGGTTAGCCAAGGGCACATCCATCTACGGATATGTCTGGGATACTGACGTAAGTGCTCATCACGGGCGTCTTCTCAAAGGTGACGAATTTGAGCCCAGAGTGGCTGCCGTCTCTTTCCGATTTGATCGGCATGTTGCTGAGCGCAGTCTGCTGCTTGGGCACCTCGATCTCGAAATCGAATGCTGCTTTCAAGTTCGGCTCATCGAAGCAGGGGAAAGCCCTCCGCGCATCGCATGACTCGAATTGGGTGCTCAACATGTAGGAGAAGTCGCCCTCCTTGGGGGTGTCGGCGGCCGGCTCTCCTACGGGCTTATACTTGGAGCGGTAGAAACCGGCCATGGCATCGTTCATGATTCCGGTGAAGTTGATAGACAACACGATATCCTGGGGCGCAATTTCCTGCGGGAACTTGAACGTGACCCGTTCCGATTTCTTGTCGTAGGAGATATCGGATGCCTTGGCCAGCTGGGCACCTGTGGAGAGACAGGGCCGCACGGTCAGCTTGTCTGATCGCAGTCACGGCGCAATGGACACCCACCATCCTTGTTCAGAACTTCCGCATGCTGTACCTCCAACTCCTTCGCGTTCAGGACAATCTCGTTGGTGGGGCGGGCGACCTTTGCATCGACCTTGACCAGGCCCTTGTATCCCCAGGAGCCACCGAGCTGCAGGTCGAAGAGCGAGACGTGGTAATTGACGGGTTTGGCCCTGGTCGTCGCAGTCAGCTCCGGACACAAACACTCACAGAGGCACCCACGAGGGATCCCCGAAGGATGATGGCGGGTACATCACTCACACGTCAGGCAGAGTCTCTCTGTCAGAGGTCATGATGCGAGCTTCAGCGGAGCAATATCTGATGGGGGTTTTGAATTGAACTTGGGGAGCGACCGAGACGGGACGGGGGAGAAGTCGACGGGGATGGCGGGAAGAGAAGGAGAAGGAGGGAAGAAGATGAAGCGCGCGAGAAGAACAGGAGGAGGAGGAGGAGGGGGAGGGGCCAGGGCGGCCTGGACGGGCAACCGTTGCAATGCGGCGGACACTACTGGTCCCCCACATCGGCTATCGTCGGTATAGTGGTTAGAAGATAGTGGTGTGAGTGTGAAATAAATTAGGTAGAGTGAACTAAATATTAGTTGTAGTTAGGTGTGGGAGCTTGGGCCAGGCCGAGCCTGATTAACGGAGTGCGGCTCCCGATCGCCAGGACTTGGACACACTCCCACCCACTCCCACCACACCATGGCCGACTCCGACGAGGAATACGTGGGCGAGGTCACCGACGACGAGGACGACTTCCAAGTCTCGCGCACTGGCCCCGAGCGCCGCTCCAGGAGGCGCAAACAGCGAGGCGGCGCCGAGTGGGAGCTGTCCCGGACCTGGGAGACACTGGTCGAGGGCGCCGATGGCACCATCAGCTCCACGGTCGAGGGCCTGCTCGAGGCCGGGAAGCGCAAACGGTGAGTCTCCGTTTCTCTCTCCCTCTCTCCATACTAAGCCAACAAACCCGAATTGCGCAGATTGTTGAAAGACACAACACCGCTGCAACGCGGCATCATTCGACACCTGATCCTGACTCTGGACCTCTCGCAGTCCATGTCCGAAAAGGATCTCCGGCCCACCCGATATCTGTTAACCCTGCGATATGCCCAGGAGTTCGTGCGCGAGTTCTTCGAGCAAAATCCCATCTCCCAACTCGGCGTGCTGGGCCTGCGAGACGGTCTCGCCATTCGAATCAGCGATATGAGCGGCAATCCCACGGAGCACCTGACGGCAATCCAGGCGCTGAAACCCCAGGACCCAAAAGGCCTCCCAAGTCTACAGAATGGCCTCGAAATGGCCCGAGGTGCCCTCTTGTCCGTTGCCCTCTGCCCGCTCCTGCTTCCATCCACGCTGACCGGTTGTCCATAGTCATACCCCAAGCCATGGAACCCGAGAAGTGCTGATCCTGTTCGGGTCTCTCCTGTCCTCTGATCCGGGCGATATTCACCAAACCATCAATACCCTGATCAGCGACCAGATCCGGGTCCGGATCGTCGGCCTGGCCGCGCAGGTGGCCATCTGCCGCGAACTGTGCACGAGAACCAATGGTGGGGACGAAACAGCATACGGGGTGGCACTCAATGAGCAACATTTCCGAGAGCTGATGATGGACGTCACAACCCCTCCAGCAACAGATTCCCACAAACAATCGGCAAGCTCACTCCTCATGATGGGGTTTCCATCTCGGACCATGGATTCTGCCCCTTCGCTCTGCGCGTGCCATTCGAACCCTTCCCGCGGGGGATATAAATGCTCCCGTTGCCACAGCAAAGTGTGCAGTCTGCCTGCCGAGTGTCCGGCCTGTGGCCTGACCCTGATTCTGTCGACTCACCTTGCGCGATCCTATCATCATCTCTTCCCTCTGATCAACTGGGTGGAGGTGCCATGGCGCAGGGCCTCAAAAAGTGCCGCGTGCTTTGCCTGTGGTATTCCCTTCCCCCCGTACCCTCAGAAGACCAGTGGTCAGTGACAGAAGGGCATGCAAAAGGGATGAGCGTGAGCAGCCGCTATGAATGTACCGCATGCAAGAATCATTTCTGCATTGACTGCGATCTCTTTGCTCACGAGGTTGTACATAATTGTCCCGGTTGCCAGAGCAAGAGTACGCAGCCCCCCGAGGCCCAGTCCGACACGGCGCCAGAGGTTGATGGTATGGACACTACGATGTAGACCAGTCGGCTGGTAGTGCCACTCGATCATCAATGTGATCAAACAATTCCTTCGAAAGCCGACGAGACTTCGTCAGAGAACTGCATAGCCAGAAGAACGTCCACAGATTTCAGAGACACGAACCCCTCGACATGCCAGGGATTGCTTGGGCAATTACAGCAAGCCTGGTCACCACGACATGAGCAAGCATGCTCACATTAGATGGTCCTGGGGGCCGGGTGAAATGACCGCTGGTCAGATATTTCGGCGGTCACTGAACTATTCAAGTAGCTGCTGGGCTTGGTTCATTGGGCAAGCTCAGGGACCGATCGCCTGGGCAAAGCTATCGGACTTTCTCTATATGCTCGTCAATTAGTATCTCAATCCGATATACACTCGGTGCAGAATAAATAGAAATCGAGCACAAAGCCCACTGTACAGTAAGCACGATCTATATTAGCTACTTCAATCGCAACCTCGGCTCCCGCTGCCCCACGCCCTGCGCATTCCTCCTCTCTCTCTCTCTCTCCGACACAATAATTAATCCTACACCATGGCACAGCCCGTAGAAGCCCAAGAGAACCCGCTGGAGCGACTACGTTCGTATCCCTTCCACACCGATCCCGAGTTCGCCAATGGCCTCTCCACCATCCTCGGTCATCCCGACACCCCCGCCACCGAAGCCGAGATCAACCGCGAAGATGACCTCGTCCTGCAAGCTAAATGCTTTTTCTTCTCGCGGTATGCCTGCCAGCGCCAGACATGTTGTCCTAGATTTCGAAGCTCCATACTGATGCGCGCCGGATCACAGAAAAGAGAACCTCAATCCACCCATTGACTTCGCAGCCTATAAATCCTGGCTGGCCGCGCAGTTGACAGAAGCACCCCGGGATTCCGAAATTGTTTCGGGATCGTCACAAACGCCAACGACATCCTCCTCATCAGAGCCCATTCAACCTGGCCCTCAGGCCCCTACAAACCCAGAACCCGCCTATCCATCCTCGTTCGCACATATCGTGGACCTAATCACGACCGGGCAGCCCATTCCCGGGATCCAAGAGATACCGGACACAGTTTTGGAAGGGCATGATTTGTCGAGTGAAAAGCCTCGCAGGCGAAAACCGTGGGAAAGGGAGGAATCGGCGGACATCGCGGAAGACTCTACAAGTGCCGCCCCCTAAGTGTCGCTAGTTCAAGGGAAAAGGATACGGTGCTCATATCAGCAGCGCGCAGAGGAGTCAAAATAATAAAAATGTCATTGCACGCTTGAAACTGACATTAAAACTCGGCAGTGGAGCTGCATGGTTGGATAACAGAATAGAGAACCGCCGTACTACGCCAGAACAGGTATAAAGAGACACGAGTAATGAATGCTCGTAGCCCGTGGAACACGAACAAAGGAGCTTGGGATAACCAACCGTGGGAGAGTAGCCCGAAATGGAATCAACTGGCGGGGGGCACTAGCCATCAAAGTTGTATAGCAGAAATAACCGTAAGACTGATCGAGAACTGAGACACCACATTTCGATTGTCACACACTCGGCTTCACTCGCAGCCTGCATTTGCGGAGAAAGATGACGACAACATCGATAATCCATAGAAAAGAACCTCTTTTTTTGGGTGGGGGGTTTGGTTTGGCAGATCCAAAGGAAACGCGTCAGCGAACATCTCAACGAAACGGGGTATAGTTGGAGCCCCACGGTCCTCCACGACCAAAGCGCCCGCTTGATTGGCTTGTAGTGGAAAGCCTGTCCTCGGTAAACTGGTTGAAACGGCCGATTTGCATACCAGCACCAGGGCCGGGGCGAGTGGCATGAGATGGATTGCAACAGAGCATCGCGACGCGAGAGCCGAATTTGGAGCCACGGAGCGAGACCATGTGTTTCCTATAGATGCCGGTATTTAGCCACGGAAAATTCAGGGTTGGTAGTGGATTGAAGATGTTACGTACCGAATATGGCCGGCGACAAGCTCCCGCTGGTGAGCTGCGGCATTCATCAAGATCCATTGGATCAAATAGTTGCCATACTGGTCACCCGCAACTGAAAGCAAAGCGGAATCAGTACGGACGCAGTAGCGAGGGTGGGACTCTACTCACTATCAGTCAACGGCATCCGGGGTCGGTCAGCGCGGCCAGTGCAGACTCGAGAAAGATAGCGCTCCAGGAACTCAGATCCTCCAATCTTCAGGCATTTCTCTACTATCTTGGAGGCGAACTGATCCATACTGTAGTCCACGGCCCAATGGAGAACATGTTCGACGGCGCGGCTCTTGTCATGGGGAGCCCCATGTTCGCAGATGTGTTGGATACACCAGTTACCAAACTGGCCCCGTGCGAGCACATCGATCTTGCCCAGCACTTCTTCGATTGCCGGTCGCTATCAATTTATTAGCATACCACTTGGACCAAACGAGAAAAAGCCAAGCCCCAAGCAATGGGGCTGTAAAACAGAAAGGAGTACCAACCTTCTCATCCTCCACACAATTCTCGAAGATGTTCTGAACAACCAAGCTTCCCGTCTCCCCCAAAGCCACTTCATGCCACATTCCACGCAGAGCCTCATTGACCTTGGCCATGACCTGAGGAGGCTCTCCGCTCCAGCGGAGTTCGAAGAGTTTCTGCCAAACATGACAAGCGTATCGATGAATAACCGTCTCCGGAATGCGGCGCAAGAGCTCATGAACCATAACTGCCTTGTGTTCCTCGGAGACGCAGTCGAAGGCCTTCTGGATCACATGGCAGCCAAAAGGGTCCATGCTCAGGCTGAGTGTGTTACCTCGAATTGCGTTGGCAATGGCAACAACTTGTTCCGGGGTCCCATGCTCAAAGCAGCGCTGGATCAGAAAGTTGCCAAATCGATTCACCATGAGTGGATACGCCTGGTTCGCAATGGCCTCGATGATGTCGTACTTCTGCTCCGTGGTACCGACCTTGAGCTTTTGCTGCAAAAAGATAGAAGCCTGCTGATCGTTGTTGCAGACAATCTTGTCCACAATGTACTTCCAGTCGCAAGAAACGTTCTTGTCGAGAAGACGTCGGTAGTTGAGCGGCTCCAGCGGAGAGATATACGTCTGGATAGAGTTTCCGCCAGTCTAGATACATTAGAAGCGGAGGATGAAAAAGATAACAAGCGAGGAAACTCACTGATGACGTTGCCCAGGAGGTAGCATTTGTGCTGGCTGACGTGAATTCAGTGGCCGTGGGTGACAGAGGAGTCCCAACGGACGGCGTTTGATAAGAGATCGGGTAGACCCCCAGCTGCTGGTACGCGCTCGATGGTCTATTCACAGGCAATTGAGGAAATTGATCACAGAGGGATCCGGTAGGAAACCCACCCCAAGGCGTGGTAGGTCCTGGAAATGAAGGCGAGCCGCGGGTGCCCTGGGTGATGACCCGACGAGGCCCCAAATTTGAAGCTGGAAGAGACCACATTTGCTCACCCGGTGGGCGGGACTGGAATGCGCACGAAGGCCCCGAAAGCACTCTGTGGGACGGAAGAGCACCACGACTTGCAAAATTCGAGCCGCTCCAGAATCGGGCGGGGTCCTGGCCCAGTGAATTGCTTGAGCCTGGAAGAGCCTCGTATGCATTATCAAAGGCCGATCCATTAGTGCCCACCCCAAGTGACTGCTGCCCTTGCTGAGACCACAGCCCGCGAGCCCGATTGTAGGCCCCTGCCGACAGGGCATCCGAAATATCAGACTGGGAATCATCTTGCGCGGTCCATGCGTCCTGGACTCGGGTGAACGGGATGGGATTCGAGGCATTGAACGCATTCTGCAAATGGCTGATGGTCTGTTCGGTAATCTCACGACCGCCACCAAAATCAACTTCGGAGGGTGGCCCGAGGGCTTGATCCAGGGTATGCTTAATCACGCGGGTTTGAGCCAGCTCTTGCTCCTGGACGGCTATTTTGGAATTTGCGGCAAGCAGCTCTTGTTTGAGACGAAGCAGTTCCGAGGTATCCGCGATGTCTGAGGCCGGCAATAAATCGGGAGTTGAAGTGCTTTGGGAACTGGGAGACGTGCTAGCAAGCACCTCCTTTGGAGAGAGCTTGGCCAGTATCCTCTCCAGTCCCGAAGGCGGTCCGGCCAAGGAATCGGCATTCATGTGCTCCAACTTCTGCTTCTAGGCTTGTCAGACTAGCTTTGCATTTGGCAGTGCGAGAACCAACCTTGCTTGTGGGGACCTCACGGTCCTTGTCCAGACGGCCAAGTCTAGACAATCCGGGGAGAGTGGACATCTTAGCAAGCAGAAACTCGAAACGAGAATCAGCGGAGATGCAAAGGGGACGATGAAGAGGACGAGGAGGGAGAAGGAGAGGGAAAGGGTGGGAAAGAGGGAGAGGGAGGAAGGTGAGAAGAAATAGAAGAGGAAGGGAAAGAGAGAGAAGGTGCGACGACTATCTAAGGAAGAAGGAACTGCGCGACACCTGCCACGACCAGTCCAGATGACCGGCAGCCAACACTCCCGCCGCACCTCGCCAGCGACTTTCGTCCCCCAGCACCGCATAGTCCGGTTGGCCCCCGCCAGTCACTGTCGGCACCAGGCGAGCGGCCTGGCGCAACCCAGCCAGGTCGGCACCCCAGACGACGAGCTCCACACGCTCGTCAACCAACGGCCGCAGAAACACGGCCCCCAGTCCGGGCTCGTATACATATCCATGCGGCGGGGATTCGGACGAACTAACCACCAAGCGACCCTGGTCCGGATGGATTGGGTATGTGTCGAGCTGGGACGGAGGAAGATTGTCCCCCACGGCTAGCGTGATGGCATTCCCTGGACCCTCTGGGAAGCATCCGCGAACGATGTGCGCATCCGCAGAAAAATATTGAACCAGGTTGCGACTAATTTGGAGGGCAACGTTCTGGACGCCAGCCGAGCACAGGTTGATCTGAAACCTGCCATCAGAGCGTAACAAGGCATCAATTCCCCCCAGTTGGCGACCATATCGCGCAGAGATCGACCGCCAACTGGAATCATGAGAAGCGGTCCACTTCCCCGGGGTATCTTGCAGGTACCAAGTCTGGCCAAGTTGGCCATGATCCACAGCAAATTGGGTATCACCCAGGATTACGACATCCGGCATCTCGATCTGACGAGCCACGTCTGTCAGGTGGAATCGGCGGATGTTGCGACTACGCACATCCCACGTTCGACTCTCAGAATGGCGAAAGATGGCCATTTCACCATTCTCATCGGGCGACTGCAGCTGGTCTACCTGGATCCCAGCTTTGGGCCCGATAACACCGGTGGCAGGGATCGTGATGGTGAAGTTGATGGGGATTTCAGCCGAGTTTCGCGGTCTGGCGGCCACGTCGTGGTAAAACTGTTGGAGGAACGGGGTTGTCAACACACCGGGAAACCAATGGCCAGCTCCCAGAAGCTCGTTGTACTTTGATGGCCAGGAGATCTGACCCAGCAGCTCGTGAATCAGACGCGAGTGATATGCAGGCACGTTATCATCATCAGAGCCATGTTGCTGCACCACTGGAATCCCCGCCAAGTTCTCCAACAGCAACTCGTGCTTGTAGGAAGCCCGAGAGCGGAGCAGCACGGCCAAGAGTGACGGCTCGAGATTTTGCCACATGCTATAGGGGACATAGTCTATGTATCTTCAGTACCAATGCAAACCTCTCGATGAGAGGGATGGACAAACTCTCAATGGAAGTGTAGCCTGACACGGGGGCTACAGCAGCGACTTGATCAGGGTAATGTGTGGCGTAATACCACGCTCCTTGGCCTAGCGGGCATTAGTGATATGGGCTTTGACGGTTGACATGGACTTCATACCGCCGTTGGAATGACCGGTAAGGATCAAATCATGCAAGGAAACCCTCGGGCCCTTCCATCCAACATTGGCCATCCACTCCGGGATGGCAGAGAGTGCCTCCTGCGCATCAGCGTTGCCCCAATGATCTGGATTTTTACTTCAGTCGCTGATTCCGTTGTAGGGGGTGAGACGTACGCCAGTCATCGCCACTCCATGAGGTGACACCACTTGGAAACAACATCCAGGCACATACTCCATATGCTCCGTCCAACATGGCGCGAGCCTCCGCGCTGTCCACGTCCAGCCCCGCCCCATGGAGAGCAAGAATCACTGGCAAGGCAGCGGATCCGTGCAAAATGTTACAAGAGGCCGGAGGAGGTCGTAAGATGGCATACGAGACACCACTCGACGGGTGAAGATAAGTGAATCGTTGGGCTTCGGACAAAGGTTTCTCTGTTAGACTGATATCAAATGGCAGAATCCTGGTCGGTCCGTCCTTGTGTCCAGCAAGCCGGTACTCAACGTGTACCGCAAATCGATTTGTATTTGACTCGGCCAGGGAAATGTTGAACGTCAATGGCCTAGTTTGATACCCCGCCACTTCCGGAGCCCTTGCAAGAGACAAGCGATGCTGGGTCTACAGAAACCGAATGGTCAACGAACATGCCAAAAATCATCGAGTGGGGAAAAGTGACCTTGGGAGCACTAATGGACAGGACTTCGACCGGAGCAGCTCTGTTGTTCTGCAAATGAACCGAGGCCCATGAACCTCCCAATTTCCCGCCGGTCAGCTCAGATACCACCAGGCTACGTTGGTCCACAGTGATGGGCTCATCTCGCAGCTCGGCTTCGATCAGCACTCCTATGCTACTATCCAACCCTCCCTGGGCCCGGACGTCGCGGGTCAACCGCAGATCGACTACATGGGGCCCCGGAGACAGCCGTATCAGGCTGGGAGCTCTGCGGTACTGATAGAGATCGCCTCCAAAGTGCTGTTTGCCATCAACCCAGAACTCTAAGAGGCCACCGGCCCAGAGGGCAACCGTCTGGTCCTCGACGCCCAGGATATCCAAGGCCCCGCGCGCCCATGCCTGATATTGGAGGGCAGGCCAGCCATAGACGGATTGCAAGAAACCCCAATTGACCTCGGGAAAGCTCACTGTAAGGGCAACCTTCGTCTGGCTGGCCGAGGAATCGAGGTCAGCCTGAGTGTCCGCCCATTTCACGGTCCCATTCGTGGGGAGAGCGCTGTTGAATGTGGCCTCGGGATCATATTGCCGACTGCGAAAGCCGCCTTCCTTTTCCAACGGGTCTGCTCCCCAGATGGCCTCTATACAGGTGTCAATCCACACGTTTGTTTTGGTTTCTCTTTCTTATCTTGGCCTATGATAGATATTCGAGGCACTAACCTCGCGTCCCAAGCCGGAAGGGCCCCAGGATCTGCCACTGGCTAGAGAATGTAATCCCCGGGGCTTGCAGGCCGAGTGGACACTGCGGATCAGGTCCCCCCAAAGCTGGCCGAGACCAGCGATAGCCCGGAGAGCCAAACAAAATGCAGCATGTTGGTGGGAGTCTCCGGATCGGGCAGCGCCTGCAAGCGGAGGGCGCGGTCACGTGCTGTATCCAACCGGGCGCAATTGTGATGATGATAATGTGGTAGTACTAGTCGTCGTGAGTATTAATAGTAGTAATGGTAGTAATCGTCGTAGCCGTAACGGTAGGAGTAGATGACCGTGTCCGAGGGACCTTATCGTCGTGGCTGCGCGGTCTCCTCCGATCCCGTCCACGAGGTGCGGTCGATGATTATGATTTCCCGACCAACTAACCCACTACCACTTCTGCTACCGTCCAGGCCACTTTTCCTAAATCCTCTTCCCGAACTGATCCCAGTTAGTGCATGGCCTGCCACTCCTTCTCCCCTTGTCTCCTCGGCGGCTCTGCCACTCTTTCTTTCGTTCTGGACGCTCATTCGCCCCCCGGGATTCGTCATCTCGATCACACCCTTTTTCGGTCCTCAACCCAACAAACCACATCCCGCTGGTGAAACAGTCTGCGCCGACTGAAGGTGGAGCATCCCCCTTCTCTGCTGCCTGCTCGTCACTCGCTTGCAAAAGTCGACCTGTACCCGGACACCCGTCTTGCCTCTCTGTCTCTTTTTGAGGGGAAGGAAACTCACCTGCCAAAAAGTCCGCCTGGCTTGTGGAAGATGGCCACCACCACGGTGACCGGCCATGGGCGACGCGCCTCCATGCGGCAACCGGAATTGCAAGTGCCCACAAAGACGCCCACCTCCCAATCCACCAGCAGCCCCGTCGACAAGTTCCCCCCGTACGATGAGTCCTTGGACGCTGTCCCCGGGTCCAGTCCCTCAGTGAAATACTCGCAGGATCGGTGGGAGCCACGGAGAACAGGCTCCTACGCGCGGGTTCCCATCAACGGTACCGTGAGGAATCCCAAACACAGGTCCAGGAAGAGTATCAGCGAGGCCATCACAACCATCCGCACCCGCAACGGCAGCGTCAGTCAAAACGCGCAGGAGCTCGCTTCGGCGCTCCGGGCGCCACTGTCTTATCGATTGATTGTACGTCCCCCAAGCTCATCACTAATCGACTGGCTGACGTTATTGGAACCCTAGACGCTCTGTCTGATTTGGTACCTGACATCGGCGTTGACCAATACATCCTCGAAATCGATCCTGAATGCGCTTCCCATGCCCATCACATTGACAATTGTGCAATTTGCATTTGTCTCGATCTGGTGTCTGCTGCTAGTCTACCTCTCGACACTCATCCCGTGGCTGCGGCAAACCGTCCCGGCACTCAAGACCGGAATCCGCTACCCTTCCCGTGATGTGATCTCGACTGCCTTGCCTCTGGCAATCTTCCAGCTGGCGGGTCATATTCTGAGCTCGATGGCCACCTCACAGATCCCCGTCTCACTAGTCCATACGATCAAGGGTCTGTCCCCGCTGTTCACAGTGATGGCATATCGAGTGCTGTTTCGGATTCGGTACGCCAGAGCAACCTACTTGTCGCTGATCCCCCTGACCGTGGGGGTCATGTTGGCGTGTTCCACCGGATTGTCGACGAATTTCTTTGGCATACTCTGCGCACTATTGGCTGCTCTAGTCTTCGTTTCGCAGAACATCTTCTCCAAAAAGCTTTTCAATGAGGCGGCCCGTGCGGAGTCCGAGGGGCCGGGGCGGCAGAAGCTAGACAAGCTCAACCTGCTCTGCTATTGCTCGGGATTGGCCTTTTTCCTCACCCTGCCGATCTGGTTTGTCAGTGAGGGCTATCCCCTGATCGCCGATATCATCAACGACGGTGTCATCTCGTTATCGGGTAAAAAAGGATCATTAGATCATGGTGCCCTGCTAGTCGAATTTGTGTTTAACGGCGTCTCACACTTTGCGCAAAACATCCTCGCCTTTGTCCTGCTGTCAATGATCTCCCCCGTGTCTTACTCGGTTGCTTCCTTGGTCAAGCGAGTGTTTGTCATTGTGGCCGCGATTCTGTGGTTTGGCAGCACCACCACCCCGATCCAAGCGGTTGGTATTGGTCTCACCTTTGTGGGTCTGTATCTATATGATCGCAACAGCCATGACGACGTGGCCGATCAACGGGCCAACGCGGATCACTTTCGCGCCCGCGAGTCGATTCTCCCTACGAATGTGCGCAGCGCCAGCAAGCCTTGGGATTCCAACGGGTACGCCTTCCCCTCGGGCTCCGCCCCCCACAGTGGCGCGCAGCCAATGGCAAACAACTTCAAGAAGGAGGACGATGGCCCTGGCCAGATCCGACCACGAGGGTCCAGCGTTTCCCACGCATGGCTGCCGGGGACTAAGCAGGAATCGACCTGGCAGTCCAACGACACCCCAGCCGCTGCCTAGAGTTTTGTACTATATCCTGGAGTTTTTTGAGGCGTTTTGGGGGTTCAAGAAAGAGTGTTTGCATTCTCCGTGTTTCTTTTTCTTTTGGTTCAGGGTTCCATATGCCACCCGTGGGATCTGTGAGATGTACATGTTTCACATCTACTCCTGTGATCGTCCATAGCTGGGCAGGTTCTTTGTTGTATAGATTCGCGTTGTGCCCGACGCGCCCTCGAGAGGGAAAATAAACACCTTATTCAAACTGTCTACTATAGAAGGAGAATGTAGCTACCGTCGGTAAAGAACAATGTCATCATCGGGCGCAGCCCTTGACTGCTCCAGTTCGGTGCAGGTCTGGTCTCGGACAATGTAGCAGAGAAGACAGGGACCGAGAATTCGCCTGCCTCCTACAATAAAACATGCCCTAGAAATGAGATTTATGTTGTGGGAAAAAAAGGGAAAGGAGTCCGCGCGTTTTTAAGCGGGCTCCCGGAACATGAGTTTCTCCGATCAGATCATTCTGTCCTGCCTGAATTCCCAGGCTGGACTAAAAGTCACGTGCCCGGACGCTGTCCAACCGTCGCTAATGAATTGAATGGTCAGCAACGGAAGAATCCTGGTGTTGCTCTGTCCACTGCTGCTTGACCTCCCCTCTTCTTCCCCCCCCCCCAAACAACCACCCAATCTCTATTCAATCTCATCTTTTCCCTTCCCCTTCTCTTTCTTGATATCCTTGCCACTATGCGGCCGCAGCTGTTCCGTGCGGCCGCCCGGTCGCTCCGGGCCCCCAAGGTCACCCCCAGGACCTTCGCGACGTCAACCCCTCGAGCGGCCGAGGTGGAACTCACCATTGGTACGTGTCATCGCCCTCCGATCCTTGCTGGATGCCTGTGACTGACTCTGCGGTTCTCTAGACGGAAAGAAAGTTTCGGTGGAAGGTAATTGCGCCCATCCCACCAGTCCAGGGTCCTCAACTCACATCTATCCAAGCCGGTTCGGCTCTCATCCAGGCATGCGAGAAGGCAGGCGCGACAATTCCCAGGTGCGTCAGGACCCTCAATGGCTCAAAATTGTCTTGGATTGGCTAACCTTGGTGACAGATACTGCTACCACGAGTACGCCCTCCCCCACAATCAACGAACTTAGGCGCTATGAATGCTAACATAACCCTGCAAGAAAACTTTTGGTTGCCGGAAACTGTGAGATCTCCTTGCTTCTAGTCCAATTGCCCCCGAATGACATGCTGACCGACCCTCACAGGTCGTATGTGCCTCGTTGAAGTTGAGCGAGCTCCGAAGCCGGTGGCCTCGTGTGCCTGGCCCGTGCAGCCGGGAATGGTGGTCAAGACAAACTCACCGTTGGTGCACAAGGCGAGAGAAGGTGTCATGGAATTCCTGCTCGCCAACCACCCACTCGATTGCCCCATCTGTGACCAGGGAGGAGAGTGTGACCTTCAAGACCAGTCGATGCGCTATGGTGCTGACCGCGGCCGGTTCCATGAATCCGGTGGCAAGCGTGCTGTGGAGGATAAGAACATTGGGCCTCTGGTCAAAACATCGATGAACCGATGCATTCATTGCACTCGCTGTGTTCGATTCATGAACGACGTCGCCGGCGCACCAGAACTGGGAACGACTGGCCGAGGAAACGAAATGCAGATTGGAACCTATTTGGAACAGAACCTGAATTCGGAAATGTCGGGCAACGTCATTGACCTTTGCCCCGTCGGTGCTCTGACTTCCAAACCTTACGCTTTCCGTGCCCGTCCGTGGGAGCTGAAGCACACCGAGTCGATCGATGTTCACGATGCCCTGGGCTCGAACGTTCGGATTGATAGCCGCGGTATGGAAGTCATGCGCATCATCCCAAGACTGAACGACGATATCAACGAGGAATGGATCAACGACAAGTCGCGGTTCGCTTGTGATGGATTGAAGACTCAACGGCTCACCACGCCCTTGATTCGCCGGGAAGGCAAATTTGTGCCGGCTACCTGGGAACAGGCTCTCACGGAAATCTCGTCTGCCCACCAGAAATTGCAGCTGAAGCCCAATGAGTTCAAGGCCGTTGCGGGACACTTGGTCGATGCCGAAACGCTTGTTGCGATGAAGGATATGGCGAACAAGCTGGGATCCGATAACCTTGCTCTTGACCAGCCTGGCGGTAGTTCTCCCATCGCCCACGGTATCGATGCCCGTGCCAACTACTTGTTCAACTCCAAAATCTATGGCACCGAGGAAGCAGACGCCCTTCTTCTCGTTGCCACGAACCCCCGTCATGAGGCCGCGGTCCTGAATGCTCGCATTCGTAAACAATACCTGCGCTCCGACATGGAGATTGGGCTCGTTGGAGAGGAGTTTGAAAGCACTTTCGAATTCGAGCACCTTGGGGCCGACGTCTCTGCTCTGAAGGCCGCATTGTCTGGAGAGTTTGGCAAGAAGCTCGCCGGCGCTAAGCGGCCAATGATTGTTGTTGGTAGCGCGGCTACCGAGCACCCCGACGCGAAGGCCATCTTCGAGGCGGTTGGCAGCTTTGTCGAGAAGCACGCCAACTTCAACACCCCTGAGTGGCAGGGCTACAACGTCCTTCAGCGTGCAGCATCTCGGGCCGGAGCCTATGAAATCGGCTTCACTACCCCGTCCCCCGAGGTCGCTCAGACTTCCCCCAAGATGATCTGGCTCTTGGGCGCGGATGAGATCGCGCAAAGCGAGATTCCGAAGGATGCGTTTGTCATTTACCAGGGCCACCACGGAGACCGGAGTGCCCAGCTTGCAGACGTCATCCTACCGGGAGCAGCATATACCGAGAAGTCCGCCACTTATATCAACACCGAGGGTCGTGTGCAGGTCACCCGTGCAGCTACGTCGCTGCCCGGTGCGGCCCGTGATGACTGGAAGATTATCCGTGCCACCAGCGAGTTCCTCGGCGCTCCTCTGCCCTATGATGACATCGAGGCCCTCAGGGATCGCATGGAGGAGATCAGCCCTGTGATGCGTCGGTACGATGTTGTCGAGCCTAGCTCGGTCAGCTCATTGAGCAAGGTCCAGCTAGTGGATCAGAACAAGGGATCTCCCGCCACGGGGGCTCCGTTCAAGAAGGTCATTCAGGACTTCTTCTTCACTGACTCCATTTCTAGAAGGTACGTGTTTACATTCATCCACCGGTATTTAATTCTTAGCTAACTTTGCTTCAGCTCACCCACCATGGCCCGCTGCTCCGCTGCCAAGGCCACCGGTAACCCCGAGACCAACTTCATGGCTGCTGGAGAGATGTCTCCTCAAGCCCTATATGGCTAGATCCATGTGGTGTCTTTCATGACCACTGGTCTATTTCCCCTTTGTAATGGTTCCAGGCGTTGACTTTGTACTCTGTAAACGTCCTTTGTTTTCCTGTACTGTTGCCACCCTGCTGTCTTTTTTCTTGCCCTGAACGCCATCACCTTCGGTGGCTGGCTCTTTTCACCCATTTCTCCAGCCTCGTCCGGGGGTCCATCTGTACATAAAGATCCAAACCCACAAAATTTCATTAAATTGGGCATTGAAATATGTTCTCTCCCTATGTCTCCCAATGGTCTAGGGACCAAAATGGTTTTTCAATCAATTCATTCGGGCCCAAAGCTAGGTGGGATGGTTCAACAGCTCCTCTCGTCTCGTATTCTGTCAGTCTAATTCACGGACGACAGCCATTATAGCTCATCATCATCCGTCTCTCCGGCGGTATCTTCGGTATCTCCATTGGTTTGCTCCAGCTGCATCGTTGTCCTCGGCGCTCCGGGACGGCTGGTGAATGGCAACTCTCTTCGCGGGGGTGGCGCCTTCTTGGGAGGCGACCCACGCTTTGCATTGGTAGACCGACCAGCTTCCGCTGAAAGAACACTTTCTGCAGACGGGGGCTGATCAAGCTCCTCGTCTTCCGTGGCGGTCTGTTCTTCTTCTAACAGCTGAGGAGTTGATGGTTGATCATCGTCGGTCTCCTGATTACCCGTGGTGTCTTCTCTTCTTTGATCCACGTCCATTTTCTCAAACTGGTCGGAATCTTCGTCCGTTTCGCTAGCAACTTGGGCGCTTCGCTTGGCCGCATGGCCCCTTTCCAGAGGAATCTGGGACTTATCAGATAGAGCAGCTTGTATTTCGGATACTGCGGCGGGAGGACAGAGGTTAGTCCTAAGGCTATAGTTTATAGCTTCTGGCATTACCTTTCGCGGGGTCAGCTGTTGCTGATGCCAGCAGACGCTGCTGGTTCCGGATCTTCAGCTTCTTCTCGTTGAGAAGCTGGACAAAATTGCCAACCATCTGGTTCTCGTGTTGGCTCTTTGCATGCATGAGCTCCTCGAGCTGTTGGTTCATCTTGCGGATGGTGTCCTCGGCGAGGCGATAGCGGTCAGTCAGGTCAGCGACCTGCTGCTCCAGTCCCTCCGCTCTGGCGGCAGCAATGCCTGACCAGTCAAACAGCTCCACGGCTTGCTCATCGTCCTGGGTGAGAGTCAAGGCGCCCAGTCGTTGCTAGGGCCGGGTCAGCAAGTACACATATCACTGCATGCGATCTCCCTCACCGTGATTGTCTGGACCCTCTTCCGGATCGTGATGATCAGCTCCTTGCCCTCATCCTCAGATCCTGAGATGCTAGCCGTTGTTTCCACGCCTGACGACCAGCCCGGGTCATCGACCGGAGGCGATCGCTGTCCCAGAACCAGCGAGACGATCTGAAGCCACTCATCGTCCGTTCCTTGATAGTTCTTGGCGCGGAGGTTTTTTAGATGGGCTTGTTTCACTGCGTTGATGTAGGGCGACTCGCCCTCGGTAGCGATCACGGTCAAGTCCAGGGGCAGCGAGCCAGATGATGCGACGTGGACAAGCACAAAAGCCCCGGGCTCGTCTGATCTCGGAATACGCAGGACTCTGGATGGCATGGCGGTGGGGTGGTTGACATTCGAAGAAACAGGGAGGATGATGACGAGGATGGGTCATGCATCAATAATAAAGAAGATAGGCCTGGATTTAGGTAGTAGAGTACGTAGTATAGTACATACCTTTATATTATTATATAGTGAACACTTAGTACGTATTCTAGGTAGTAGTAGGAGGACTCATGATCAATACCTAGGCCATACCTACCGACTACCTGCTTACCTGCCACCGCCTCACTCACCTCCACGGGGAATCCCACTCCAGCCACCACCAGCAACAACTAACTTACTTACCTTTCTCTCCAACAACCACCACCACCACCACCACCACCACAGCAGGAATCACCACCCCGATCATTTCCTCCTGTTCGTTCTCTCCCGCGCCTTGGTCCGTTGTCGCCCTGGCCACCACACCACCCCACACCGCATCCCCGTCCTGCCCGCCCCTCGCCTCATGCTGGGGCTTTGTTTTCTCCTTTTGAGTGACACGTCGCGACTCGACTGATTCCCAGCGCTATCCAACTGTCTCGTCAACAGCCCCGTCTTATCGTCCAGGGCTGCTCAGCAACCCGCGACCGACGCGGTGTTCCTTGAACGTGTCCACCGTTGATGGTCACACGGAATGCCGTCTGTCTTCCCAGCCTTTAGCCCACGACTCATGCCGGCACTCTGTGAACTCGCTACCTAAGCATTGATCCATCCTGTCCCAGGCGCCACCTTGTACTCGCAGAGTGCACCGTGTGCTGTCTCGGATCCACCCGTTTCATTGATGGAGTCGCCAATGGCCCAAGCACGGCCGGCTAGTGAAGAGGTTATTGAATGCTGGGACGATGATGCCGACCTACAATTCGACGAGGTGGTTCAATTCCGCGCTGCGTCGAGCACTGGGTCCGTGGCCAACTCATTCCGGCCCTCCGGCCACCGCGACTCCATTTCCTCCCGTCGTTCTGCGCGCTCCGACCTCGATTCCAACGCAGGAGGGGACGAAGATTGGCAGGTTCTCTTCCCCGGTAATGACGGGCTCGCTAAAGAAGAGGCCATTGCATCGGCTAAATATGCCGGCATTCCCATCCCGGCCAATATCCCGGAATCTGCTCTCGTTGGGGGCACGATTAAATTCATATCTTCCAAAAAGCAGAAGCGAAGCTTTGTTGACGATTGGTCTGACGATGTCGAGCTTCCGGACCCTGAGACGTTGCTGGAGCTGAAGCCCCGGCAAGAAACCGTCTTTCCTGACTCGCTTCGGCAGCTCAGTTCTGTAGCCACGAGCCCGATGAAATCTACAGCATCCTCCTCTGGGAATGATGATACCTCGAATCGTCTACAGTCTGCACTGGCCACGTTGGAGCAATTCCAAGACGAAGATGCGAGCCCCAATAGAGACGTGCCCACGATCAAAATCCCGACATCTCAACCCCTTCAGCAACTCTCCACAGCAAATGCTGGAACGAATCATTTTAACACAGGGCTGGACGTGGAAGAGTTTGATGAAGACCTTGAACTACCCCCCAATCATGAACCTCTCGAACTATCATATCGCAAGGATCATGCTCGCATATCTAGTCCGACCTTGGAGGACTTTGACCTTGAATGGGCCGAAGGGAGCATCGGAGTTCGAGTGGGCGGTACCACGCGGGATGGCCGATCGCTCCCCAGCTCTTCGATGTCAATCGCGAGCCCTAGCGTTTCGAGCTGCCTGACCGCAGAAAGTGAAGAAGACGGTCTTGAGGGTCTAGTCGTTCCTGATGGGCCCCTTGATCTCAACTCTCCTCTGCAGAAGCGACAAGAAGCTCTGTGCAAAGACGTCGCTCCTAAGGCAAGAGGTGACCAAGCGGATCAGGAGTCTAGCGCTGACGACTTCTTTTCCGGCATCGATGTTGACAATGGAAAGGCGTTTACTTCGGGGAAGTCAACTCTGAATCCCAACGTTAAGTGCAAAACGGAGCGGCCTTCGAGCTCAACACGCCGGACCGCAACCACCATTACGTTTGCAAGTACAGTTGGATCGCCACGAACTCGTATTCCTCGCCTTTCTGGTCATGAACGGACGCATTCAACTCACCTCGAGACCGTTTCAGAGAGCGGCGCCCCTCTCTTCAAGTTTCGAAGACCACAATCCGGACTCGGACATTCATCACAGTCATCTGTGTCTAGCCTTCCAGCCTCGGGTCTTCTCTCTACATCACCAACTCCTGGGACTTCGGGCCGGCGGCTCGCCGTGCCCCGGGCGTCTAAAGATACTACTCCTCTCTCTAGCGAGTCCAAAGTTCCCGAGAAACACCTAGCAGCAAAGCAGTCTATGCCAGTCATTTCGGGCTTGCAATCCACTGCGTCAACCCAAGCATACCCGCGACAATCACGCTCTGACGGTCCTATTCGTCCTCTGTCTAGTCGACCTAAAACTCCCGTTGATCGCACTGCTTCGGATGGAAGGTCGCTGAGTCGCCGAGCCGCACCACCATCTCTTTCAGCTGGCACTTCTGGAGTTCAATCTCAGCATGCGAGCGTGAAAAGCTACCGCTCGTCAAGGCGTACAAACTCGGACAGCTCCGGTGATTTTGTCAATTCTCAGAACATTACTTCTCGAGCACCTCGTTCGACTCGCTCGGTGCCTTTGGGTAGTCGCTTCGGTGAGGCGAGCTCGGGAACGGCTGGGCCTTCTACGAAACGCACACTCACGCGACCTACAAGGCGGCGGAATTTCGGAGATGGCAGTGAGTTGGAGGTATTTGACGATTTACCGACGTCTGCATCCATCGAGGACAAATTTGTCAAAACTCCGATCGGCCGAGGGGCGCCACGATCTGTCCGCAGCAGAGTCGGTCAGAGTCGGTCTGTTGCACCGCAGGAAGAGCCTTCACCCCAGTCTCCTTCTCTAGCGCTTGCCACCAAACCGCACAACAGCCTGCCGAGGTTCGCACAGGATACCAACGCTTCCAGAAATGCCAGGGAGCAGCGGATTGCCTCGATGTCGGCGAACGTCAAAAGTCGGGACCCTAGTCCGCTTGCGGCTTTCGGTTCGAACTGGAAGCCCCAACCCGTCTCACGAGTGCCCCCAAGCACAGCAGCGGTCCGAAGCCGGAAAGCTAAACCGACAGTCCGGTCGACAGCCAAACCGCAGCTGATCAAACCAATGGGGTCTGGAGTTCACGAAGCCAAATGTAAGCTTGCCCTTTCTTCCTCCTTTCCTCTCTTTCATTCTACGGGGGCTAACCCGGCGCAGCTGTGAGAGGAATGCGCTACAACCCAGCAACGTACCGGTGGGAAGGCAATGAGAATCTGATGCAGGAGTTTGACCTGCCTGTGACGCCCAAATCCCCCAAGCCCGCTCCTGCGCTGATCACCAATGTCGGGACGATGCACACCGTGCAGACCGTCGGGGGCATGGTCTTTGATCCCCAACGCATGTGCTGGCTGCCGGCGGCGGGCGACTGCGAGGCGGAAGAAGATGTCTTCGCAGGCCTGGAGGATCTGGATGACCGGTTGGTCAGCGGTAGTGGACGCGTATCTGGGGCCTTTGAGGAAGATGCCGTTGGTGACGACCCGAGTGCGGGCGAGTCCTCGGATGAAGGGCCCATCACAGAAGAGTTCGATGTCGGACCGGAGTTCATTCGACGGCAGCGGGCCGAGGAGGAGAAATGGAGGCGCAAGGTGGCCAAATGGATCGGGGCCAGTCAGGACGAGCAGTGGCGGTGGATGATCCGGGATCTCACGAAGTAATGCCAATGAATTGTTTGTTCTTTCTTTTCTTTTTGGTAGCTACATGGCTAGGTGGTCTCCCCTATGTCCCCGAGACAGCCAGGAACCCCTGTCCAGCGGTCGATCGGACTCGGGGCCTTGATCTCCCCGGCAAAGACACAGCGTGACACGATGCGAGGGACCGAGTCGGCAAACAACCAAACGCGCGCGCTCCGGGCAATCCCTCCTGCGTAACCCTGGGTACATGCAGTTGGGGCAAACAACAGACGTGGCGGCCCCTGCTCCCTGTCGGTTTACTTGCTGGGTTTTCTTTTTCTTTACCTCGGTGGCATATTTGCTTGCTGCTCGTCGTCCAGGGATTCCCTCACTTGCCCACTCATCTCGTTTCATCATGGTCTCGTGCACCTTGCCCGGGGCCATCTGGCGATGGTTCTTTTTAACGAGCGTGATTCCTGGCTTTGGTCGGTCTTTTTCCCTTTCAGCTTGTCTCTGTCCTGTCCTGTCCTCCCACTACGACGCCCGCCCTATGATCCCGCACCATGAGCAGCTTTGCCAGACGCAATGAAGGGAATGAGAGTTACATGATGAACCAGCCACTGGCCATGCCCAGTCCCTATGGCCATCCAGACGGCCATGAGTTCGGTGCTACGGGATCTGGCTCGTATCATCAATTCTCCCACCAATCCTTTCACCCATACGGGTCCCAATTCGGCCCGTCCTATGCTCAGCAGGGTCTCCATCATCTCCAGCAGTACTCATCCGACCATTCCATTCCGTCCATGTCGAGCCCGGAGAATATGAGGTTGCACCATCCACCGCCGCAGTACTTGGCCCAGCCACGTTTTCCGACATCTCCGAGATATGTTCCGCTCAGCGAGACGGAGATTGAAAGCCAATCCTCGCAGAATGAGGGCTCGATGCAGTCGGAGCCTGTGTTGCCTCCACTGGAAGGGTTTCCCGATGTCAAGGAGTTTGACCAACTGATGCAAAGGTAAGCTCATTGGGTGGTTCGCTCGGGGATATCGACACTGACAACATCAACCTGGCCAGCTACGTGGATGACTTGTCGGTGAAGAAACAAGACAAGGCACTTATCCATTCCAAGAGAGCTCGCAATATCAAGGCTGTGTTGAACGAACCCAAGGACACTTCGGTCGAGTCCGCCCAATTCCGGTACAGTCCTTTGATTTGAATTCCCTGTGGCGGGATCCTGCTGACAGGGCTAGATTCTGGGTGAAGAAAATGTTTAAGCTGCAAACCGTCGGGATAGTCCCGGATGTAGGTATTCAGCACGCCCTATGTGGAATAGTTCCCCCGCTAACAACCCAACCCCATGCATCAGTGCAGGAAGATGATCTGTCATGAGGGAAAACCTGTTGCAATCCGAGAGAAATTGTTCAAGATCCTCACCAAAGCACACCAGCTCTGTCAGCATGGTGGCCGGGACAAAACATCGGCCCAGGTACGGCGAATCTATTCATGGTAAGCACCTGACATCCTCACGTTATAGGGGCGTAACACTAAGAGTGGTTCAGGGTCCCCAAGGAGCTCATCTCTCGCTTTGTGAAAATCTGCCCGACATGCCAGGTTCGCCGTGGAGGGTCACGACTGACGCCGCCGAATTCACGGCGTAGCTCGCCTCGGCTCGACTTGATCCCTCGATCCCCAAAGCTCCCGTCTCCCCCGATATCACGACGCGAATCCACTTTGGGGGGACAGGCAGCCGTCGAGAGACAACAGACAACAGACTATTTCAGCCAGCTGAGCCAGCTACATACCCATAACGGGTGGCTAGATGGCCATCACGGTCTCCAGGGGCGCTCTACCGTGGGCACTGGGCCAGTCCGATCCTTCCAAGGGCCGATAGGGCATCTTTCGATGCCAGGTACCTTGGATCCCTTCTCGACTGATCTCTCCGTGCCGCCCTCTCAGTTGCATTACACTAGCTACATTTCCACTCACACTCCGACTCAACGAGAGTATTGATGTCGATTCCCGTGTAGCTATTCACCTTGGACGCTCGGCCATGATTATGGGGATACAATATCTGTCAACAAAAGTCTTCTTTTCTTCTCAAACTTTTTTATAATGAGTTCTTGATCTCCACCGTATCAAAATCAAAAAGTACTAGAGGGACGAGGCAAGTTGAGCAGAGGCAATGCGCGCGGAACAGAGAACTATATACTCGCAGGGCATAACAGCAGCGCTAGCAGTCATCATGAATTCACATAGTTTTTAGACAAGAAGAACTGGTTTTGTACGTATGTAAACATGCAATTTCGCCGTTAACGATCCGCACCAGAACCCTCTCTCTCTTTTTTCTCTCTCTATTTCATGGGTGGAAAATTCGGGAGCTACTCGGACATGCTTGGACTGAGAATGCTTGCTTGCCAGCACGGTTACCGTGGTGCATTACGCCGTTGATGTTGGAGCCATCTTCCACAGCGCGTCGCAGATTCCAAGCCAACCGAGCCCTTTCGTCTCCAGGCGTCCCCACGTGGTTGCATTCCGTCCATCTTCCAAACGGAACCACGTCGAGGCATGAAACGTATCCATTCATCGTTCGCAGTTCATATCGTCGGACATCAAAAGGAGGTTGCACGTTACATACCTACCACGCAGTCCACAAAGCGGTGGGCATCAGTCCTCGAAACCACCGGCATTAGATCCTGCCACTCTCACAAAATGATGGCTAGGGACTCCCTAAACAGGAAGCGAGAACTTCTTCCCTTTCAAGACCCTACGGCGAGGAGAATATCAGTGACCAAGATCCTATCTCAAGGCGACCATTTCCGCTTACTTGTTGTAGTAGATGTAGAAGAAATCCGAGTACAGCAAAGTCTGGATGACGCCTGCGATGATTGGAACAGGCTGGAAGGACTTGCGGAACGCGTGCTCTGCAAAGTATCTGTATACCCAGTTCGGAATATAGAGAGCTCTGTATAGTCCCAGGGCGAAAAGATAGTGGGTTGTGATGGTATCTGCCTCGCCCGTCCGCTGCAGCATGAAGAGCTGTGGCAGGATGGCAACGGATTCAAGCCAAATCGAGAACGTCCAGAGGATCTGCACGAAGTGAGTCTCCAGTTCAGGAACGTCCCCACTTCAAACCGGTTGCCGGGGGGAGTGGGTGACAAACCTCAGAAAGACGATAGCTGTGGGGGAAGAGCAACGCCAGAACTGCACTGATCCCAAGGAGGTATTGGACCTTGAACGTGTCGATATTGGGATCGTGGGTCGGTTTGTAGTCGTTGAGCATCAAATAAATGATGTAGGCGGAGGATCCGATGAACAGAAGCTTGAAGGTGGTGAGGTATAGGGATTCGGTGAATGACCAGAACAAATCTGTTGCGCGGTTGCGCGTCAGCTCCAGGAGATGGGAAGACAGCAGCCAACGCAAACATACCCAGATAACGAGTCACAAAGACCAGCAGATAAAGCACCTGTGATTTAAATGACAACCCGGAGCAGCTCTGCAGGATCGTTAGTTGCCAGTCAATGGCAGGAGGGCCTTGGGGGATAGTCTTACGCTGGACGACTTCATCTTCTGCAGAAGGATGAAGATCGACGCCAGGTGCGAGAAATCGGCTGTATCGCAACCGTCAGGATACCTTGTGTCCTCAAGGGTGGAGCGATGGGAATCTCACCTAATAACCGGAAGATATTCATGGTGTCGACAGGTAGGGAAAGAAGGAATCAGTCAGGAATTGAAGGTAGGAAGGGCCATATACGGTGGCGACCAAGGGTGGTGGATGGTTGGATGGTTGGGGTGGTGATGGTGGATGGGAGAAAGGGAGTGAGGGAAGGTAAAATGTTGACACGGAAGCAGGAAGAAGGGAGGATTTGCGCCGCCGATCAGGCACGTAACTTGCGCGGGAAGGGGGCTGGACGTAGCCCCAGGTACCGCACCCGCATCTGTTGTGTGGAATGGTACCTCCCGCTACCTCTTCATGATCTACGATGATTGATCCCTTAGATAATAAATAGTTATCATTTCATTATTGTTATTTATTCATTCATTCATTATTTATTCATGCATCATGAACTAAACACAGGTGATTCCGATCAGAATAAGATGCTGCCTCCAATGCTCTCATCTGCCATGCGCTGGAGGTGACCCTCGGCCAACTCGCTTCGAAGCGCACTGATCGAGCTTTCTCGATCCAGCTTGTCCCAATCGCGAAGTCCCGTTCTCTTGGCTCGCTGCGTCTCCGCGATCTGCTCCAGAAGCTTGACCTGATCAGCTTCCAATTGAGACAACCGTTTCTCAGTAACTGGGTCCAGCAGCGAAGGCAGAGTCCTCCCGCCAGGGGTCACCGAACACAGCCCGGCGAGGTGGTTCGTAAATCGTGAAGCCGGGGGTTGGCCGGGAGACGGGATGCTGTTCTGTCGGGACCCGGGATATCGATAACTTCCTCCGGCGGGAGTCGGAGACGTGAAAGAGCCTCGGGATCCAGCCGGGGCACCGTGTGATGGCGCGGGAACTGGTACACGACGCAGCGGGGCGCCCATCCAAGAACTCTCCCGGGAACCAGGCCCTCGACGAGGGCGAGTTGGTGCTGAGAGTAAAGACATGTTTTGAGAGCCGCGACTTTGCGAAGAAGCAGCAGTATTGGAGCCCTGGGAGGGGCCGGATGGTGGTAATGGACTCCCGCTATGGCTTCTCGGCTGGGTTGGAATATTGCTACTGGTCCGGATGCCGCCCATTTGTGACTGGTCCGATGGTCGGTGATCAGTCATCCTCAACATTCCTCGGCCATCTGGATCATGCCCTCTGCTTGCAGTTGGGAACGTTGCATCGTAATTGGATTGGAGAAATTCGGGGTTTTCGGTCACCCTGTCGGAACTGGAGGGTGCCGTTTGATAGACTGGATCTTGCGAGTAAGGCGACCGAGCCTGAGATCGTGAAGCGCGCTGAGAAGGAGATGAGGGACGAATGGGTGAGCCACTTTGACCACAGAGAGACAACCCGGCTTTCTCGAGGTAGCCCGCGGGGGACGAACGCCGAGAGGTCACTTCTGATTCTGCAGCCAAGGCATGCGCAGGAGAAGGACGCCGTGACGGCGAGAGTGATCGGCCTTGGTTGAAGCTCTCTGAATGATCCCGGGGAGCGCCAAAAGATGGGCTGTGTGGCCGATGTTTAGGGGGTCCCAGTGGCGGAGTAGCCTGTGGATATGGCGATGGACCTCCTGCATATCTGTCATTCCTGGGTGGAGGTGGGTAATCTCGTCTGGATGCCCGAAAGTCCTGGCTAGCCGGGGTCCCATCTCGCGTCCGTCTGGGACTGGCCCTGCCCCTGGATGCATCACGCGATCTATCCTCACTGTAAGGGGATTTCGTACGCCAGGAGGCCGCTGGAGGCGATCTCGGTTTGTCATCCCTTCGAGGCGAAAACCGTCGCGTCGGGGACCGTCTTCTGCCGTATGAACTCGGACCGGGACCTCGTCCATAAATAGGAGGAGTTCGCGAACGACGTCGGTAAGGTGGTGACCGACTCCGAGGCCGGCCATTTCCACGATTAGAGGGAGGAACCCATGTGTCGGCTCTTGGACGAGGGGAACGATTCCGGGGCGGGGAACGGGGATGACGAGAAGGCGATCGACCCGACCTGTCCGTTGGCCGATAGCTCTCTCCCCCTCTGCGATCATCAAACCTGAGCAGAGATGGTTATCAGAAACAGTTCTAGCGTCGGATACACGGGGTGCGTTGCAAACCTTCTGCGGTCCCAATCCATTCCCGGAGTGACAAGGTAAACCCTTGAACTGACGATTATAGAGGGAAGGCGACGGAAACCAAGATGGACAATGGCCGGGAGCGAGCAAATTATGGAGGAAGAAAGAAGGAAATGGTAGGGAAGAGATTTGCACTAGACCGTTTTGGTATGTATTGGGTCATGTGACCGGACGCCCTACTTACAGCAGACAGTGAGTAGGTAACCAGTACTTAAGGGAGTGAATCATCATTATTATTGTTTTACAGAGCCAGAGGGGATTTTTAAAAACCAACAACAACAACAATCACAATTCAGCGCTTCTTCCGGCGCCTCTCCTGCGCGATCATGTCGCTCAGGTCCTCCTGGAACCCCCAACTAGGCTGATTCTGTTGCCGTCTCTGCGACTCGTACATATTTTGAAGATTCTCCTTGCTGATACCATCCTCGGCGTGAAGAGCGTCAGGGTCCATAGAGACGTCCACATCACCGGGCTTCTTGCGCTTCCGGCTTTGGTCTTCGGCGCCGAGGAGAGGAGGCTGGGTCGAGGCCGTGTTGAGGTCGTACGCCCTGTCGCCTCCGAAAAACCCCTGCACGTTGGTCTGTCTCTCGGGGATTACCTGGTAGGCGCTGCGAGGATGAATGGATTCCTCCGTCTCCGTACCTCGATGGTGTTTGCGGACATCAAACTCGCCAGAGACGCTCTCCGCGCCCACAAATTCGGACGGTGCCGTCGATTCCAGGCCACTAGGGGTTTCCAGACCACCAGGAGAATGAGTACCGGCCTCTGCCTCCTCATCAGCCTCCTCTTCTTCTTCTTCCTCCTCCTCTTCCTCCTCCTCGCTCTCTTCCTCGGACTCCTCGGGTGCCTGAAGCTCGCCCCAAAGATCCTTTTCGACCGGTTCCCCCTGTTGGGCATTCTGTTGGGGCTGTAAGACTCCAAAAATGTCACCACCGTACAGCGGACGGTTGTGTTCATCAACAGGCGGTTTGCCATAGCCGCCGGGATGATATCCCCACATAGCTCCAGGAGGGGGCGGCGCATTGAGACCAGGGATTTTCAAGGCTGGATAGGACGGTGGAGGGCCGTATCGCTGCTGGTTGATTAGCCACGGAGGAGGAGCACCAGGAGGCATATTGAGGGCCTCCTTCAGTTCATCGCTCAAATCACCGGGCCGAAGATGTTTGAGATTGGTCTCATATTCTTTGCCTTCGTAGTAGATCTCCCCGTAGCGAGTCAATTCAGGCTTGGTTTGGAACCGGAAGAACGCCTCGTACAACTTCTGATAGTCGATATCCAACTTTCCCATTTTGGGCTGGACTCTTTCCCTTTGTTTCTGCTTCAATGTGGATTGTTCCTGTTTTTCCAGAGCAGCGTCACGCATTTCCGCAATTCCCGTTTCTTGAATGAATTTAGGCAGGGCGAAAGGCGCTTTTTCCACCCCCGCTTGGATGACAGGTACTCGCGTTTGAGCGACCAGTGCGAGGGCACAGGAACGACATTCCGATGAGCTTTGATGTGGATGAGAAGCCGGGGATCCGGCGCCGATGTGTCTGTCCACTCGACAATTTCTGGCTTCCGGACCATGGCTTTGAGCTCTGCGACCGATAATTTGTTCATCTCTTTCCGTTTCTTCTTCGATATTTTTGGTTCCGCCTCTTCGTCCTCGTCGGGGATCTCGTCACCATCGTCGAAATACACCTCCGGTTTCTCGGCCTGTTTTGTAGGGAGACTGTCACTCGCCGTTTCATCAAACTTGCTAGCAATCCCCTTGTAGATATCCCATAATGGGTCGCTGGGTTCGAGGGGCAATGAGGCATCGAGGTCGGCGGGCGCATTCTGCGGCGCGGGTACGGGGGCCTGCGTCTTCAGCGATGTCGTCTGTGGCTTTTCGTCGGGCGCTCCAGCGGCAGCCTGGGAAGGGAAGCGTCAGCGGTTGAATTAGATCAACGATAATATGCAAGAGAGCAGGGGTGAGCGTACCTCGACTTTCTGCGCCTTTTTCCTTGCCCTCCTAAGCTGATTCTTGCTTTGCTTCATTGTCGCCATGATAGCGCACGGCACGGTAACAAATGAAGGTTGGTTGGGGTGATGGGCAAGTGCGGAAGAGACGTTGCGCGCGAGGAACAAAAGTCGAAGACCTGCTGACATAATACCGGTCAGTCCAGTTAGCTAACCCAACCGTAGCTAGATACGGTCTGTTCTATCTACCTAGGTAGGGTGTACGATTGTTCCAGAGACAGATGAACAGAATCATAAAATATCGATTGGCTATTTATTGTACATGAAAAACTGCGTCTTAAGTTATCAGGCAGGACTCCATACTCAGCATTCCGTCTGCCGCGGTCAAAAGACCAACCCGACGACAAGAATAATGATGGGTATTTTATGCAATGCTGGCCTGTGCCTAAGCCCACGATGGCGTGATGACTATTTCTTCTTCTTCTTCGCCGCCCGCGACTCTGTGTCTGTGTTAGGGAGTACGTCAAGGACTGGACAGCTGGATACGGGTAATCACCTTCGGCGGTTCTTTTCTTCTTCGGTCTGCCCTTCCCTCGTAATTTCGCACTGGACGAAAAGAAAGAATTTAGCATAAAGCAAACAAGTGCGACGGGGAAATCAGGGTACAAAGACGAACACTTGAATGGCTTCCTCTCTGTCATCTTCCAGCTCATCGAAGGTGGTCAAGCCGAGGGGCTTATATGTGTTCTGCAAGTCTCGGAAAGAGACGGTCTTCTTGGGATACCATGCCGCAAGGCTCGGCCCCCGAAGGCGTTGTCGTAGGATCTTATTTCCCAGTCGGAGTCGATGTGGGTTGAAATTGAGGGAGAAGATGCGACATTGGGTCTGCGGGCAAAGAAAGCACGAGTCAGCGGGAGGATCAGAGAGGGAGATCAATCTAGGGGGTGCGTACTTTGACCAGATCGAGGATCCGGTGGTGTGCCATTGTGCAATGGCGGAGAGAAAAGGGCGCCTGGCCGGAAAGTTTGGGAGGGAGTTGGCCATGGGTCGGTCACGTGGGGATTCAGGACCTTCCTTCCTTCCTTCCTTCCTTCCTTCCTTCCTTTCTCTCTTCTTTTCTCTCCAACATCACCATGAAATCTAAGCGGCCGGCGTCTGCTGCGTCTGCTGCCAATCCAGGTTTGGTGAAGAGGTCCAAGGTGAATATCCCTTGATCACTGATTTAGGCTGGTCCCATTCTTCCTGGTTTTGCGGAATTCTCTCGTGCTGCTCGTGGCTAACGGTCCTCTCTAAAGACCCACCATCCACAAACGCAACAGGGAGATGGGCCGTTATTGACCAGAACGGATGGCTCGGTCCAAACTGCCAACATCAACTCCCGGCTAAGGACCTTGGAACATCTCGCTCGCGAGTTGATGGGCTGCCCTGGTGCCTCAGAGGTTGACCCAGAGGTGATGAAAGCCGTGACTATTCTGAGCGACAATTGTAACCGAAGGGGAAAAGCATCCCGATCCGTGTCCAGGGATAGCAGTGAGCCCTGTCAGTCTCCCGAAACACGCTCCTCAGCCCATGCTTCTGAAGAAAATGGCAACCCAGCGATGCCTCCATTGCCCCCCATTCGAGATACTTCGTTGGAAAAGGCAGTATTCACACACCCCGGAGTCGGCAATAATAACAAGGCAACTTACGACCGGTTGGAGATCCTTGGGGATGCTTATATTGAGCTGATCGCAACAAGAATGGTGTGGGAGAGGTTTACGGACATACCTTCGGGTCGAATATCACAAATCAGAGAGCTCCTGGTCAAGAATGAAACTCTTTCGAGCTTTGCAAGCATATATGGATTTGACCGCAGAGCTTCGGTGCCGTCGGACCACGCGAGCCAGTCCAAGCGCTGGACAAAGACCAAAGGCGACCTCTTTGAGGCTTACGTAGCCGCAGTCATCCTATCCGACCCCACTCATGGCTACCAGACTGCGGTAGAATGGCTATCTCATTTATGGGTTCCAATGCTCAGCAGCTTAGAACATCAGCAGACGGAGCTCAGGTCGAAGGAAGCTCTCGCCAAGAAGATCATGGGAAAGGGAATCAAGCTCGAGTACGTTGGTGAACGTCCGACCATCCAGCAAAAAGGTGGCACTCAGACTCACTTCATTGGGGTGTACCTGACTGGCTGGGGTTGGAGCAAGAGGCATCTGGGCTCTGGAAAGGGGCTCAGTAAAGCAGCAGCTGGCGATCAGGCTGCTCAGCAGGCTTTGCAAAACACTCCACTAATTCTCGAGATCATGGAGGCAAAAAGGTCATGGGAGCTACAGGAAACATAGTAACACATAGTTCCGATGTTAGAATCTTAAGTTACGCCAGGCACTCTTCGTAAATGTAGTCAGACTACATTGTATTCTTTCGCTATTTAAGTTAGGTCCTAGTACTATGATAGTACCGGCAAAATCGTAATAAGAATACCTAAGTAAATGATTGTTGTGTCATACTTCTATGACAAAGATGAGTGCCTCGATAGTCTGACCAAATAAGTCAACCTAGAAGGTCCAATCTAGCAACGAGTCTGAAGCTTACCTTCATTCTTCACATAGAGGGCTTCTATTAATAGCAAGAGGGATAGATAGCCTTCTACATACACTAAATAGAAATAACAATAACCATAAACATAAACGTAACTCACTCCTTGTAAAAGAACTACTTGTCAGGGTAGACACCTATTCATCAGGTGAAGAATGATGTTCTGGAAGGGAATTGATACAGTGGTGAAAAGGTACTAAGATAGGAGTGACTTTGTATGAGATAAAGATATACTGATTGAAGGAATTGGGATCTACCTAACGTATTCCTGGGCAGCGGGTCACCAAAGCGAACGGGTCATAAAACCAACTACCGTTATAAATCAATTTTAGACCACCAATGCCATTAATTTCAAATTGTTACTTTCTACGCCTGTTAGGGCAATGCGCTCTTTTATGTTTAATTTGATTATAGTCGCTCCATCTCCCGGGGGGGGGGGGGGGGGGGGAGGAGCATTTTAGGTTTCATTAGCCTGATTTAGACCATTAAATGCCTCCCTACCCTTTATGACTCCCAGATCCCTGTAATTAAGTAATATACTTCACAGATGTCTAACGCTTTTTCTTTTATGTCTCCTTTATAGCCTGTAGATCATAGATTTACTAGCGAAGAATTGCTATATTACGTATCGTGAACCAAGTCCCTTTGATAAGCTAGTCTAGTCGATTTATCTCTCTATCTGGCTGAGAGGGCTTTATGATTAATGACTAGCTAGGGCTTTAATTAATAAACCCTGTTGATTGATTTATTTGAAATTTACTAGTGTTTTAGGGCTCTATGCACTTAATTAACTACCTGGTCAAACTATCTAGGGAGGTGTCTAAAAGTTAAATATTAGGCTTTAAACTAACCTTCCCTAGATGACATAGGACTAAACTAGGATACCGGAGTATAATTCATTAAAATAGTGAGTCAAATAAACTACTATACCTACCCAGGACTAGTAGTTATAGGGATAAATTACTTTTCTAGCTATTAAAGCCTAATTTACTCTTTAGTCTACTATTATCGCTATTTTAGATTCTTTAATCGTTAGGTAGGTTATTATACTAAGCTCTATAGTAGAGGGTTCGCTCTTTGAAGGTAATAGTCAAGGGAAGCACAGACCTAGTCAAATTCACATATTTAATCGATATAACCTATTTATGATTCCCTAGCTATAAAACTGTTTCTCACCTTAGTATCTACCTCTCATAACTACCTTTGTAGCAGATTTCACTCCTATTATAAAGCCAGTATCATCAAAATTATAGACATCCTTAGATTAGATACCGTTATCATTTATTGTACATCGTATAAGCTTAAAATAACGTACAATGATACGTAGATCTTTATATGAAGCCTCTTTACAATTGTATTAATAAGAAACCTACCATATAACTAAGCTCTAGATAGAGCTTTATATAGCTAGTAGCCTAATTTCTAACGGTCTGATTACTACGCTCCCCTTATAGAATATTAGCTATCCCCCTTGTTATTAATAGCCCTGGGGTAATCTACGTATGTATCTATAGAAGGAATCTATTATAAGAGTGGTTACTCTTCTTTATTAGTTGTATAGTAAACTACTAAAGTGAGATTTAGGGAGAAAGGGGTAGCTATCGATACGACGTTATGGTCATATTAGGGACTTCAAATCGATATACAGCTTTACCAATCATAGAAATATATTTGTTCTAAAATGCTAAGATTATAAGGATACTACCCATCTAATAGAGTTCCTTGGATGTTAACTACGAATAAGGGGCATAGTAGATAGTTGAAATAAGGAAATTAACGCACTAGGGTGCGGTCGCGTTTTCTAACCCACTCAATTTAGGAACTACTTTACTATAGATGTTTATTAACAAGTAATAAGAAATATTAGTAAGTAATAGTTTTTAATTTTTAGTAATTAGTCTATGTATGTATAGTATTAATAATCCCTCTATGTTTTCCTTTAAACTATAATAATTAAATTAAGAATACCTAAATACGTATTAATCTTATCTCTAAAGTAAATATTATAATTAATATAAGTATAAAAAGGTAGAAGAGTATTCGATTTATACTTGAAGATATTAGTAAAGTTATTATATTAGTACAGAAAAGTCTGTCTCTTTATACTATAATATCTAGTACAATAATTTATTTAATTTTATAGACAAAGGTAATAAATGCCCTATTACATTCTTACTTTTATAGATTACTAGAAAGTAATAATACTAATTTTTATAAAATCTTTTGCCTTAGCTACTTAGAAAAGTATGAACCAAATTCCTTATAACTAGATATAAATTATTTACCCTTCTAGAATTTACTTAAAGTAGAGTTTCTATACTAATATCTTCACCTGTAAGCTATTGATGTTCTTAATAAATCCGAGATATCTTATTGGTATTTACCATCCTAATAGATAGGATTTAACGCTAGTCGTTAAGGAATTATGTATAGTAAGCTTCAAAGTAATTTTCTCTTTAATAGGGTAGTAGTAATATTGCAAAAGGAAATCTAAATTAGTTCTAGTAAGTAGTAAGAGTCGAATTTCTTATTAAGTCTACTATATGCTATAGGATTTTTTTTTAACTTGGTCTACTATAGGCTCTGAGTTAGCCTTAACAATATGTCTTCCGCTTAATATTCCTCTATAATCTCTACTTTTTAGTTAGGTAGAAATTTGACGAAAATTTATTAGTCATAAATTGACTATATTATTAGATTACAGTCTTTCTTTTAGGTATTTACTTCCTAATTTAGGTTAGTAAAGATGGAGCATTTTAGAGATTCTAAGAGGCGGCTTAAACTATTATAGATTCTTTGTAAAGGGCTAAGACATTTTATGTCCCTTATATAGGCTAGCGACGGAGATAAGCTAATACTCTATTATTAATTAATATTTATAGCCAGCTTATTCTTAACTACAGTTAATACTTTAAAGTATTACATACTTTCGATAATCAAATATTAAGCAATCCTTTATTAATATTAGAGATATCGAATGACTATAGTAGTCTAGGCCCCTCCCTACCGAAATTATAATCTTGATTCTTTGTATAGGGCTCCCATATAAAAAGGTAAGATTTTTTTCGAATAGCTCAACCCCTAAGACATTTTGGCCTAATTCCTAGGTATCTTAGGAAAAATATATATGTTTTATTAACAACCAAAAATGAATTTTAAAAACAGGTGAATATTTAAGAATTTAATCCATTTTGTATACTCAATTTAGCACTTAGTCAATATCTCTACAATATTGAGGAAAATATAATTTTAAAGGCTAGGCTAACCCAATAATACTATAGTTTCTAATTCTCCTAAGTTTGAGTTTGAATAGATCTGTAGTGGTTAAACTATAAGAAACTATATCTTCCTTTTGTATATGAATGCCATACAAAAATCAGAAAACAAATATATATATTTTTACTAAAT